GAGAGATAGATTATGCTTCCAAATTGCTTCTTCTTGTCATTTATCGTTTTATTTGTTAAAATAATGCGTTTTGATGGGATGGGATGGGGTTAGGGTTTGCTACAAAGCTTTTGCTTATATCAGAAACTATATGGTGGCGTTTGATTTTGTTTCAACCGACCAAGTTGTATGAAAACAAAATACAGAATTCCCACTTGCCTGTATGAAAACAAAAGGACTTTCTCAATGCACCCAAAAATCTGATCAGTACACTTCAGATTCAATAAAATCTCAGGTGGCATATGCACGATTCTATGTTTTCCAATCATCACACCGGCAGGTAATATGAGAAAATTTTAGAATAATGTTTTCCGGGTTTATTGACTTTTTCTTTTCTCTCTCATTTTGGACCTTTGGGTGCATAAAGCGGCTTTTGCATCTTCGGATAAGGCTAAATGTTAAACTAGGGTCAGTTTGGCTTAGGTGTTGTTAGGGGTGGGCACGGTCCAATTCGTCCCATTTTCATCCGGCTTGGTCCGGTGAAAAACTGATCACAAAATCAAACCAGACTGGACCAGCTTAGATCCGATTCAATTTCCGGTTCTTCCAGTTTGGGCCAACACCAAAGCCCAATTGATTTTATTTATTTTTTTGGATATTTCAAGCTTAAAGAACAACTGAATTTTAAAAAAAGTTTGGGTTAAAAATCACAATTGGTCCGATTCCCATATTGAATCCAGCAAGCATTCTTTTGTTAAAAAATAAATAAAACAATCCAGGCTCCATTTTTGGTTGATGCATCTCCAAAGCTGCAACGATGTGTTTCTTTCTACCAAGAACACACAAACCATCAAAAGCATCAAGAATTCCCTTTACAAATACAATTCGTTAACTGCAAACTAAGGATTTAGATCTAAAAAAGACTATAAATCAAGCATGTTACCTTGGACAGGGGCTAAATCGAAAACCCTTTGTGGTATAGACTGGTATAGAAAAATCTCTTTATGAACCAATTCTTGTAAAGGTTTTTGTATAAGCCATAATCAGCTGATTTCCGTCCATCAATTGTTACTCAGCTTACTTGAAAAGAAAGTTGAGTATGGCTTATACAAAAACGTTTTACAAGAATTGGTTCAGTAAAAACGTTTGTGAGTTTCGGCCTGTGGACATAGAAGGAGAAATTGATGAGGGAGAGCGAGCTAACCGATTGGTTTGAACTTCTGTTTCTCACCTACCCGCTCATTCGCAGATTTTTAGGATAAACTAGGGGTGTCTTCGGCGGTTGAAAGGGCACAAGTTAGAGACCAAGTGTTAGGGTTACGGGTTTTAATGGTGATGGGTTTGGGCCAAAAATAATTTGGATGGTGGGCTTTTTTATAGTTGAATACTGAAAAACATATTGGCCCAAAACTAAAATTTGCACGCATACGCGTACTGTTATGCCGATACGATTTTGTCGATACGCCAAAACTCCAAAAACTAGAATATGGGAACGGTATCGATAAGGCGATTAAAATAATATGTATTTAATAATTAATATAAATAGCAAGAATTAATATTGCATTCATTATGTTATAATCATCCATCATAAGTACAAAACATAAAAATAAACACAAAATACAAGTCTCCATAAACAAAAAGTCTCCATAGGATTGTTCAAATCATATATATTTTTTAAAAAAGAAAGCAACACAAAAACAAATTAAAACATTGAGAAGCGACTTCCTAAATTTCCAAATTCATTGGATTTTATACTTTGAAAACGACCATACATATTTTCAAAATTACCCCTTAAAGTATCGAAAACGTATACTTGAAGTATTGGAAAGTCAAACTTTCAAAAAAGTCAACGATACTCCTATCTTTGTATTGAATACGTATTGGAGGCATATCGTACCTGTATAGGAGTATCGGATACCAACATACCCCTCAAGTTAGGAGTATCGATGCAACATAAGTTTTAATTTATAACTTATAACCCTAATTCTTCTTCTTCATCAAAACGGTTCATCAAATCCCACCGTTGTTTCTTCTCTCTTTCTCTCTCTTCCTCCTCCTCCTCCTTCGTCTCTTTTCATCTCTGCCTCTCTATCTCTATCTTTCTTGATTTCCTCTTTGTCTTTCTTCCACCGTTGCTTCTCTCTGGGATCTCTCTCTCTCTCTCTCTCTCTCTGTGCATAAATAATAGGGAGTTTCACTAAAACACCCAAAATGGGGGCTTATAAAAAAACCTAACACCCAAAACACTTTATAAACGTACCCAAAACCCATCATTACACACACTTAAAATTCATTGATAAACACACCCAAAAAATATACAATTGTTGATTTTGGGGTTGATTTTGGGTGTGTTTCTATATTTAAATAATATTTGGGTTTTTTTATAAATACATGTCTAGGATTGAGTTTATTTATAAATTTGTATAAATAATATATATGTATTACATTATTTAATTAAATATATCTCAGACGGTAGCGATAGCCAACGTAATTGGTATTTGGGTACTGCAACTGGTACCATCGCTGATCGGTCTGGTTGTCCAACTGCAACCGTGTTGACTTTCTGGTCAACCACGATTTGCAGACTGCAAAAGCCGATCGATAATTGGCGGGTTTTGGTGTTTGCGGTACAACAACACAACCCTGGGATAAACATGCTTTTAATACATGTGGTCAAAATGTGTACTTTTATAATTTCTTACCTACTAGTTGGATTAAAAAAATTCACCCAAAAAAAAACCTACTGCTAATGAAAAATTCGGAATATCCTCTAATCTGAATAATACAATTGAAATCCATGTCGCACGCTGCTCTGAAAAATTCTAAATAAAATGCTCTACATTAATTATACTAATTAGCCTTCATGACAAGAGCTTAACAATTGCAAAAGTTTTGTTTTGTTTTCAAATAAACGATAATATATTATTGATAAACAAACAAAAATACAAAACAGTTATGTGCCGAATATGGGTAAAACTTCTCCAGTGGCCAAACATAACAACATGTTGAATTTAAATTAATCTAGAGAGAATTACGCACAACTCAAAATGATTAAATCTCCGATTCAGCAACTAGAAGCACATGTACTCAGACTTACAATACAGATTCGTCGTGTAACAATAGAAACAACAAATCCATATCAAAAGGCAAAAGCTAAAAATAATTAAAAATCTTAAATATAAAACAAATCACAACAAACTCATAAAGAGTTTTTGAAAATTATTAGACTAAAACAAAATTAAGAAATAGGACCACTGCTAAACCCGTAGTCCCCTTTTTAGAGTCAACACCTTGTGTACGTGGGTCCAAATAAGGAGACACGTCATTTCATGATGACTGTTTTCTCACAAAATATATTAACAATCTTGAGTAAAAAAGAAAGGAAAGAAAGAAGAGGTGGGTGGCAAAAGCCTCTAGTTTTTAACACATTAAGAAATCAATAAAACTCTCATCGTAAATTAAATTACAAGTAAGCAAAACCTTTATTTATTTGGGAGTTTCACTAAAACACCCAAAATGGAGGTTGAAATTATAAAAAAACCCAACACCCAAAACACTTTATAAACACACCCAAAACCCATCATTACACACACCCAAAACCCATCATTACACACACTCAAAACCCATTTATAAACACACCCAAAAAGTTGACTTTGGGGTTGATTTTGGGTGTGTTTCTATGTTTAAATAGTGCTTAGGTTTTTTTATAAATACATGTGTAGGATTGAGTTTATTTATAAATTTGTATATTTATTTTTATTTTTTTATAGTAAATTGATTGAAGTAGATTTTGGACCATTAGTTGAGACTGTTCCATGGGTGTGCTCAGTAGCGTGCACGGTGGTGCATCACATCACATCGTCTTTCTCTAATCTAGTCATTAAGAAACAAATCGGAGAAAGCAAAAGGCCCCAAAACGACACACGAATAGAGCGTTGCGTGAACTCCTCAGTAGTTTTGGCGTTTTGATTTGTTCTGCCACAAAAGCAAGAAAATAACAAAAGAAAAAACGTGTGTACGTAAGACTATAGGATTGTGTGTTGGGTGTGGCCTCAAGAAAAATAAAAGAGTTGAGACAAAAAAGGGGTTCGTGGCTTACATTTAAGAAACTTCAACCAAACCAATTCACTTTCATTTTTTTCTTATATTTATTGTAAGGAGAACTGATATTAATCACTTGAATTACGAGTCATTAATTGTGTTTCATATTAATTATATTAATAACGGGGAAATGCAGGTATAATTATTGTTTTTTAACACAAGAAATAGTCTAAACTACAAGGAGATGAAGTTTCTCTCACACACAGTATCAAAGTATAATAAAATGAAAACCCACTAATCTGCAAGTGAATTGAAGGGCATTTTCATCGAGTTAGACCATATTAACGCAACTGCTTTAATCAGTGAACTAAAATCCCTTTACGATCATTTACTCCATTTATTTATTTTGGTTTGGAATTGAATTACCAATTTATATATTAAATCTGTGATCAAACAGAAGTGAATTAATGATAAAATTTCTCTTTCATCAATTTTAAAAAGTAAAAAAAAAGATAAACGTTATCCCTAATCATCTGCAGGGCAATAATGAATTCCAGGGATGTCACATACGATGTTGGAAATATATAAAATAAAAAATAATCTTAGAAGAAGGTGAAAATAGATGACAACACAACAAAACAGAACACAAAATGATTTAGGACTTGCAACATGAACATGATTCTATGATTTTCTTCTTGATGAACAAGTACAAACAAACACTAAAAGAGTTTCAATATCAGAATCCTCATTAACTACTATAGGGGTCCTGAACGCTTTTGGATTATATTTATATATTCCTTGTTCAGTACGAAATCAAACAAGAATAGAATTCGAGGAGGCTGGAGCTTTAATTTATAACACAAGTTAACCCACATCAGCTTTCGTACAAGAAAAGGAGCAGATATATTTTTTGTGGTCGAAAGAAAAAAGCATAGAAATTTTTCTGGCTAGGCTAGCTAGTTTGCAAGAGAAATCATAAAATGGAAAAGCGGGGGCAGACCAGAAACTCAAAATCTAATGGCCAGCTTCCATCAACGATGATAGAGGAGATTCTATCAAGGCTACCAGTGAAGTCCTTATGCCGCTTCAAGTGTGTCTCAAAGTCATGGAGTTCCCTAATCTCCGACAACCCCAGTTTTGTTGCATCGCACTTGTACAAAGGCATTGGGGAGGATAAAGATGATCTACTCTTCCGAAGAAGAAGAAGAGTCATATTTACTGATGCCGCAGGTAATGGCCTCCACTCTATGCATCTTGACTACGATGATGAGTTTCTCAATCATAACAACGAAGAAGATGCATCATCCGAGCAAGATAATCGCAATCGTAACTGTTTCGATTTCGATGAGGAGGTTGGTGGTAGTAATTTATTAGTAACAACAGCCACGGAGCTCCAGTATGTTTATAGCGCGTTATCTGGTATTTCGGTTTCCATGTTGGGTTGCTGCAACGGCCTGTTGTTATGCATGTTTTTATATGACCCGCAGTTATATTTGGTTAACCCAGCAACAAGGCAATCCAAGAAGCTACCAGAAATACCAACAGAATATCTAATTGATGATCTCTACTACTTTTGTGACGTGTATGGGTTTGGATTTGATTCTTCAACTCATCAACACAAGGTCGTCAATGGTGTCGTCTACAGAACAAGTGCCCGTGATGATGATGAAGGAGGGGTTCAGTTTAATGTGTATACACTGGAAACTAATTCTTGGCGACAGATTGATGAGTACGTATTTCCCTACCACATCTTTCCATGTCGAAATAAAGGGACCCTGCTGAATGGAAATCTCCATTGGTTGGGGACAAGAGTCGGAGAAGATGATCATCATCATTCATCTTTGTTGATTGTCTCCCTCGTTTTAACACAAGATCAGGAGGAGGTTGGAGAAATTCCACTGCCGCGCGAAATCAACTCTTCTCAAACTCGTCGTAGTAAGCTGGGGGTCTCCATACAATGAGTTTTGGGTTATGAAGGAATATGGAGTGGGCGAGTCTTGGACTAAAATGAGGGTCTCCATCCCATATTGGAACTTGTCACATTCTGGTTTCTGGACAAAGTCTCATGATTTGATGGTGTTTGAAGAAGAGTTGGTTATGTACAATTTTAACGATCACAGCTTTCGGAATCTACGCGTTCGTGAAATCGGCAAAGTTGGTAGTGTTGAAACCTACTGGGAGAGCATTGTTTCACTTAAGTAGAGTGAGAAAAATAAAAGAAGTAATTGGTACATTTTCTTTTCTTTCTTTTTCCCTTTTGTTTTTTTTTGGGTTTTCTTAGTTGTTATTCTTTTGAAGCAAAATATGCTGAACAAGGTTACCATTGCTTCACGGTGACTTGTTCAATAGGAGGAGACATCAAACTTTCCATCATACTGGCTTTGCGACGTGAGGTCTCTGGTTTCATCTTGACAACTGTTAGACAGAGGTCTCTGGTTAATGGATATAATTAAATTGTTTAGTCTCATACTGGCTTTGTTGTAAAGAAAATAGTTCCTAATACTTCTTCTTTTCTTTATTAATTAAGATTTTCTTCATCTGTTGGTTTATATTACTTGTAGAAATAATTGAAATTCTATAGCAGATTCCGAAGATCTTGCACAATTCTTTAAAAACTTGTAGCACATTTGAAATGGATTAGAAATGACTAAATGCATGAATTGTCCGAATCTTGACACACATAAATTGTAATTGCCTAAACAAACAATTTTATTGTATATCTAATTTCACAAATTTGAAATCTTCCTTTCACACCGTAACATATAAAACAATTTCCTTATTAAAAAAAACCCAATCAAATAATCAAACAGTAGTTAACATAATCAATCAAATATACAAATATACAAATAAACGATTAGATGAGTTTTCTAGTTGGGATTCTCTCTCTCTCTTCTCATATTTTTGTTTCGTTTGTCAATTCTGTGGCTGAATTCTGTCGGGGGGCAAGGCAACCGTGGGGTAGGACATGAAAAGCAACGACTACGACCACCGAGTTACTATTCTATATGGTATAGCGGAATGCGCGGGAAGGAATTCCCACATGGGGGCCCACATTTATAGTTGACCACTAATGACACCCCACGTCATGTCGCAATAGCAACAGTTGTCAAGATGCCGTCAAGTCTGCAGCACTGTGGTGCTTAAACCATTGTTTTTGTCAACAATAAATAAATAAATAAATAAATATATATATATATATATAAAATAGAGGAGGCTGTTGTTTTTTCTTTCGGTGCTTAAAGCATGGTTTTTATTTATCATAATTTTTTTTACAGAGGCATCCATGGTTTCTGTCTGTATTTGCCACGTTGGGATTCAAGCAGTAGGCAAGGTTGGATCAATAAATTTTTAAACAGGAGGGTTAGTTAAGGTTATTAACTTCAAATCTAATATATATATATTTTTATAGTCGTTCTATAAATAAAAGTATATATTAAAATATATAAATCATTCTAGTTCATAACTTCATTGATAAATTTTTAATAAATTTTAACATGAAATAAATACATATTAAATGTGACCAAAAAACACGTTCAACAATAAAATTAAAAGTATACCTATTCATCCGACGGGGTCTAACTCAGTAAAAAAAGGCCTTAATTTGTAGATAAGTGGTCTTATGTTCAAACCCCCTATGGCACCTTGATAGTACTGTGTGTGAGAAACCCCCCTCCATCTTGTAGTTTAGACTATCACTTGTATTTTAAAAAAATGTAGCTATTCAAGTTTGTACATATCCTAAAATCCTTGAGAGAATTGAATTTTGTTGATATATAATCTAAGTCAATAAGCAAATTTTTTAGTTTATTATAAATGTAGACAATCATATAATCCACCAGAAACTCGTTCTCCATCTTGTTAATAATAGTTGTTTTAACAAGTTGGAGAGTTAGGGCTAAGGAATTTTCCTTTTGGTCGAAGTGTTGTTGTTGGGATTGAGAAAACAAAGAGTCGTTTAGGGTTGTGGATTGAGAAAAAATTTATACACTTGTATTTTTGTTTCTTTGGCTTGAATATGAGAGTTCTATATAAACAAAAGTACCATCAAAATGTTAATTTCTTAGATTTGGTGTGATTTAAAAATTATTATTATTTTCCATTCCATATGAGTAAAAGACAACAATTGATTCTAACAAAGTAAAGAGTAATGACGCTCTACCATGATTAGCTTAAGGAATAATCAAATGCAATTAGGATAATTTTTTTCAAAAAGGGAACAGCAATTAGGACATTAATAATTTGTTATAAGTAGTCTTTAATTAGTCTTACTTTCAAATTATCCTAGTGCATGGAACCTCTTGATTTTGGGTCCTAGACGTTGTACAGGTGGTTGGGGGTGCTCACTGAAAAGAGGGAAACAACAGGCAATTCGCATGTATTTGGGAGGCCATTCAACAAGTCCCTTCAAAACAAAATTTGGTTCTTATTCAACCAAAAACAAAAGGATACTACTTGCTTCATTATCGGTAAAGAAATACTCTTTTTTTTTTGTGAATCACAGTTTGAAGCATATACAAAAAATAATTTATAAAAAATATATAAAGAAAAACTTTTGCACACATGTTACACTGTTATTAACATGAATATATGAGCTCCTACTTACCTGATAAGGAGGAAAGTATTTTCCAAAACAAAAACAAAAACAAAAATGGTTGGTTAAACTTGAAAACCCTAATTCATGCAGTATAATCATAAACTTTGATGCAACATTAGCATCAAACAGCTGTAAAGTGCCCATTCACTTTTTTTTATTTTTTATTTTTCATTTGCACCCAAAACAAAGTATGCGTTTTGAGCTATGATGGAGGTGGTTGAATTGAAACCCATCCAACTCTCAAGATTTTTTGTTTTAAAAATCAACACTTGGAATCAACAAAAACGGAAAATGTGCAACGTTTTCTGGTGATCCTCTATTTCATTAGTTTCTATGTGCTGGCCTAACAACATTATTCAATCACTTGTTATGCCGAATAATTCTCAGCATCTTCAACTCTTTGGCCGCAATCTCAACTTTCATGGCGTCTACTTCCGTTGCTTTCTGCTGCATAAGTTATTTATCTATGGGCTCTTTCGCCAATTTTCTTTTCAGATTTTTTTGGTCACTGCCACTTGAATTCTTTAATTAAGGTGGAAAATCGAGATTTGAATGTTGTAATTGGTCAATTTATCCCCACCATGAGATTTGAAAAAAATGTTAAATACTTCAAAATTTGTTTCAAGTTGGCGTTGAAAAAACCAATTTGATGTTCTTCGATTCTTAATTATCAATTTATTGTAGGAGGTAGATAGGAAGTCTGGTTGAAGTTGTGCATTTACAATACATCATAATACATCCTTAAATTTTATCTAAACGGTGGTTTATAGAGCTCATTGTGAATGATCCCTGAAGAGACATAACAATGGATTGTCTCGAGAAAATGTAAATCCAGTAAACTTGACCATTCATGATTTAGTAATTTCTAAATAAAAAATAGAGCTCATTGTAAATGCTTTTAAAAAGCAAACTAGATGGATTATGTATTATATTTGGAACCTCTAGTATAATTTGCTTGGATGGGGTTTATCGTTTATGCTCGCTTGAAGACTACTAAGGCGTGATTATTTTCAATACAATGAAATATCATGGCATACGTTTAAAATGGAATCCAGTACAATAGTGTTTTTGTTTTCCGCCTACAAACCATCCTTAGATATGAGATTTAAATATGCATTTGTGAGCTTTGTAGGCTTATATAATGAATGTTGGGAAATGCTTGGTGATCATTGAAAATAATTTGATGACCATTTGTTCAATCGTTCGTATATATCCTAAGGCTCTGTTTGGTGGGCTGGATTGGATGAGACATTTTCAATTAAAATGAACATAGGTCAAGTCTGTTGTTTGGTGGGCTTAATTGCATCATACATTGGCTTGGACTTAAATTTTCGTTTAGGATATGAATCCAGCATAGATCTCAAAGATGCAGGGTTAATGGGTGGGTGTGACTTCCAACTTGACGTTGTTGTCTCCCGAGATTAAATTTTTGGGTTTTGCATCTGGTTCCAAGCTTTTACTAAAAAGTCAAGGGTTTTCTTCAATCTGAATTTTGCATTTGATTTTAACAAGCCATCCAATCCAATGTTTCAAAGCTCATCTTAACCAGTTCAAACCAACCCACCAAATGGGGCCTAAACAAATATTACACCGTGTTGTCGTAGCTAATTGCGCTTGAAAAATTAGAAATTATTTTTTTTTTTTTTTTTTTTTTTTTTTTTTGTTTTTAAATTGTAGGCCAAAGCCCACATAAAAAAACCAAAGGACTAATAAATAAGGAACTTCCTTAACTTGGGCCGTAGTGGTATTTTGCATAACTTAGCTTTTGAAGAAAGAGTAGTTGGCTTTAATAGTCTTCCTATATAGTAATGCAGAGAAGATTATTAATTCCATTTTGAATCAATGATTAGTTGTGTTCCATTAGTTGTGGTGATTTCTTTTTGTTCATCGTTTTTCTCAACTGTTATTTTAACTTAGGAATAATTTAGTGCGTTAAAAATTTGAGTCTTAAAATATGTGGGTAAGCAAAAAACATTATGAATTCATAACATTCTTTGTTATGACAATATCACTCATCTTTATAAAGTTGTTAGTTCAGTAAACATATATTTTACCGAGCTAACATAACTATTAAAGCATTGCTTTATACTGAGCTAGTATGTACCCGAAGCCTCCGACCTCTTTTTATTTTATTTTTATTTGCATAGAAGCAAGTTTAGCAAATTAAAAGGTAGATGAACACTGTTATAAAAAGGGAGAAATTATTAAGTGCTTCTAGAAAAAACGTTTGTGATAAAGATGTTGAAATTTTATAATAAAAATCCAAGTGTTTCTTCTTAGAAAATCAATTGTGAGTGCTTCTTGAAGAAGATAATCATGATCCATAAGCGCTTCTAAACTTTTTTACCAAATCCTGTCAGAAGTGCTTTTAGCAATTTCAGAAACACTTCAACCACACAGGATAATATAAAACTCTTTTTCGATGAAATGGTGGGCCAAGGCCCAAATAGAAATCAAAAGGACAAATAAGGAACTTCATTTACTTGGGCCGTAGTGGTACTTCGGCATAACTTAGCTCATGGAGAATGAGTTGTTTGCATTTAATTGTCCTCCTGTATAGTATTGCTAAGAATATCATGAATTTCAATTTTCAATTATGATTAATTGTGTTCCATTAGTTGGTGGTGTGGTGAAATCTTTTTGTCCTTGTTTTTCTTAACTTTTAATTTGACTTAGGAATATTCTAGTGTGTTGAAAATTTGAGTCCTAAAATATATGGGTAAGCAAAAGAATAATGGATTCATAACATTCTTTGTTGACAATGTCAATCATATTTAAAGAAATGTTAGCTCGGTCAATATAGTTCACCGAGCTAACATAACTATTAAAACATTGCTTCATATTGAGCTAGTATGTAAGCGAAACTCCAACCCTCTTTTAATTTTATTGTTATTTGCATAGAAGCAAGTTTAACAAATAAAAAAAGGTGTTCATCTAAAAAAACAAAAAAATACGTAGATAAGCATTGTTATAAAAATGGAGAAATTATCGAGCGTATTGAATACACCTTACGGTGCATAGAATCAACCCATATTATAATATGTATAACAATCAATAATGTATCCCATGTTCTAAATTAAACATCTAATGTGTTGAAAATTAAACACATGTTACAATACATGTAGAATACACGATATCGACACATCGAAATGTCAAGTATACACAAATGCCTTTTTGGTAAAATGAGGAGAAAGCAAGTGAAAAGGATAGAGGAAATGCAAAGAAATTATTTGTAATATGTTGTGAAGAGAAATGTGAGATCTGAATTTGTGACAAGAAGATAGAGGAAATACAAAGAAACTATCTTTGAAATGAATTGAAATGATAACTTGTTTGTACCAGAAAATAATTACCCCAAAATTATTATTCCATCCATGGAATCATTGCTTGCCTGCCTATTTCCATATGATACATCCTGCATTCATTGGCCCTCAATCCCTTCATTTCAATTTCACCCAAAACCCCAAATTCCCAACTCAAATCAGTGATTTGAATAGACTAAAAACCAACCAACAAAGAAAAATTAAAATAAAATAAAATTATTCCATATTCCCAGAGGACATTCGGAATGAGACATTGTGGAAAAGCCAAGGGCCATTTGGTCATTTCAAAAAAAAATTTCACAAAAATAAAAGAATTGGGGAGAGTGAGAATGATAAAGGAAGCAGCAAGCAATTGAGTCCGGGTCGGTTTGTGGGGGCAAGAGAAGGTAGAGAAATCGAGAAAGGAAGAAACAAAGAAGGAAGGAAAAGAAGGAAAAGGAGCTTACCAAAAAGCCAATTTCATCTCAGCCAGAGAACGCGGAACCCCAAAAATAAAAATAAAAATAAATAAATAAATAAATAATAAAAAAAGAAAAACAATTATTTTTTATTTTTATCATTATCATTAAATATATTTTTGTGTAGAAGAGAAGGTGGTGCTGGTGCCATCCAGTTCTTCTCCCACCCATCCCTCAAAAAAACCTCCCCATATCCTCTCTCTCTCTCTCTCTCTCAATATCTCAATCTCCCCATCTCTCAATTTTCATCTTCCAAATCTCTCCCAGACCCAATTCTTTCTATGACCATCAGACCCTAAAAAAACCTTCGATTCTTGGCCATGAGGAGGGGCAGAGGAGCCGCCGCCAGAGCCGCAGCAGCGACGCCGGCAGAACCCACCGGATCCAGGCCCAATATCGCCAACGAGGTCCGGTATCGGGGGGTCCGCAAAAGACCATGGGGACGGTTCGCGGCCGAGATCCGAGACCCGTGGAAGAAGACCCGGGTTTGGCTCGGCACCTTCGACTCGGCTGAAGACGCCGCACGAGCCTACGACGCCGCCGCTCGCATCCTCCGCGGCCCCAAAGCCAAGACCAACTTCCCGGTCTCATGTGCTTACCCTCCTCCCTTCTACAACAACCCGACCGACCAGGCCATTGAGACGAAGCTTTTCGGGTCGGGTTACGGGTTTCAGGACCACCCGGTTGTCGATCCGCAGAGGCCCACGTCCAGCAGCCTCAGCTCTACCGTCGAGTCGTTTAGTGGGCCCCGGCCGCCGCCTCAGTCTACGACGATTGCCGCCGAGTCGTCTCGGCGGAAACGACAGCCGAGGACCCCGCCGGTTGTTCCCGAGGACTGCCACAGCGACTGCGACTCGTCGTCTTCAGTTGTGGAGGACGACGGGGATTTCGCCGCGTCGTCGTCGTTTCGGAAGACCCTGCTGCCCTTCGATCTCAATTTCCCGCCGTTGGATGAGGAGGGGGAGTTGGGCGGTGGGGACGGTCAGGATCTAAGATGTACGGCTCTATGCCTCTGATATTGTTTGATGTTACTATGATGTTGATCTTCGTTGATGATGATGAGATGATGATCAATTTTTTTTTTTTTTTTTTTTTTTTTTTTTTTTTTTTTTCCTTTTTTTTTTTATAATTTCTTTTCTTTTTTTTTTCATTTCTATTATTATTATTGTGCGGAGGAAAATGAAAAGAAGATGGTTAGATTAGTAAGATTATGGTAAGATGGTCTTATCTTTGTATTCTTGCATGGTGTTTGATGAGAATTACTTTTTTTTTTTAATTTTTAATTTTCTCATTTTAGAAACTAAACAAGAAATTATGAGGAGCTTCTTGTTGTGATGTGATATGTGTTAGGGTTTGTGGACTGTGATGGGATCTGGAATTCTTCAGTTTTCATGTTCTTGTTTTAAAATGGGGTAAAAGGAAAGGCTTATCTAATTCATATTGGGTTGGAATCTATGATTGGGTTGGTAGTTTTGTTTATGTTTTTGGCAAGTTTACTCATTTGTAGCTTCTCTTGTTTGTATTCCATTGTCATCTTTAGAATAAGATTCAATTTGCATGGGCAGATTTGGGGAATGCAAGGGAAAACAAGTTGGAATGTGTCATTCCATTTTTCAGAAATCTCATTTGTTTGTAAGTTTATGGCTGTCTGATAACCATAACCATTTCAATTAGCTTTTAGTTTTCATTTTTCATTTTTTGTGCTGGAGTATAGAGGAAAATGTGAGTAAAAATGGAGTGAGGATGAGAGGGGAGGATGGGAGGGACGAGAAACAAAAGTGAAAATTAAAAACTAAAAATGAAATGGTTATCAAACAGACGACATCGAAAAAAGAAATTGAGAACTTGGTTCAATTTTGTGAATAAATGTGAAAATTGGATGCTCAATTTTAGGTTTAATGATGAATGCTTCATGTTGACTTTTCTTGTTTAAAGGCCATGTCTTATTGTTTGGTAGGAGAGTGGGGGTCAACAATTGCATGTACAACAAACGCAGTTTCTGAAATTGCATTCAAATACCTCCTCACCACTCACCTTATTATGTTGTCGTGTTGCTCATCTTCGAAAGTTGAACTTGGACTAGAATTGGAGGAAGGAAGCTCAGAAATAGCATGTTTTGCTATTCCCAATTAATTATATTTTGTTACGCATTATAAAGATTTTATATATTAAAACGTAATTAGACGAAGATAACAAAACAATGCTATTTTCATAACATATGCAAACTCTTTTCCTAATAAGCCCCTCTACTTTCCAGCCCCTACTTTTTTTAATCTTTAACTTTGATTGTTAATTGTGTTGGGCATTGTGATGCTTCAGCTTCAAATTGAATTAGAGTCCCAAGAAAATATGCTTTTGTCCTTGTTGGGATGTAATGTAAGATTGCATATGGATTCTTTTTATGGAGGGCATTTTTGCATCTTCAACTCTGACTAGCGATTTGAATTGGAGCTTAGCTAGGCCAGCCAGCCAGCCTGGGTTACGTAGATTTCCTGGCAATATGCAATAGGCATACAAAATGGTATATATATACAATACAATACAAGCAGTAGAAGACATTGTTTTTGTGGGCTCTGCACACTTTGGGCCTCAGGTTTTCCGATGCATTCTTTTTCTATTTTGTCTTTAAGTGATTGTGTCTTTATTTTTATGTTTTTGTTACAATAAAGAGCATCGAACTCTTGCCTTAATCTAATCCGAACATCGTCATTTAGGCACCAACGGGGTTTAACCCAATGAAAAAGTAATTGTCTTTTAGACAAATGGTCTGAGTTTCGAGCACTGTGTGTTTGAGTAACTCCCTTCCCTTGTAGTTTAGAGAACTATCGATCATATAAAAATAAAAACAAAAACAAAAACATCGCTATTTAGGCTAACCTCAAAAACCTGAAGAGGTTGAACGCGTTTTCTCTTTTTGGGGTGGTGGGAAAAAAATAGGGTTCAAATTGCATTCATCAATGAATGGGAGAATGGGAGCCATGGGAACGGCACCTAACATTATTACTCAATAAATACAGCAGTTATTGCTTTTTCTGTATTCTTTTTCCAAACACAAGACAGAAAACAGAGCCCGACGAATAAATCACTACTGGGAATCTCGTGATTTAGGTTTACTCGAATCTACTGTTAAGGACAGGAATGGGTCCAATCCTATTGGCTTCATCTTCACCTTCTTTATTACTCGCTTAATTTCCAAAACATTCTTTTGACAAAGTTTTAGTCTTCTTTTCTTTCTACGCTTGGTTTTTAATTTTCACTTTTTAAAAAAAAAAAAAAAAAAAAAAAAAAAAAAAAAAAAAATATACAGTATTGTATTAGGGTTATGACATTGACGTGTGTTAAATTAATGTATCTAATGGTAGAAAGAGACGTTCATGCAACGAGATAACTTTTTCATAATACGAGAGATAACTTTTCCATATGTCATTACATTATTGACCAGATATATCAAAACATTGATATCCTCGTTACAACAAATTTTTTCTGCCTATGGTGGGTAGGTTGCATTATGGAGATCCATTCATTTGAAAAGGATAACATTAAAAGAAGAAGAAACATATAGGGGGGCCTTGCCTATCCAACGAGATCCATACCCTAACCTACCCTACCCTAACCTGCCCCGCTAGTGTTGTACATAGCTAACACGTTTGACCCCTACCCTACTAGATTGCACAGCTTTACACATGATGCATTGATGTGGACTTGGAAAAATCATAATTGCGTTGTGTTGTGAGGAAGAAGAAGAAGAAGAAGGTGTCCTTTAAAATGGTGATTCAAGCAAGTCTTAAAATGTGCACCACACCAACCCAACCAACCAAAAAGAGGAAGTTGGTTTCTTCAAATGAGCTCATTTAATCAAAGCATTGTGGAAGAAAGAAAAGGGCTTAATTCTCTGCAAATGCTTCCACCGACACCTGCTTTGCACATGCCATGCATGACTTTATGTCCCCTCTTTGGTCAATACTTTGTACACATTTCACAGTAACACTGCTTTCCATGGCCACGTCCTGGCTTCGTCCCTCCAAGATTATTTCCCGCCAAATCAAAAAACCAAAATAATAAATAATAAAGTAAGAAAATACAACATCTCCACTGTATATCTAATAAGTTTTCTGTTTACCAGTGGTTTATCTAGCTATGTGTATATTGCTTTAAGGAAAGTAACTAATTTTTGGTTGAAAATGTTCATGGCGCTTCTTTCTTCATGTGTGGCCCAATTTTAAGTTGACGAACTATTTTCCCTTGGTGGTGTCCCTGATGAGATGAATTGATATTGTTAGACTTAATTATAAATTTGCCTCTCAAACTTTTTAGGTTTTCCACTTTGGTCTTTTAAAAGAAATTTATCTTTAGACTTTTTATTTTATTGTAATGATTTTGTTTCTTGGATTGAGGAAGCACCTACATGGTTGCTATCTTCTCTTTCGGCAGATGTATCTCTTCTTGAGTTTTTTTTTGAATGAAATCTTAATTCTTGAAAAAAAAAACAAAAAAAAAGTATGCAGGGGCTTGTATACAGCTCAAGTGTTAAAGAATATTTATCACTTACACTCAAAGTCCTAGGTTCGATTCTCTCTTTTCCAATATTGCTTGTATCAAGGAAATAAAAAGTACGTTAAAATGGGGACTAACATGGGCTAAAGCCCAGGCAACTTGTTTTTTTTAAAAGACTAAATTAATACTCTAGCCTAGGTCATCCAAATAAAATATTATTAACTAATTCCACTAGGACTAGGCTTATTACCTAAATAAAATATTATTAACTAATCCCACTACGTCGAAGCTAACCAACAAATAAGTAAAAGGAAATAAACCCCACAATTATTAACTAAACTATTCCAAAATCACTACACTAGGCACAAACATCCCTCTCCTTTACCAAAAAAGAAAAAAAGAAAAAAGAAATCCCTCTATCTCTTGCGCAGTAGTAGACCATTCGCTAGGAGCTAACTCCTGCTCTTTGACAAAAAGGAAAATTATGCACATCCTCAAACTTAATTAAGGTAATCTTCCATTCTTCATCCATTTTCTTTTGAAATTTTGGGAATTGTTTAGGGTTTACGAAGTATCAATTAGGGATTTACAATTAAGGTTTATCAATTAGATTTTTTGATTTTGGTGTTCTTGCTTGCTTGTACAAATTGTCAATTAGGGATTTTAATTAGATATTGAACCAATAATTAGTAATTTTGATGTTGTGAAGACTCGAAGGGTGCAACTTATATAAGTGTTATTTGAGGGGTAAGACTCTTTATGTTCCCCCCGTGTATTTTTTTGTTATCAATGAAATCTACTCGCACCGTTGAATTTTCAATAGGTTTTGTTAGGACCCCATCACTAGTTTATCACCTATCTATTTCCATTAAGAATAAAGGCTAGTAGTATTCCTTATTTATAGGGAATTAGTTGTCGTCTAGCTGGCCTGTCGCCATATGGCATTTGAGAGTTTGTATATATCCTTCTCATTGTTTCTAAGAAAGGCATGAAATCAAAAGGTTGTTTTCTTCCTTTTATTCCCAATTGCTATTTCCTTACCTTTTCCAAATTAGATTTTGGGTCCTAACATTTAGTATCAGAGCCATATTATGTCTTATGGGCAAGAAACATTAGGCGACTACCTTAATAGAGGCCGTTGCCATAGCCGAGGTAGAGCTTGACGTCCAAAAGAAGCTATGGGAAGCCCAGATCCACGAGGTGCAGAATTCAGTGTCCACCATGACCTTTAGACAAGAGGAATTTCATACAAATATGACGGAAGTTCTGAAGACGTTATCATCTTTGACCACGCAACAGGCTCAGCAAGTCGCCTTTTAGCAAAACGATAATGGACGAGCTACGTAATTTACGAACACGAGCTTCGCAGCCATCGCCGTCATGCCCCGATTAGAAAATAAGGAATATTCCCGAATCAGGGTGTGAGTCATACCATAGTCATAAGAATAAAATTCTACAACCATGATATGATGAGAAAAAGAGCCACAAATAAATACAAATTTACTTAACAACACAGAATTAGAGTCGCAATAGCTCGTAGTTAATTACACACTAAGACCTTTATCAACTCGTTGACTACTTACTAATGTTAATTACACGAATCGACAACAAAAACCTAGTAGCTTGGTTGAAACCCGTTTCCTCAAACTTCACCTTGAATCCTGCATAATCTATTAGGGTATGACCATTCTAATGCCAGGTAGAATGTTCATGGGGCTTCTTTCTTCATGTGTGGCCTAATTTTAAGTTGACGCACTATTTTCCCTTGGTGGTGTCCCTGATATTGATATGTTATATTGTTAAACTTAAAATTTTTTTCTCAAATTTTGTCTCTCGCAATCTTTTGGGGTTTTATTTTGGTATTTTTAAAAGAAATTTATTTAAAAAAAAAAAAAAAAAAAAAAAAAAAAAAAAAAATTTGTTTCTTGGATTGAGGAAGCACCTACATGGTTGATATCTTCTCTTTCTGCAGATGTATCTCTTCTTGAGTTTTTTGAATGAAATCTTGATTCTCGAAAAAAAAAAGTATGCAGGGGCTTGTATACAACTCAAGTGTTAAAGAACATTTACCACTTACACTCAAAGTCGTAGTTCAATTATCTCCTTTCCAATATTGCTTGTATCAGGGAAAAAAAAAGGTATGTTAAAATGGGGACTAACCGACAACTTGTGTGTTTTTTTCAAAAAGACTAAATTAATACTCTAGTCTAGGTCATCCAAATAAAATATTATTAATTAATCCCATTAGGACTAGGTTGACCATCCAAATAAAATATTATTAACTAATCCCACTACGTCTAAACTGACCAATAAATAAATAAAAAGAACTAAACCCCACAATTATTAACTAAACTATTACAAAATCACTACACTAGGCACAAACATTCCCTCTCTCCTTTACCAAAAAGAAAAAAAGAAAAAGAATTCCCACTATCTCTTACGTAGTAGCAGACCATCCTCTAGTGGCTAACTCCTGCTCTTCGACAAAATGGGAAAATTATGCATGTCCTCAGACTTAATTAAAGCAAACTAAGGTAATCTTCCATTCTTCATTATTTTCTTTTGAAATTTTGGGGATTATTTTGGGTTTATGAAGTATCAATTATGGATTTACAATTAAGGTTTATCAATTAGATTTTTTGATTTTGGTGTTCTTGCTTGCTTGTATGAATTGTCAATTAGGGATTTTAATCAGATATTGAATCAATAATTAGTGATTTTAATGCTATGAAGACTCGAAGGGTGCAACTTATATAAGTGTTATTTGAGTGGTAAGGCTCAATATGTCCCCCTGTGTATTTTTTGTTATCAATGAAATTTACTCGTACCGTTGAGTTTTCAATAGGTTTTGTTAGGACCCCATCAATAGTTTATCACCTATCTATTTCCATTAAGAATAAAGGCTAGCAGTGTTTCTTATTTGTAGGGAATTAGTTGTCATCTAGCTGGCCTGTGGCCTTCAGGCATTTAAGAGTTTGTATATATCCTTCTCGTTGTTTCTGAGAAAGGCATGAAATGAAAAAGTTGTTTTCTTCCTTTTATTCCCAATTGCTATTTCCTTACCTTTTTCAAACTAGGTTTTGGGTCCCAACATTTGGTATTAGAGCCAGGTTATGTCTTATGGGCAAGAAACATCAGGCAACTATCTCAATAGAGGTTGTTACCATAGCGGAGGTAGAGCTTGACATCCAAAAGGAGCTATGGGAAGCCTAGATCCATGAGGTGCATAATTTAGTGTCCACAATGACCTTCAGACAAGCGAAATTTCAAACAAATATGATGAAAGTTCTGAAGACGCTATCGTCTTTGACCACATAATAGGCTCAGCAAGTTGCATTTCAGAAAATGATAATGGATGGGCTACATAATTTACGAACACGAGCTCCATAGCCATCGTCTATACGAGTGGTGTATGGGTCTTTTTATTCCAGCAGCTTAACGAATAGGCTTGGGTTGCGGAAAAGAGAAACATGTGAAATTACCCCCGGTGCCTAAGTTCAAGAATCAGGCCTCAAGAATGCTTCAAAAGGGTAGTGAAGCCTTAGGAAGCATCCTCGTTACCTTCACCAACAAAAACAACAACTGCTTATAGGTAGATTCTTAGCTTGACATGAGAAGCTTATGACATGGAAGCAAAGCAATCATGAGTTTGGTATTAAAAAGAGAGAGGGCTGTGAGTTCCTATGAGAAACATGGGTTTTAAGGAAAGGAGGAGAGGATTCTAAGAGGGTTTGTTGAAGAGAGAGAGAGATGGGAGAAATAATGGGTGTGTTGAGTAGTTTCCAACAACCTGACAAAAGCTTTGTCAGACTTTGGAATAGCTTAACAAAAGAGAAAATGGAAGAGATGGAGGAATTGGGGCTGGAAATTGCAGAGGTTTCTAGGATGATAGATGAAGCTTGCTCTTTGCATGTGGTTGTAGCTAGTGGTGAAGTAATGGGTGTGGTTTGAGTGAATTTCCAGTTTCTTAACAAAGCTTGGTCGCACTCTGGATGATGATTTTGTTGGGTAGAGGAAGCTCCCTTTTATAGGCACTTAGAACCCTAATTCTATCAATCCTCAATTCTCACTTTTCCTTTGCTTTTTTCCATTCACTCTTTTTTGGTGAAATTTCTTTAACCAGAGCTAATGGGTCATAGGCTCTTTGGGGTTCCAAGGTTTTTTGTGAGGCTAAACCTTCCCATGGGGACGAGGTGCCACTTGCTTTTCTTCTTAGTTTCCCTATTAGAGCTCGCAGAGGAAATGAGAATGGATAGAGCTTTTGCCTAATGGGTATTCCTCCTACACGTACAAATTCCCTTTGGTTTTGCGATGGCTTCATGTTGACTCTGCTATGAAGCTTTGGCAAGGGTTGAACACAACGCTAGATATTTTATTAGGTACTGGGCTGAGCTTTTCCTAAGGTATTGGGTCATCTCTTCTAGAGTATTAGGCTTTTTTATCTTTTTTATGCTTACCCACATATTTGGGCTCAAGAAATGAGCTTGAGTTTTGGGGTTCCCAAGCAGCCCAAAACTTCCATTTCTCGGCTCATCAATGGGCCTCATGAAAGCTTGTTACCATCCATACCAGAACCCACTCAAGCAAGCCCCGGACATTTGCATGGCTTGGGCTCACTTAAGCTTGTAGCGTGGCTAGGTATAATAATAATGATTTTCCGCTTGGCATTGCATGTCTCTTAGCGTGCTTAAATTTTGTCTCTTTGAAGAAGGATATGACGCATGATGGGATAATTATCTTGGGCTCGTAAAGCCAGTGCTTATTTCAACTCTTAGCATGACATATTGCATATTTATTTGGCATGGTACGTGGGTCATGACTTGTGCGAGTGTGAATGACGAACTTTCGCGTGCTCCAAATCGAGTCTTTTCTTAATAAGGCATTGCAATGGGCCGGGAATTCATTTTGACCAAACCGTGAATTTTTTGGGCCTCAACAAGTGGAAGGCTAAGCTCAGTCTCACTAGTGCAGCGGAGTTCGATATCCTCACCGGGTCTAACGATTTTTGGGACTTTCGCAGGCGAAGGACTCAACTCGATTCTCTCAAACACACTCCTCCATTCCCAACCATACACGGGAATATCGACATCTAATATGGGTTTTTCATCACCAATTCTGATCAGTTTACCGCCTGTGGCCATGAGGGCACCTTATAATCCTAATTTTTAGAGGGGATCTTGTCTGATGACAAGTTTGCCCTATATGGCCACATTGAGCAACTATACCACGCTTCATTTCCTTTTTTTTTTTTTTTTTTTTTTTTTTTATTTTCATACACACCCTCCGTGGTTTAACTACCACCGTATGTCCATCCGTACTCAGTTCCGATGAGTACGATATCACCAGACTTTCCCATCATTCTCAATCCAATCTGAAGCCGATGAAATTGGATATGGGGTGGTTGGCTATGGTAGAGCGTTTTATGGAGTATCACGAGGTACCCAAGCACCAAAAGTTCATCGTGGCTGCTATGCATCTAGGTGGAGATAACGCGTTATGGATGTAGTGGTATGAGGCTCGTTATTCCAGAGAATCGTGGGCAATGTTTTCAGAGATGTTGCTGCAGCATTTTGGGCCAGGAGAAACCCTAAACAGTACCATGACCCTAACCACGTAAGACAAACGAGCATTATCGCTGAATATGTGGCCATTTTCATTAAATTATCATGTAGAGCAATGGGCTAGTCTGATGAAAGATTACAAGGCCTTTTTGTGGGAGGGCTCAAGGACGAATTTCAAGACGATGTGGTGGCTATGGAACCCAAGAAATCAACACGGGCCATGGAGTTGGCTCAGTTATTTGAGAACAAACATAATAAACGTAAATCCACTACTAGGACAATATTTGCACAACCCATAACTTTACCTCCACGACCTAACCACTGATATCCCAATTCAGCAGTACCACCAAGCATATCCTAGACAGCCATGGACCTCCAGTCCACTGTAAAACGTAGGCAGAGCTATAGGAAAGAAGCAAAAGGGTCTATGTTTCTACTGCGAAGAGTAATATACCCTTGGGCATCATTGCAAGACAACTCATCTTCTCTTGATTGAAGTACAGGGAGATTATATGGAAATAGTTGATGAGGTCTAAGAACCAGTCAGGGGTGTAGTAATTGAGGACTTAGAGGTAGACCTGGCAATATTGTATACGACCCGTTAATACGACATGAATTCGCAAAAAAATTTCAGTATTCGAGTCCGAGTTATTGTGTCGTGTTGCTATCGTGTTGACCCGTTAGCCACCCGATAAGCTATCTTGTTGTGTCGTGTCGTGTCAATTCACGAATACCCATTAACCCGTTAAGCTCAGGGGCATTTTTATAAATTTATATCTATTTCTTTTTTTATTTCTCTTTTTCTTCTTCTCTTTCGTCTCTTCCTCCCCCATTCCCCTGATTATCTCTCTCTCTCTCTCTCTCTCTCTCTCTCTCTCTCTCTCTCTCTCTGTAGGTTCCTTGGTATGTTAGGAGATCATCAAATCATGGAAGACATTGCTGCCAACGAATCCCACGACTAAGATGATGAAGAAAGAGTCACTCAAGTTGTCTTCTTCGAGGTCCGAATTCATTGTTTGTTTTCAATGACTCTGACTTAACGTAAACGGGGCTTTCCGTAAACAATTGAGATGATGAAGAAATATGGGGAGCATGAGAGGAGAAGAGATGGTGGTGGTGATGAGGTCTATGTTTTTTGTTTTTTTGTTTGTTTGTCTTGTTTTTGTTATTTTTTAATTTTTTAATTTATGTTTTTTTTTTTTTTTTTTTTTTTTTTTTTTTTTTTTAATTCTGATTATCGTGTCGTGTCGTGTGATTCGCAAATTGTAATGGGTAGTATTCGTGTTTGACATTTTCAACCCATTTTCTTATCGTGTCATATCGTGTTAACCTGTTAAAAGAAGCGGGTTGACACGAAAACGACACGAACACTGCAAAAACGACACGAATGCCAAGTCTACTTAGAGGGTCTAGTTCAACTCCATGCCATCACAGATAAAAAGAAAGGGCAGGGTCGTGCAATGAAGCTAATGGGTCAAATCATAGGCATTCTATACTGGTCTTTAATGATTTAGGAGCGGACAGAAGTTTCTTAAATCTTGAGATTGTAGCGCAACTGAATATCCCTATTAACAGGGACATCAAGGAAACTGTGGTTATGGCTACTGGCAAACCTTTCAAAACTAAGGGAATAAGCAATGGGGTGGATGTGATATTACAAAGGTATCAATTCAAACATAATTTTCGGCTATTGGTAGTGGCCAGGTGCGACGTGGTGCTGGGTTTAGATTGGTTGGAAACCCTCGGTCTAATTGGTTGGCATTTTTAAGCAAAAGAAGTACGGAATTTAATATTGGGGGAGCATGTTATCGATTGGAAGGTAAGCGATATAACAAGGTACAACTGACCTCTCAAGCCTGCAGTATGTCTATGATCCAATCAGAGACAATAGGGGAAGCTTAGGAGACAACAGTCAATCTCCAATGTGATGGAAACTATTCCAGAGTGTATACAATTGTTGCTCTTACAATTTGCAGAGTTATTTTCTGAATCAACAGTCCCCCCTAAGAGAGCAGTTGATCACTACATCACTCTAATAGCAGGAACAAGGCTAATTTCAGTAAGGCCGTATAGTTATGCCCAGAGTCAGAAGACCGAAATTGAAAGTCAAGTAACCGAAATGCTGAAAGAAAGATTGATCAGACAGAGCACAAGTCATTTATACTCTTTGGTGCTATTTGTTAAAAAAAAAACAAAAGAATGGACTTGGAGATTTTGTGTGGACTATAGAGCACCCAATCAGGTAACCATAAAGGATATGTTCCCTATTCCTGTCATAGATGAGCTTCTTGATGAGTTACATGGTGCTTGTATATTCTCAAAATTGGATCTCAGGTCTGGGTATCATCAAATTCGAATGGCAGAAGATGACATATCCAAAACTTCATTTCGAACTCATGAAGGGTATTATGAATTTCTAGTAATGCCCTTTGGTCTCTCAAACGTACCATCAACTTTCCAATCCTTGATGAATTCAATCTTTCGTACATTTTTGCCGAATTCATACTGGTATTTTTTGATGATATACTAGTGTATAGTCCCAGAGTACATGAGCATATTGCTTATCTAACCACAGTCTATGAAGTTCTGAGCAAGCATGGGTTGAAGGTAAAGAAAGCCAAGTGTTTTTTCGAGCAAGACTCTATCGATTACTTGGGTCATCACATCTTTGCGAGGAGTGTGGAAGTCGACAACATGAAGATTCAATGCATTATGAATTGGCCTAAACTGACCACTGCTAAAGGATTACGGGGTTTTTTGTGGAATTTGCTGGCTATTACAGGAAGTTTGTTTGTGGCTTTGGCATAATCTCTAAACCCCTAACTAACATGCTGCGAAAGGACAACTTCACATGGACGGTAGAAGCAGAACAAGCTTTCGAAGCTCTCAGAACGACACTGACAACCAGGCCAATCCTTGCATTACCAGATTTCGCCAAGGACTTTGAGGTAGAATGTGATGCTTCCAATGGTAGTATAAGAGTCATCATGTCGCAAGATCGTCATCCTATTGAGTACCTTAGCAAGGCACTCTCAGAGAAACATAAAGCTCTCTCAGTCCATGACAAAGAAATGTTGGCCGTGGTGTACGCAATGGAGCATTGGTGGCCCTATTTGTTAGGCAGGAAGTTCAAAATCTTAATTGATCATCAGATAATCCGGTACTTCTTAGAGCAAAGAATTACAACTCCCACCCAAGAAAAATGGTTGCTCAAGTTGCTAGGGTATAATTACGAGATCGAGTATAGAGCCGGAGCAAGTAATACAGGACCTGATACACTTTCTCGAAAGCATGAACTGCTTGCGCTCATGGGGTTGTCAACTAATATATGTTTGTTTTCAGGATCCTATGGCACATTGATCTTGTCAATTCAGAACAACACCAATAACAATCCTAAGTATACTTTGTCCAACAATTGCCATTATTTTAAAGGAATGGTGTTTGGGCCATCTAATTTGGCTTGTAGAGGTCGCATCTTAGAAGAGTTTCATAGCACTCCAGCTGCTGGTCATTCAGGATATTTGCGTACTTACAAAAGAATTTTGAGGAATTTTAGTTAGCCAAGACTCAAGATAGATGTTAAAAAATTTGTGGTAGCCTGTGACACTTGCCAACGCCAGAAGTATGAATCTATCAAGCCGCCTAGTCTTCTCCAACCTTTGCTAGTTCCGGATGCTATTTGGCAAGATATTGCCATGGACTTTATTGAAGGTTTGCCACCTAGCAAGGGCAAAAACTGCATCTTAGTGGTAGTGGACAGATTATCAAAGTATGGTCATTTCCTACCTCTCAAACACCCTTATACTGCTGAGATTTTTATCCGAGAAGTATTTAAACTACATGGCATGCCCCACACAATTGTGAGTGATCGAGATCCCACATTCCTAAGCCAATTTTGGACATCTTTTTTTTCCAAGCTCAAGGAACCAAGATCTGCCATAGTTCAGCTTACCATTCCCAAACAGATGGCCAAACTGTAGTTTTGAAAAAAACTCTGGAACACTATCTTCGATGTTTTGTTGGAGACAAGCCTACTTCGTGGTCTAACTGGTTACCTTGGGCTGAATGGGGGTACAATTCCACTTACCACTCAGCCATAAAGATGATTCTGCTTGAGGCTGTTTATGGAAAATTTTCTTATTCCATAATTTCTTACATACTTGGAACTTCTGCTGTGGATGCAGTTGATACAACACTGAGAGAGCATGATTCCATACTTCACCAACTTCGCGAGACCTTGTTGACGGCTCAAGAAATGATGTAGTATTTTGCAGATAAGCATAAGACTGAGCGTGAATTTCAGATAGGTGACTGGGTGTATTTGCGGCTCCAACCTTATCGCCAAGCCACTCTCCACGACTCTCAGTCTCCTAAACTCGCTCCTTACTATTACAATCCCTTCCAGATCACTTCTCGTGTAGGGACTGTAGCGTATAAACTGGCGTTGCCAGTCATTGCCAAAATCTCACTGCTTAAGAAGAAACTTGGCTCTTCTGTGGTTCCTAATCCCACCTTACCACCCATTTCCGATGGTGCAGTCAGTTGGACACCCGCAAAAATCTTTGATCGAGGCATTTTCAAGCGTTAAAACAAGCCTATGACTCAATGGCTGATACAATGGGCAGGCTTACCCACTGAGGATGCTACATGGTGTGATGCATTGGACATTGAAACCCATTTTCCTTCCTTCCAAAGTTGAGGACAGGTTTATTCTTAGGGGGCAGGATTGTTAGGACCCTATCACTAGTTTATCACCTATCTATTTCCATTAAGAATAAAGGCTAGCAGTGCTCCTTATTTGTAGGGAATTAGTTGTCATCTAGTTGGCCTGTGGCCATTTGGCATTGGAGAGTTTGTATATATCCTTCTCGTTGTTTATGAAAAAGGCATGAAATGAAAAAAGTTGTTTTCTTTCTTCTATTTCCAATTGCGATATCCTTACCTTTTCCAAATTAGGTTTTTGGTCCCTATAATTTGTACGTAGGGTAAATTTAGCCCACGCCATTTTGAAATCTTAGGTCCATCCCTGAGTTGGCAAAACTACTTTTCAAAGGACATATCAAGCAAAGAGATGGGTTAACCCTTCACCTTATGTCTAGGAGAGGGTCATGGTTTACTTGATCAACTTTCCAATCTACTGCAAATATTTATTTGTAATATTGGTGTATACAATTGGAGTGATGGCTACGGAAAGCTTGTTGGTTACTAGGGGTAGTGATAGTGGTGACGAGGTAGTACATACATTATTTTCTTAATTTTTTTACTTTTAATTTTTTAACACTTTCTTTCTTTTTTTTTTTTTTTTTTTTTTTTTTTTTTTTCTTTTCACTCAAATTTCTATAAAAAATGTATTTATGAATTCAAACAAGATGTCAATTTAGAAATTTCGACTTGGATCGAAGTTTTAAACTTATTTTCTCCATCCAAGGTCAAGTTTTTCTTGGTTGTCTCAACTCTTTTTCTATGATGCAATATGCATGAATCCGTTTTCTTATTGGTTGAAACAATGACTGGTAAGCGGAGCCACTCATAGGCCTGGAGTGGCATTGGCCCTCCCAGATTTTTATCTCTCCTTTATTATATTGTATATAACATATAGAATCTGTAATAAACAACTTATAATCTAAGTTAAAATTTCCTCTAAAATAAATTAGACAAGACTCAATTAGAAATATTTAGCTCTAAACATGTAATTATTGAATACTTGGGTGTTTTATATACTTGTATTTTCTACTTCGACCCCCAACTTTACAATTCTAACTCCACCCCTATATTGACTAGTAAATCCGGTGGATGAGTTGGTGAGTATTTTGGGTATTTTATGTGGAGCAGTAGGTTTTGGTAAAGCTCAAATAGACTTGTACCTAAACTGCCAAGAAGTTGAAAGCCAACTCACGAATCCATGTAAATGAAACCAAATGTTTGTCTCACACGTACCCACCTCACACACCTTCTTATTTGACCAAACCAATCACATTATTTTTTCCCTTCCAATTAAAATGTGTTTATTATTAAAATTAAAGAAAAGGAAAGGAACAAAGTTATTTTTTATATTTTAGGTGCTGAAAGGAACAAAAGTATCGATCTTTCTAGTACATATAAATCAGGCACACCCAAGAAGAAGTCCATATGGTCAGTTTCTACATTCCTCTGCAACACTTCTTCTAGTTTCTATTTTTATAACTTACAGCTTAAATTTAACACAAAACCAACTAACAAAACAACATGCATGAAATAAATGTTCTGTCAAACCCTCCTTTCATGTCCTGTCCCCTCCTCCTTCCTCAAACTCCCCCAGAAATAAATCCAAACCCCAAAAACAAATCAAACCCAGAGCATGGCAGAAGACATCATGGTCGACGAGGCCTTGTTAAACCGATCCAAGAACAAGTTCAAACGCTGCGTTTCGCACACACAAGATGAGCTGAAGAGCTTTAGGTCATATCTGCGATGGATGTGCGTGGACCAATCGAATGCATGGAGGGCATGCCTCTCTTGGTTCGTTTTCTTTTTGTTCGGGATTTTTGTGCCCGCCATGTCCCATTTCGTGTTCGGTTGTGGCACTTGTGACAGCAAGCACAAGAGGCCCTACGACAGTGTCGTGCAGTTGTCGCTGAGCAGTGTTGCGAGCTTGTCGTTTGTTTGCTTGTCAAGGTTTGTGAAGAAGTTTGGGCTGCGGAGGTTCTTGTTTCTTGATAAGCTTTATGATGAGAGCGAGACGGTGAGGAGGGGATACACAGCTCAGCTCGATGTGAGTTTTCTCTAGCTCCATCTTCTTCCGACATTAATTCATATGGTCGATTGTCTAAATTACTCTGAATTAATTTAATTTATGGGGAATGAAATTCGAACTTGAGTGTAAAATAACGGACTCTCTACATGAATAATTAGGTTTTGATCATTAGAAAGTCAAGGTTATGATGTTTTTGAATTATATCTTTGCCAATTAAGTCGTGTACGTGTATTTTTAAACGTTACTATTAAACCCTAAAGAGCATAGGAAAATTTAGTCGGACACGTTCAAAAGTATAATAAAAAGTAGTGAATCATATCCCTATGGCACAAGAAATTTCCTGAAGAGTAGAGTAATTTGGTTTAGCTTTAGTGATTATAAAATAGATTTTCAATTTCATTTGTGTGACTCATATATATAGACATGGTAATTTTCTTGTAGAGATCATTGAAGCTTCTATGCATCTTTGTTATACCATGCTTTGTTGCCGATAGTGCATATAAGATATGGTGGTACGCATCCGAAGCCAGGCAAATCCCTTTCGTGGGTAACGTTTACGCGAGTGCTGCAGTAGCATGTATAATGGAGTTATGCTCGTGGCTCTTTCGTACAACCGTGATCTTCCTTGTGTGCGTTCTATTCCGTCTGATCTGCTACCTCCAGATCCTACGGCTACAAGACTTCGCCACAATGTTTGAAGTTGACTCTGATGTTGGGTCAGTGTTGTCTGAGCACCTTAGGATCAGGAGGCAGCTCACCATCATAAGCCACAGGTGCCGTGCCTTCATATTATGGTCCCTCATTTTGGTCACAGTGAGCCAATTTGCTTTGCTGCTCATCACAACCAAGTCCAGTACCATGGTCAATCTTGATGTTTACAGAGCTGGTGAGCTTGTGGTAAGTCAAATAAAATTATTTTCGATCACGACAATGACCATCTGTCTAATAGAGGTGTGACGAGAAATTAGTCACACTTTTATTACATAGTTTATCAATGATGTGGTCAATCCAAATTGTCGATGCTGAGAAAATCTTGTATTGTATGTTTAGGCCTGTTTATCCATTTTGAATTGGTTTTGAATCCTATATATGATGCTATCAATGTGAAAATTCAAGTGATTAACCCAAATGTTGCATGTGCTCTCATGTTGCGGTTAGTTTAAGTAATTTCCCTTATAGGTGTGGTGAAACTTGAGTCGAAATACATGGATAAATTATATTTAATGACATAAAAGCGCGTACTTTGCCCAAGTCTCGTGAGTTTAAAAGTTTATATTAAATCTTCGCTTTTTCTACCAATTGCTAATTAATTTTAGGTTAGAGGGGCTAATTCTATCAGCTGCACGCATATTCATATTTTTCTTAATATATAAAATCAAAAGCTCATAGCGTAATTGTCATCTGTTTTTGTTACAGCTATGCTCCATAACTTTGGTTACTGGGCTGTTCATCCTACTACGCAGTGCAACCAAAATCACTCACAAGGCGCAAGCAGTGACATGTCTTGCTGCCAAGTGGCATGTTTGCGCAACGTTGGACTCGTTTGATGCAGCAACGGCTCAGAATGCCAGTGGGCGATCGTTGCCTGTGGTGGTAGGCAGCGAAGAGCATGGAGAATCAGACAATGAAGAGGTTGATGTTGAAGAAGATGAACTGGACAACACCAAGTTGATCCCATCATATGCTTATACTACCATCTCTTTCCAAAAGAGACATGCTCTTGGTAAGCCAACTTTAAACACCATCTCTTTTATTTTTCACTAAAACAATAGCTCTTTTTATGATTAATTTTCAACATAAGGAAGAGGAGTAAAAAGAAAATAGTAGTGGAGATGAAAATACTAAATGATATTTGATATTTCACAAAAGGCTTTCTTTATAATTGGAGATTTGAAAATAAGAATCATAACATATTGGACCTCAAATAAATAAATTACTCTCTCTCTCTCTCTCTCTCTCTCTCTCTCTCTCTCTATATATATATATTTTGTATTAATGAGGATAAGAGATTCAAACTTGACAGCTAATTATATATATAATTAAAAAGTTTAAAGTGCAACATAATTACATTTTGTATTATCATTTTTCAAAATACCCAATTATAAGATGTTGTTTTTGGTGAAGAGGTTGATGTGATGAATATCTAATATTTCTTGTTGCAGTTAAATATTTCGAGAATAATAGAGCCGGTATTACCATATTCGGATTTACATTGGATAGGACTACACTCCACACCATCTTTATGCTTGAGCTCTCTCTAGTTCTCTGGTTGTTGGGGAAGACAGTGGGGATTTCATAACTAAATAATGCTACATTATTATATTTAGGATTGTTCTTTTCTTTTTTTCAGTCCATTTTTGTTGTCATTCCATATTGAGAGAGATCAAATTTTGCATTACATTTGGGATGTATAAATCCAATTTTCTTCATGTTTTATTGTGAAGTTATTTTTCTTTTCTCTTGGTCATTCTCTAGTTCCTTTATTCCTTGCAACTCTCAATGGGTTGCAATATTGATTAAAAAGATGTTATTTACCGGTCAATAATATTGAATAAAAAGATGTTATTTTAGAAAGGGTATGGAGATTTGTTGTTTTTGTATAAGTGAATGTAAAAAATATCTCATATATATGGTTCATACAACTAGTATCTGACAACAAACAACTCTTTGAAACTTACGTGTTTCATTCCTCCCTGGGTCATAAGCTCTACGTCATTCTGTCACTCAGTATGGTGAGGTTGAACTTATAAACGTGATCGCTCGACCATATGCATACAAAAATCATTAATCTCTTGGTCAGTCATAAGGTAATGACATTAGATGTTGTGATCCAAAATTTTAAGATTTGTTTTGGTGTCTATTGGATGATGATATGTTCATAATTTCACATGATTTTATATCATTTTTACTTAGTTTTGTGAATTAATTTGGACTAAAGATGCTGAGTTTAGTTATTTTCTGGCTTTCCAAAGAGTGGTCGTATGCAATTTTTGGAGGTCGGAAAGGTGTCCAAATCACATTTGCAATGAGGATCACGTGCAGTTTCCTGGAGGTTTTAGGAAACTTAGTTTTAATTACCTTTTCTAGTTAGGAACTGACTTGGAAGTCAAGTCTTCGTGTAAGGCCACTTGTTTAGGCCCATTCTAACTAGGTTTTAGGTTCTTTTAAGAGGGGAGGTCGTGAGGGCTCAAGAGATAGACCAGAGATTTCAGACTTTAACCGTGGTCCGTGGAGCAAGGAAGAGCGACCGTGCCTCTAAATTCTAAGGGTTTTTCTTATCTCTTTCTCCATGTTTTATTTTTGCTTTGTTACCATGATTATGAGTAACTAATTTTCTTTTACTAAGACACAATGTAACCCTTTTCTTATTATTCAAAGCTTAGTTATGTCATGCTATTAGAATTTCCACATTGTTGAAATTTAATCACTGTGCTTATTTTCTTAACTGATGATCTTGATGCTTAGCTACCGTCTAGGTTTTTTGTTAAGTAATTTGATGCATGTTAGGGTATACGCCATGCCTAATATGAGTTTTGCTTCTTGTGATTAAATTCATGAATGCGCCTAAGGTAAACACCATACTCTTAGGGGTTTGTGTGATTGTGTGAAGTTCTCATTGAACCTAAGGTCTTTTTGTATGTTTATATTTATGCCTCACGCCAAAGATAAATTGCGTGTAAGAAGAAGTGGTTAATTGCTGTGAAAAGAGTTAATCATAATTTTGGAGAACTAATCATCAACATAACTTGGGAATTTTGATAGTATGCATGCTAAGGTTTGGATAAGAGGAATTGTGGTGAAATTGTTGTCTTGGTGAGCTTCTTTAAAATCTTTCACAAACTTATTTAGTTCACGTTTTTCTTCGTTATCTCGTCTTTTAATTTTCTTGTTTTCAACGTTCTTTTAAAGAAAATCTTTCAAAACCAACTTTCAAGTTTTTGGCGCCGTTGCCAGGGACTGAGTTTAATTCTGTGTTGTGTGATTTTAGCTTTACTTTAGTCTTTATTTCAGTTGCATGTTGTCCCTTTAATATTTGTTTTATTGTTTTACTTTATTGTATTTCTTTGATTTATTCTCTTTTATTATTTGTTTCTTTGTTTTCCAGTACCACATGTTATTAACTATCTCTTTTGTTTTGTTGTCTGTAGGTTGCTCTCAAATATTTGCATGTTGTGTGTGTGTTAGTTGATGGTCAGCACAAGATCCCAAGGTCAAGAATTAGTACCCTTTGATCCTGAGATAGAAAAAACGTTCCGAGAGCTTTGTTGCATCGACCAACGAGCATTGATACTGATTTAGAGTCTGACACAGAGTCAATAGTAGCCACCACTAAGCCCTTGAAGGAGTATTCACAACCCACAATTTTAGAAGAGCCTTCTTGTATCACATTTCCTGAAATTGATGATGTTTCGTTTGAGCTGAAATCCGGCACCATTGGTCTTCTTCCTTCGTTCTATGGTAAATCAAATGAAGATCCCAACATTCATATTAAGGATTTTTACATAGCTTGTGGTGCGGTTCATATCAAGGGAGTTTCACAAGAAATTGTGCGCCTGAGATTGTTCCCCTTCACTCTCAAAGACAAGGCCAAGTCATGGTTCACCTCTCTTCCTGCTAGATCCATCACGTCATGGGAAGAACTTGCTAAAAAATTCATGTTGAAATTTTTCCCTGCCTAAAAAACATTGCTACTTAGGAAGGAAATCACGAACTTTGAACAAAAGCCTCAAGAATCTTTTCATGAGTGCTGGGAGAGATTTTGTGATCTACTACAACAATGTCCTCATCATGGAGTGGAAACTTGGATGAAAATGCAGATCTTTTACCAAGGACTAATCTCAACTAGTAGAAAAAATGTCGATGCTGCGTGTGGAGGAGCTTTGAGTGAGAAAGATCCTGAGGAGTGTTTCAAAACTTTTGAGAGAGTTGCTGCCAACAATATGAAATGAGGAGATAACAGATTCACAAGGAAGATTAGTGTGCATATTGTCGATACAAATCCTGGAGTTGCTTCAGCATCTCAAGTATCCAACTTGGAAAAGAAGCTTGAAAATTTCATGCAGTCAATGACCAGGTTTGTTTCTCCTTCATCTATTTGTGCTATTTGCTCTGATAATTCTCATCCAACTAATAATTGCCCTTTGAGTGATCTTACGCAGGAGCAGGAAAATTAAATAAATTCATTTCAAAAGCCACGACATGATCCTGTTGAGGCCCAAAAAATCCACGGTTTGGCCCAAATGAATTCCCGGCCTAGCGTAATGCCTTATTAAGAAAAAACCCAATTTGGAGCACGCAAAAGTTCGTTATATGAGCTTGCACAGATGTCACGCCAAGCAAATAAGCAACACACCATGCTACAAGCTTAAATGGGCCCAAGCCACTCAAATGCCCATGGCTTGCTTGAGTGGATTGTGATATGGATGGTAATAAGTTGTCATGAGGCCTATTGATGGGCCGAAAAATGGAAGTCCCGGGGTTGCTTGCGAGCCTCAAAACTCAAGCTCATTTCTTAGGCCCAAACATGTGGGTGAGCACAAAGAGAAAAATAGCCCATTACTTCAATCAAAGTAGCTCAATAACTCAACCAAAATAGCCCAACAATTGATGAAGTTAGCCCATTTACTTGATAAACCAACTTATTGTCCTAGAAGGCCCAAGCAACCCAAGAAAATATCAGCAAATCTCCAGCACCTAGCTGAAAACAAAAGCCATGATGAAAGCCAAAATATCCATGTATGATGAGCTACTGGGAGGTTCCAGCACATAGCGGAGGGGAACAAGTTTCAAGCAAAAAACATCCAAAAGACCAAGGGATATTGGAGCGTAGCCTGTTAGGAGAGGAATCGCCTTTTGAACCAGCATGCATACCCATTCTCTTTCCGTCATCATACCTAGCCACGGAAGAAGGAAGAAATGAAAAGAAGGAGATGGTTGTAAATAGAGGTAGCTGCGGGAAAGAGCATTCAGCTCCCAAAAATCCTTGATTTTGTAAGATTGGACAGAGAAGAGTTTGCTAGAATAAGATAAGTCAAAGAAGGGGAGGAGAAATGAAGGAAATTTTTTGGCCAAATTAAATAGAAACCACTAGGGTTTCTTGGAAAAAGATGGCTTCCAACGGCTATAAAAGGGGCCTATTCTACCCAACCAAAAACAACCATATCCAGATAGCAAGCTTCCTCTCTTACTTGCAAAACCCAGCAATTTCGTGCAATATTCACCCTTCTTCCCCATTTTCCCTCTTATGGCAAACTATTCTCACATTTGACAGAACCTCTGTCAAGCTGCCGGAAGAAGTCTTAAGACACTCATTCCTTTCTCTCCCCTTTTTCTCAGCCAAACCTTCCCTTTCTTACTTTAACACTACCCTTTTCCCCCAATAGCGCATAATTTTCTCTTCCTTGCTAAACTGGTGTCCTCATTTAGATGTGGAGGACATCACCACACTTCAGCTGCACCTTATCCCTGCCACAACGAGTGTTAAAGAGGTCTTTACACCAGCTATTGAGCTCACTAAAGAACCTACAACAACTGCCCATTCCAAGGAGTGAATATATGTGCCTCAAGTTCCTTTTCCGCAAAGACTACATAAGCACAAAAGAGATCAACAAACAATGGATATTTTGGAATTATTTAGAAAGGTTCAAATAAATATTCCATTGTTGGATGTAGTGAAGCAAATCCCAGCTTATGCTAAGTTCCTCAAGGATGTTTGCATAAACAAGCGAAAGTTTGCTACACATGAGAAAGTGATGTTGTCTGAGGAATGCAGTGCAGTTCTCCTTAAGAAATTGCCACCAAAACTTAAGGATCTAGGGAGTTTTACAATTTCTTGCATTATTAGAAATTTACATATTAAAAAGGCTTTAATTGATTTGGGTGCAAGTATTAACTTAATGCATTATTCTGTATTTCAGTAGCTAGGCATTGGAGAGATCAAACGAACTTTTGTAAGCTTGCAACTGGCTGATAGGTCTATCAAATATCCACTTGAAATCATTGAAGATATACTACATAGAGGAAGATAGAGAAGTTCCCATTATTATGGGGCGTCCTTTTATGGCTACTACTGGCACCATCATTGATGTGAAGAAAGGTTTATTGTCCATGACTGTGCAAGGCCAAACTGTTGAGTTCAGGGTGTTTGAAGCCATTAAGAAGCCTGCGGAGATGGACGAATGTTTTTGTGTATATGCCATTGATACTATTGCCCGCACCACTTTCCTAGCTAATGTAAACAAGGATGAACTTCTCACATGCCTAGCTAACCCGGAGCTAAGATCAGATTCCAATGAGGCCCAACACCTTGTAGCAGCTTTGGATTCAGCACCTATTCAGCTCCTAAGGTGGCGTCACACATATGAGCCACTAGGGACACCTAGCACTCTTGTTTTGCAGGCTGCTAGTGTGAAAAGGAAGCTACAACTTAATGAACTCAATGAGCTCAAACATGAGGCTTATGAGAATGCAAGGATATATAAAGAAAAGACCAAAAAGTTGCATAATCAAGCTATGTTTAGAAGATATTCGTGACGGGAGAGAAAGTGTTGCTTTATAGCTCCAAACTTCAACTCTTTCTGGGCAAATTGCGTTCAAGATGGACAGGCCCCTTCCTCGTCACTCAAGTTTATGCTCATGGTGATATAGATATTCAAAACATGTCAACTAAGACCCAATTCAAAGTAAATGGTCATCGCCTCAAGCATTATCTAGAATCTCAGTTTGATCCTCAAGAGGTGGTGTCATTCTTTGACACCATTCCATCACCATGTTCATGAGCACCATTTTTAAGTCCAGCTAATGACTTAAAACAAGTGCTTCTTGGGAGGCAACCCAAGTTTTCTTACTTTTCTTGTTAATTACTAGTTTTTACTTCTTGTGTTGTCTTTTTGGTTTCCTTAGTGATTTGATTATTTTGTGTGTAGGAACAAGTCGAAAACTTCCTAGCATGTTTAAGGAGTCTTTTTCAATGTGAGGAGTGAGTGTGAGAGAAATGGTCGGATTTGGGGAGAGGGAAAGAGAGATGAGAGGTAAGAGTAGAGAAAGACATTGAGAAAATAGTGGAGTTATTTTGGTTTTAAAAACCATATCACTTTGCGCGACGAAATATTGGTCGCGCAAAGTCTTAAAAAAATTAATAAATAAAAAAATATATATTGTGTCCCATTTTTGGTTGTGAAAACAAGAAAAACCCCATAGGTGTCAATGTAAATAGTTTGAAAATAAATCACCAATTTGCAACCCATGACAAGTGGAAAATAATGAAGGTCAGGATATGGTGAAACATAGTTTAAATAATGTGGGTTCTGATATGCTGACACGTGTGTATTCAACCTCCTACAGCCGTCCATGCAGTGGCTGCACACCACATAATTTTCGGGAAACTAAATTAACTAACTTAACGGAACAGATTGTTTGCAATAAAATCACCAATGAGGTGAGCCCACCGCCAAAGAGAGCTATATAATTTGACTAAACAACCGTCTAAAACCCTCTTGATTTTCATCATCTCCAATCAAGAGCCCTGAAACACCTGTTGACGTGAGTCTCCTAATTAATCAAGGAGATTTACTTCCTTGATTAATTAAGAGATTTACTTTCCTATTTTTTATATAAGTGATAAATCATTGTATAATTAGGAGATATTTTCCTAATTCTTTACTATATCTAATTCCTTGTAAAACTCTCATATGTAAACTCCTATATATACCTCATTATGGAGAAGAATAAAGAACAACTCAAAATATTCAAACCATATTCATATTTTAGCATGGTATGGAGAGCCAGGTTCTCTTATGACATGTGCTTGCATTCTTCTTGAAATTTAAGTGCTCTCATCCCCTCCTCTTCAAGGGGGGGAGGGGGAGTGAAAATGATATGTATATTGACGTATCCCCATTACCTTGATGTATTCCCATGAAGATACTGCATATCTCTTTACTATGACGACCTCTTCTCTTCAGGGGGAGAGGGGGACTGAAGAGAAGTTGTTTTGTCTCTGAACCCTTATCTCAAATTTCTCATATTCAAATCCAAAACCCTAAATCAAATTCCTCATATTTGTCCCCAAATCCAAATCCCTCAAATCTAAAGTCCTCAAATCCTCTTATCCAAATCCACACATACCTCTTAAATCCAATTCCTACATCGAATTCCTCACATTTTTCCCCAAATCCAAATCCCTTAAATCTAAAGTCCTCAAATACTCTTATCCAAATCTCTAAATACATACCCTCAAATCTTATACACACACCTCTTAAATCCAATTCCTACATCAAATTTCTCACATCACCTTCCTCACATTCTCATATCACATCTTACTTTCGCTGCGATGTCAAGAACCCATACGATTCTCCATCTTATTGCAAACTCACAGAAGCATGCGGTCAATCCTGTTGACCTGGCTACCCAGACTCCTACTTCTATCACCACCACCAAAGGTTATATTTTTCACATGTCCTCCAAGACTATATATTGCATATGCTGTGAGTGTGGTTAATTTGTTTATACATTTGCCCAGTGTTTCTCATAGGAATGCAGTTGATCGGATCTTAAGATACATAAAGTCAGCCCCTGAGAAATGACTAATGTTCTCAAAAAACGGAGATCTTGAAGTTGTTGGATACAGAGATGCTTATTGCGCTGGTTCTATTACAGATAGACGCTCTACTTCAGGTTACTTTACATTCATGGGAGGTAACCTAGTCACTTAGTGGAGTAAAAAGCAAAATGCGGTTTCTCAGTCTAGTGCAGAAGCAGAGTATCGAGGAATGTCTCACGGAGTTTGTGAATTATTGTGAATCAGAAGATCAACTGGCAGATATCTTAACCAAAGCTGTTTGTGGAAGAGTATTTCATGACTCACTTACTAAGTTGGGCATTAGTGACATATATGCACCAACCTGAGGAGGAGTGTTGACGTGAGTCTCCTAATTAATCAAGAAGATTTACTTCCTTGATTAATTAAGGGATTCATTTTCCTATTTTTTATATAAGTGATAAATCATTATACAATTAGGAGATACTTTCATAATTCTTTACTATATCTAATTCCTTGTTAAACCCTCGTATATAAACTCCTATATATACCTACTTATAGAGAAGAATAAAGAATAACTCAAAGTATTCAAACCATATTCGTATTTTAGCAACACCAACCTTTTCTTGCTTTCTTGCTTGCACATCGCCATTTTCTTTCCCATCGAACCCGCCACAACCCCATCATTATGGAACGAATGCTTACACTCTATAACGAAGGAGTTGACCGTCGCTGTGTTGTTTGTCAGAGCGAAGTGCAATTTGAAGAAACGGTCTCTGTGTTCCACTGTACGCATTTCCTTCACAGAGAGTGGTATGATGCATTCGAACTCTATGCAGATTCCATACACAGGAATACCGTAGCTTGTCCATTTTGTCGCGAGGAATACCCGTTCGGCTCTACGAGGGATTACGTATTTTCAACCCCACCTGCTCAGCCAAGAAGGCTCTACCGTCCTGTGATCCTGACTCCGAAAGAGGCGAGGCTGGGCCTCCAGAGAAGATGTGCGAGGGTGTTTCAAGAACCTTGGTAATTCTTCTGATTTCCGCTAGTTATTCTTTCTTTCAGTTCCTTCTAGATCCATTTCTGTATCTCCCATTAGAAACTCTCAAAACCATCATTTTTGTTGCTTTTTCCTCTTCCCTAATCCATTTCTGTTATCTTCCCTTAGAAACTCCAGACCATCATTTGCTCATCTTTCCTGAAATCCAATTCTTCCCAATGTTCTTTCATCAAGATTGTCTTCCTAGACCCTAATTCTTTCTTTTCTTGATCTCTACCAAACCCAACCAACTCATATAATCTGAGAAAAAGAATCAGCAAATGCCTCCTCCATATTTTTTTTATTTTTTGAGAGTGTGTGCATGCAATTCTTGCTCGTCATGCTGAAGAAGGATGAAGAGTAACAGTCGGCTTTTGTCCCTCAATTGAGTGTATGGACAAGTGGCAAGTGCAGCGCTGGACGGACTTCAAGAACTTAATGATCAAATTTATTTTAGTTTTTTTAATCTGTATTTGTTATTGGGTTGGTTGAAGTGTATGTTGGCGAGTCCTTAGTTGGGATTTTGGTTCCTTATTTTATTAGAATTTTGGTTACTTATCAATTATTATTTAGTCATATTGTAATAGAGAATTACTTCCTATTGTAATTTAGATATATTTACTATTTTATTTAGGGTTAACACATCTTTGTACTTGTATAAATACCTCCATATTGGAGAAGAATAATAATATGAGCATAGGTGAGCATATCTAAATATTTACCCTACTTTGTTTGACATGGTATCAGAGCCAGGTTCCTAACATGTGATAACCTCTGCCAAATTGAGAGTCGTTGGCACTCCTCATTCCTAACCCATCATGGGTCTTCATCTTCTATAGTCATCTTCTTTTGTTCATCCTCTCATATGTGTTTTTACCGCAACTAGCCTTCACATGCTTCTTTGCTATTGTTCCAAATTTTTTTATTTTTCATCTTTGTATGCCAGATGGTATTTCTTGATGTTTCAGCTTCTCTATCTTTGAAACTTCATAACAAGTCTCTTTACTCCGTGAGCCTCGTCACTGCTCATCAAGCCGTTGCTTTCCTCCGCGAGCCTCGTCACCGCTCACTGAGCCTTTCCTTTGACTGTTCTGCGAGTCTCTGTCTTCTTCGACAACTCTCTTGAGTTGCCTTTCTGCTTCTCAGTTTGAGCGCCTTATCTTTGTCTTTGTCTTTGTTCATAATTTGCTGGGTTTCCTCCCTTACTATTCTTATTTTATGAAGTTTTTTCTTCGTGGGACAGCTGTATACTACCACCATCCCCTCTTGCATTTGTTCCTGCCATGAGACTGGCATGTTTGAGTCTCTTTACTATTATTTCAATTTCTCTTCTTTCAAATCTCGACCTTTTACTAGTGTCAGATTTTATGGGGAGATAGATGTAACTTTATTTGGGTGCTGCAACTTTATTTTTCGGTGTTGCTTTCTCCAAATCTCGACTCTTATACATCGTCCGATTTGAAGGGGAGTGACATCGTTGCTCATCTATTCTGCTACAATTCAGCTACCTATCTGCTACAATTCAGCTACTTATCTGCCATGGCTTATTCTTCTACATCTGAGCGTCAGTCAGCTTCTGTTTCTTAAGTGCCACTTTTCTTATAGTTCCGACGACCCATTCTCTTCAGGGGGAGAGGGGGAGTGAAGAGAAGTTGTCTCTGCAATAATGGAAGTATTTGTCATTGTTATTGTTGCTGACTACTATGTCCTTTGCTGGTGCCAGAACCGTTGCTCATACCTGTTAGGTCTCTTACTGGAGACAATGTTATTGCTCCTGCCTATTATAACTCTTGTTAGGGACAGTGTTGATTACTGTTGATGATGCATGTTATGTCCATGCCTTGTTGCTCTTGCTGGTGCTAGTGCCTTGTATTGCTGTTGTTGGTACCAGTATTGTTACTCATGCCTGTTATGGTGCCAATATTGTTGCTCATGTCTTTGCTGGTTTGCTTCCGTTGTGGTCACGCCTGTTGACCTTACCTTTGCTCTTGACTTTCTTTGCCTTACCTTAACTTATTTTTTCGAAGTTTGGCTTTACCTTGCCTTACCCTATTTTTTTAGGGTTTAGTTTCTACCTTATCTGCTGTCGAGCTCACAGGGTTTTTGTGTTCTGCCTTATTTGCTGCCGTGCTCACAGGGTTTCTATGTTCTGCCTTACCTATTGCCGTGCTCACAGAGTTTCTGTGTTTTGCCTTATCTAGTACCGTGCTCACAGGGTTTCTATGTTCTGCCTTACTTATTGCCGTGCTCACAGGGTTTCTGTGTTCTGCATTATCTACTGCCGTGCTAACAGGGTTTGTGTTTTGCCTTACCGATTGCCGTGCTCACACGGTTTCTGTATTCTGCTATGTGCCCTATTTTTTAGGGTTTGCTCTTGTGTTTTCGCTACGAACTTTGCTTTAGTTTGTCACTTGTTTCACTCGTGGTTGACGAAAAGACCTTCTCTACAATTGGTGCTTCTCAAGTATGGTGTTTTGTGACTCGCTTGTCAAGTTGGGCGTGCGAAATATCTTTGCCCAACTTGAGGAGGAGTGTTGGCTAGTTAGGATTTTGGTTCCTTATTATATTAGAATTTTGGTTACTTACCAATTATTATTTAGTCCTATTGTAATAGAGATTTACTTCATATTGTCATTTAGATATATTTCCTCTTTTATTTAGGGTTAACACATCTTGTACTTAAATACCTTCATATCGGAGAATAATAATAATATGAGCATAGGTGAGCATATCTGAATATTTACCCTACTTTATTTGACAGTGTATAGTGGAATTAATCAGTCAGTAGTCATTTTATTCCAGCCAATGTAAAAAGTGCATAGTGGACATCAATGGACATACGACGTTTTTGGGTTCTCTCTCTCTCTCTCTCTGTTTTTTGCATTAACTTCTTGAGGCATGCATGAAAATCTATTGTGATTTATGATTGCATTAGCATTGTGACTCAAGACTCTCTTTATTTTTTATTTCTACAATTGTATTTTCTCTAAAGGGCCCTTCTTTCAACCTTTGAATACGTCAAAAAATAAACTACTATTATTTAAAGAAGAGGAGGAGGGGGGCTCCTGGAAGAGCGAGAAAAAAAAAAAAAAAAAAAAAAAAAAAAAAAGAAAAGGTGGTTCTAAGTCTAGGTACGGAAACCCATTAATAAAAGCTACCCCTTATTTCATGAGAAATTAATGCCATCCTATATTTTACATTTTAGCGGGCCACAAGATTTAGGGTTTAGGAGAAAGAGTTTCAATGAAAATAAAATGAGTTTCAATCAGACTCCTTATTAACAACGTCCCCTTTGGGTCCTTAACGCTAGTGGATTCCTTGTTCAGTAGACCCTCAAACACGAATAGAATATGACTCCTTATCCTAATAATAATATATAAAGTTCACTCTCCTGGAGCTTTAATATTAAATAACACAAGTCCACCCACATGTACATAAGAGCTTGCTTTCGTACAAGGAAGGAGAAGAAGAAGCTAGAGGTACCGAATCATTAATTTTCTTTTCTCTATCTACTAGTCTTGTTACAAAGAAGAAGTAGAAGAAAGAAAATGGAAGAGCGGAGGCTGACGATCGCCGGAAACTCTAACTCTAATAATGGCCAGCTTCCATCAACGATGATAGAGGAGATTCTCTCAAGGCTACCAGTGAAGTCCTTATGCCGCTTCAAGTGTGTCTCAAAGCCATGGAGTTCCCTAATCTCCGAGGACCCCGGTTTTGTTGCATCGCACTTGTGCAAAGGCTTTGGGGAGGATATATATGATCTACTCTTCCGAAGAAGAAGAAGAGTCATATTTACTGATGCCGCAAGTAATGGCCTCCACTCTATGCATCTTGACTACGATGATGAGTTTCTCAATCAAAACAACGAAGAAGATGCATCATACTATCACGATAATCGCAATCGTAACAGTTTCGATTTCGACTGGTGGTAGTAATTTATTAGCAACAGCCACGGAGCTCCAGTATGTTTATAGCGAGTTATCAGGTATTTCGGTTTCTATGTTAGGTTGCTACAACGGCTTGTTGTTATGCATGTTTTTATATGACCCGCAGTTATATTTGGTTAACCCAGCAACAAGGCAATCCAAGAAACTACCACGAATACCAACCCAATATACAATTGATGACCTCTACTTTTGTAACGTATATGGGCTTGGATTTGATTCTTCCACTCACCAACACAAGGTCGTCAATGGTGTGGTCTACAGAAGAAATGTCCGTGGTGATGATGATGAAGGAGGGGTTGAGTTTAATGTGTATGCATTGGAAACTAATTCTTGGCGACAGATTCAGTACCTATTTCCCTACCACATCTTTCCATGTCGAAATAAAGGGACCCTGCTGAATGGAAATCTCCATTGGTTGGGAACAAGAGTCGGAGAAGATGACGATGATCACTCATCTTTGTTGATTATCTCCCTCGTTTTAACACAAGATCAGGAGGAGGTTGGAGAAATTCCACTGCCGCATGAAATCAACTCTTCTCAAACTCGTCGTAGTAAGCTCGGGGTCTTCAGGGAATGGTTATGTGTAACGCTTGAGGGTGATTATGGTAAAGCAACACCAACATACAATGAGTTTTGGGTTATGAAGGAATATGGAGTGGGCGAGTCTTGGACTAAAATGAGGGTCTCCATCCCATATTGGAACTTGTCACATTCTGGTTTCTGGACAAAGTCTCATGATTTGATGGTGTTTGAAGAAGAGTTGGTTATGTACAATTTTAACGATCACAGCTTTCGGAATCTACGCGTTCGTGAAATCGGCAAAGTTGGTAGTGTTGAAACTTACTGGGAGAGCATTGTTTCACTTAAGTAGAGTGAGAAAAATAAAAGAAGTAACTGGTACATTTTCTTTTCTCTCTACCCCCCTCCCTTTTTATATGGTTCTTAATAGTTACCAATTTTATTTTATTTTCAATTGTCTCTCCAGAAGAGAACAACGGCTAGAGGAGCTTGAGTACGTTTATTGCTTTTTACAAACTGGACTATAATTAATTTCCCTTATTTTTTGTTAAGTGAAGGCTCAGAACCTGAGAATTTTATCAAAATTTTCCTCTGCTAGGTAGAAAAGGTGGCTGGAGTAATTTGAGGTAAAAGCTGATAAATTTCTTGTGGATTTGTAGACCCAAATTGAATTGGGATGCTATTCGTGGTGAGTACTTGGTTCGTGTTTCGTAGCCGTGCATTTGCAGTTCTTTTTATTTATGTTTTTCTTTTAAACCTTGATGCATCGGCTAAATGGGCAGGTCTGAAACAAAGTTCCCCTTTGGCAAAAGGATAAGCCTCATTTGCATAATTTATCTCCCCTCCTTGAGGGATAATGAGTTTTCCGTGAGTGCTACGTCCCTTTATTTTTTCTATTAGTTGGAGCAACTTGTTTGCTGGTTTTTATTTCTTTCTCTACACTTTGCTCATATGAATTTTTTTTCAACGATTCAAACTATTTATTATTTTTAAATCTACATTTATATATCATCCTAATAATATCAAATAATATCATATTCAAGTGATTTTTTGTAGAGATGATCTTTGAATGAATATATACAAAATAGACAGTTTGGATTAGTGAAATACAATACAGAGTAGGCCCTAAAAGGATGACACTCAAATAAGTTTATTTGAAGAATCTCTCAATTGAAGCTCTCTGTATATATATATATAGGGTTTGTTCATGATTCTTTTGATTTATTTACCTAGTATGTTCATCTAGATGAATCGCAGACTCATATGCCAAAATAACCGTTTGTAGATGTAAAAGGATTTTTTAATGTTTTGTTTTTGTTTCTTTGATAGTCGATATTTGCATTTGGAACGTTGGTTTAACATTTATTCTAATCTGTTGCTTTTAATGTTTATATCATATGAGCTCAGTATGCTTGACCAAAAAGGATCTAGTTGTTTCATGTGTTTGACCTTATAATTTAGTTTGCAAGGCCACACCATTATTTTGGTTTTTATTTTTATACCTCAGGAGTTGATAATAACTAACCTTTTGCAATATACATATTTTTCATGGTTATTAAGTTGTGATATGAGTATTAACATAGTAGACTGAACAGTGATTGTGAAATCAAAATACATTTTAATTACTACTGTAAGTTTCCTCTATTTATTTCCTTAGACATGTAAGAGCATCCACAATTATTAGCTTCTCATTCGAACGTTTTATGGTGGTAAGCCGAAAAATCCCAAGTACCACCTCATACCGGACCATTTTCATGATTATACTCTGTGTATAGATTGTTATTAAAAATATGTTTTTTTTTCTTCGTAAAATCCAAATTCAAAACCTTTAAATATAAATAATAAACAAACAAAAAAACTTTAACAGTGAAGTAAAATTAAACTAACAAATTATAGGCAAATAAAAATAAAATTAAGAGTAAGAAAGCAAGCCTGTATGGTAAAGCATGTTAAAGACGTTGTTTTAAAGCCTTTATAGCCTTCCTACATGCAAATACTGACAGTCTACAAGACTCCAAGATACGACTCCCAATACACAAGCTCAAACTCCGCTATGAGCATGTTCATAATCGGATAAAAGTCTCTAAGGCACAAAATCGTTGCCCAAAAATAATAATATTGAAAGTAGAGATAGACCAGAAATTTTAGACTTCAACCGTACCGTGCCTCTAAACTCTAAGGGTTTTTCTTATCTCTTTCTCCATGTTTTATTTTACTTTGTTACCATGATTATGAGTGACTAATTTTCTTTTACTAAGACACAGTGTAACCCTTTTCTTATTATTGAAAGCTTAGTTATGTCATGCTATTAGAATTTCCATGTTGTAGAAATTTAATCACTGTGCTTATTTTCTTAACTAATGATCTTGATGCTTAGCTACCATCTAGGTTTTTGGTTAAGTAATTTGATGCATGTTAGGGTATACGCCATGCCTAATATGAGTTTTGCTTCTTGTGATTAAATTCATGAATGCGCCTAAGGTAAACACCATACTCTTAGGGGTTTGTGTGATTGTGTGAAGTTCTCATTGAACCTAAGGTCTTTTCATATGTTTTTATTTATGCCTCACACCAAGGATAAATTGCATGAAAGAAGAAGGTTAATTGTTGTGAAAAGAGTTAATCATAATTTTGGAGAACTAATCATCAACATAACTTGGGAATTTTGATAGTATGCATGCTAAGGTTTGGATAAGAGGAATTGTGGTGAAATTGTTGTCTTGGTAAGCTTCTTTAAAATCTTTCACAAACTTATTTAGTTCACATTTTTCTTTGTTATCTCGTCCTTTAATTTTCTTGTTTTCAATGTTCTTTTAAACAAAATCTTTCAAAACTCCTCTATTAAGTTTTAGTTGAGTCATTAGTTTTAAGTTTATTAATTAGGGTGTCTAGAGTAATTTAGGATTTAAATTAGTTTATAATTCACAACAACTTGAGAATTTATTCGGTCTCTGTGGGAAAGACCTTGTACTTGCCTTGGCTATATTGCATTAACCTTGTGCGCTTACAAGTTTATTTCTTGAATTAACTATCTAATTTTCAGGTAGTAAAATTATACATCAGATGAGTCAGATTCAAAATTTCCAAATTCCTGACCATAAATATTTTTTGCAATATATACTTCATATTGTCAATACACTCACAAGTCACAAAACACAAGCTGTTGCAAGTTTCCACATTTCTCTACAAACCCTTTCTATTTATAACACAAAACTCCCAAACCAAACATGTTCTTCTCAAACAAGAACACAAATTCAACCCCAAACCCAAAATCAACCGAAACCCACCATGAGAAACGATGGCAGGGAGGCCTTGTTAAACCGAAACCAGTTAGGACGCTGCGTTTCCCACAAACAAGACGAGCTAAAGAGCTTTAGATCCTACATATGGTGGATGTGCGTGGACCAATCTAATGCATGGAGAGCATGTATTTCATGGAGCATTTTCATTTTGTTTGGGATCCTTGTTCCAGCCATATCTCATTTTGTGTTCGCCTGCGCCACTTGCGATGGAAAGCACAAGAGGCCTTACGATTGTGTGGTGCAATTGTCCTTGAGCAGCGTCGCGACGGTGTCGTTTTTGTGCCTCTCGTGGTTTGTCCGGAAATTTGGGCTCCGGAGGTTCTTGTTTTTTGATAAGCTTTATAATGAGAGCGAGACGGTGAGGAGGGAATACACAGAACAGCTCAATGTGAGTTTAATCCAATTCCTCCATCCCTGTAAATAATAAACATTTTGGTTTTGGTTTTAATTTTTTTTCCTGTGTAGAGATCATTGAAGCTTCTATGCATCTTTGTCATGCCATGCTTTGCTGCGGAGAGTGCATATAAGATATGGTGGTACGCATCCGAAGCCACACAGATCCCTTTTCTAGGTAATGTTTACATGAGTGCAGCAATAGCATGCTCACTGGAGCTGTGCTCCTGGCTCTATCGTACGACCGTGTTTTTCCTCGTTTGCGTACTGTTCCGTCTCATCTGCTACCTCCAGATCCTACGGCTACAAGACTTTGCCACCGTGTTCCAAGTGGAATCTGATGTGGGGTCAGTGTTGTCTGAGCACCTTAGGATCAGGAGGCACCTCACCATCATAAGCCACAGATACCGTGGGTTCATATTGTGGTCGCTGATTCTGGTCACAGGAAGCCAATTTGCTTTGCTGCTCATCACAACCAGGTCCGGTGCCACTGCCAATCTTGATGTCTACAGATCTGGTGAACTTGCGGTATGCCTTCTTTCGTATTCTGTCACGGGTTACATTTAAGGGCAGAATCATAAATTTTTCAATGGATGGGCTAACTAAAGTTATTAGCTTAAAATCTAATTTTATATATATATTTTTTAACTCACAGTTTCTATAGTTTTTCTAGAAATAAAAGTATACATTAAATCATATAAATCATGCTAGTTCTAAACACAAGATAAAAAAAAAAGAAGAAGGAACTAGAGCCATATTATTCACGAAGGGGTGAATTTTATTTAAAAAAATGCTTCACTTTTGGAGATACGTTAATGAAAAAGGATTAAAATTGATGTTTGGGATAAACTTTGACACCAAATACAAATGTGGAAGACCTTTGACTATGCCTATTGGTGTGGTAAGATATGCAATTGTATATTATTTATTTACTTTTAATTTAAAATATTAGGCTATTTATGTTTAATTATTTTTTTCCCCAAAACCTTCCTTAGGCTACAGCCTAGGACAACCATTGGGCTAGTTATGCCCCAGTTTACATTACTTGTTCAAAGTTGTTGGATTGAACTTAAACCCAAAACACTTTTTGTTGTTGTTACATTTGAGGAAAGAAACCCCACTGGGATTCTGGATTCGATTTGGGTGGGGGGGGGGGGGGGGGGGGGGGGGGGGGAATCCACCACCACTGTGGTGGAACCCCTAAACACTTTATATATAGTGAAAAATCAGATATTTAACTCGACTTCAATGAAACACGGTATATCATGCATGTTCTTGGTGCAATATGTCATTTTTATAGTATTGTAGTTGAGCTATATTTAGACATCAACAGTTTTTTAGGCAAAACACACTCATTATATTCAGTAAAATTTATAACCTCAATAATGATGTTTCATCTTTTGGTACAGTTAAGCTCCATAACTTTAGTCACAGGGGTCCTCATCTTACTACGCAGTGCAACTAAAATCACACACAAGGCCCAATCAGTCACATGTCTCGCTACCAAGTGGCATGTTTGCGCCACTCTAGACTCATTTGATGCAAACGAAGGAGATTCTCCAACGACTAATCCAATCGCCGCCAATGGGAGAGTGTTTCCGGTTGCCAGTGACGGAGAATCAGACAGCGATCTGGCAAGTGATGATCAAGATGAATTGGAAAATGCTAAGTTGGACCCATCATATTCATATAGTACTATCTCCTATCAAAAAAGACAAGCTCTAGGTAACTCAACCTAATTTTATTTAGCGCATATATATATATATATATATATATATCATCATCAACTCTTACCATTCATGATAAAGTTTTTGCTAGTAGTTCTATAGTCAGTCGCTCGCGGGGTGGAAAATTCCTAATCATGACTATTGATGATGTGTTGCAATTCTTGACAATTGATTTGCACCAAAATACATTAATGGACATTCGTGAGTGACTGACCTTAACATCATCCTCGATATAACGTAATCAACACTAGAGTCACTATTAGCTCTTATAACTATCCCAAGTGATAAAAGTAATAACAGAGTCTTACTATATAATTACAACAACATATTATATTTTGCACATTGGTATTAGTATCACTTAATTTGATGATATTATTATTAAATATTGGTTGTTGCAACTTGCAGTGACGTATCTGGAGAATAATAGAGCTGGTATTACAATATACGGATTTACATTCGACAGGACTACACTCCACACCATCTTTATGCTTGAGCTATCGCTCATTCTTGGTTGCTGGGAAAAACAGTTGGAATTTAAGTTCATACTAAGATACATTGAGAGAGATAGTTATATAATTTTGAAGGTTGCATTTAGGAGATGTATAATTGATCCCAATTTTCCATTACTTTTTCAGTGTGTGGATTTCCCCCTTACTTATAGTGATTTTGTAAATTTTTGTAATTAAGCTGGGCATTTTGATTGATTAGTTTGGTTTGATTCAAATATATATACATTAAAAGAATTGACAAAAATAGGTTCCAAATTTGAATCAACTCGGAACACTCAATTTGAAATATTCTAAATCACTAATATTTCGAATATTTCGAATCAAGTATTTCAAGCTTAATATTGAAAATGCTTCAGAGAAGTCAATAGCTTGAATATACTCTCTAGTTATAGATATTTATCACCAATCATGTTTAAATAATTAATACATTCATTAATTCAACTCTACCGTTATCGTACAGCCAATGCAGTTGCAATGATTTATATACTCCAGTTATATATATATCTATATATATATATATATATATATATTCCGTCTTAACTAATATGTGATAGGCAGTGAATCATAAACATTATTCATAATTGTAGATTGGCAGTGAATCACCCCACTACTACAAAAAATGAATACACAATGGTAATCCACCGTCGTTGTGATGCTTTGAAAACTGTCGTTAAATTAACCGCCATCCTTTAGTGTATCAAACTACAACGGCTTTTAACCGTCGTTGTATATTTGTTGTGATGATATTTTTTTTTCTTTTTATGGTCTCAACTCAAATGCCAATATTCTATTTCGTGCTTTGGTATCCCAGATTTTTTCTTGTTTTGGTAGCTCTTTTTTTTTTTTTTTTTTTTTAAACCACTGAGAAAAGTGACAAATGCTCTCTTTGACAAACAAAATTGTTCAAAATCGGGATACCGTCTTGCCCCCGGGTTTTCGTATCATTTGTAAGCATATCCTTCTCTACAAGACTTGCATTGTAGTACAGACTATATTTCCGCAATCTTGGCTACTTAACGTGGAAGGGGGTAAGCTTTTCAAACCCAATGGGCCCTATGATTCTAGTAAATGCACACACAATGCATTCGTTGTTCCTAATAAATGATGATGTGTTCCTTACTATTCATTTAGACCTATAAATTAGGCGGTGAACAAGTTCAGGCCAATTCATCACTAATCATATAAGAACCTGCAACCTAAAGGTAACTACATGACAACCGCGGCACTCCTTTGTCTTCCGGGATCGTCCTCCGAGGATCCATCAATTTAGGCTCCCTTGTATAGCACACAGAGGAAAGTGCTGTTCCTACATTCTCAACATTTCGCGATAACTAGTATAATCTGTGTCATAGTCGCAAATCAAGGACACATCACCATGATAATGTTCATCCCCGAAACCCACAATTTGGGAAAAACTGATGCGGCATCACTCCAACCAATTTGTCGACGTCAAGAGATTCTTACAACAAAATCTAATGCCGCATTGGTCGAAGCTTCAAACATACTCTAGTTTCTGTTTCAGGAGAGATGAGCGCTTTACGCCAGCGTCACGGTGCAACCGTTCGTGTCATCGCTTCCTCTAAACTGGAGCGTGAAGTGGAGTAGCTTGGTTCGTCTTTGGGTGGCAATTCACAGTCTGTGCTTGGGGCTACGGGGCTTCCGTCGTCTTCTTTCCGCCCTGTGCTACATTGCCTAACTCAGTTGTCCGTATCTGGTCACCATGACGGAAATATGGTTCTGGTAGGATTAAAGGTTCAATTCCTTCAAAAAAGCTCATAACCTTCATCCGATTAATCTCACCATGAAGCTGATCGAGACGCTAACGAATGAAATCATTGACTAGTCCAAGCTGATCGCGATAGTCGAGTGAAGGATACTCATAGATCGCCGAGTCGTTGAACGTGCATCACTATGCGATTTTTTAAAAACCCCATCGCTAGCTCACAGGATGAATAGTTTCGCAAAAGCCCCGGCTTGACATGTGAATTGGGATGCTCCACACCGCAGCACATATGTCTACGATGTCTACCGCGGTGGCATAGTGACATATAGGGTGGTGTGACTCGAAAAACGGCGTCTCAAGTGGGCAGGGTCGCGGGCTTCGATAGAGTGCGATGCGCGCGCGCCGGGGGTCTGGGGTGTCGCGGGTACTTCAACGACCATTTAGACAAAATGATCTCTTGACAACCGGGTGGTTCAGGGCAAGATATCCGTGTCCGTGCGTCTCAGAGAGACCAGGTGTGGGAGAGGCTCAGCGTAAAGTGTCGCCAACTCAGGTTCTCAGAGCGTTGTGCTGGTGGTGAAAGAGTATGGCCTGGTCCGGGGGGAGGTCGTGGAGGGGTGTCTAAAATCGAGGTGGGGCTTGCAAAATATGAAGCGGAAAGCACGCTCTAGTCGAATGCCAGAGGGGAACGCGACTCGGGGTGGTGCAAACAACAAGGTGTAAACAAGTGGGGCCAAACGGGGGGATCGAAAAGGCAAGTAGAGATGAGTAAAACTGGAGTCGCGATAGTGGGGATGCAATGTTTGCTCAATATGAAAGGCGTCAAGGACCCAAAAAGGGTGAGTTCAAACCGGGGGCGGGGACGATGACGCTGCTCGCGAAAAATCAAAACCGGGGAAGTAGAGCAGTGGGGGCCAGCGTGCTACACGGGGGAAACGCATGCGCGCGCGGAGTCGTGAGGCAGCTCCGGCGCGCGGGGGCGGGCGCCGCGGGGTACCGGGCTCTCGCGCCGCCGGGCGGTCAATCTGCGGAGCAGGCCGGCTCGCCTCGCGAGAAGGGGGCGTCCGTCGGCGGGCGGAGGGCGGAGCCAGGGGCCGGCGCGCGCGCTCGCCCCGCCCGGGCCGCAGAAAACCCAGAAAAATGAAGAAGAAGAAGTGGAGGATCCAGACCCAACCCCAACCATGGGTAGGTCCCAAGGACACGGGCAAATCCAGGATTAGACTTATAAATAACAAATCCCGTGCCTTGGTTAAAAATCTGAGCTGGAATATTGGCCATAATACTATGCCATATTGACAAAGTCTATGTGCACAATGCTGATTTGGCATATACATCATCGTCAACATACATGGATGCAATGTTGATTTCCTAATGGAGACGTAGCCGTGACATTAAAATTCGGGTGATATGCCCCATGGTACCTTTATTAGTGTGTACCGTAATAACCAAGCAATTTGATTCCAATTTTCTCAATCTCAACCCAAACGGAGTGGAGGGCCCTGACTCTACATGGTGGGGTCTGGTGTGGGTGTGGGGGCCAATCAAATCCAAAAAAGCAAAAACCGTGCAAACGCTGCGCGAAATGGTCGGTTGGGCTGGTTGTGGGAAAACTGAAAAATTCGTTTACTGAAACGGACCAAAAGGGTTCTGCGGCGAGCCACCCAGATCGGCGCGCAAATATTAACTGCTTGTATGCGGTCTAAATCATACGACAGTGTTCCTGTTCCGGCTTCTTGACCGGCTAACAGAAGGGCCGAACATGGGCCAAAAAACCAACCGCCCAAGTAAAAAATTATATTTTAATGTAATGTTATATCCGAGGTGCGGAATCTGTATAGCACAGGAGCGAGTAGTTGTCGCCAAACCAAGTTCAGTGCTTCGGAACGGGGGTCGGCTCTTTTCCTAGCCTCACATTTTCTTTTGATGAAGGGATAATGTATTGCAAGTCAAAAAAAAATCATTGAAATGTATTAAAATAAAATATAGCCTTGCAAATGAACTGTTGCAACAAAGCACCCCGAATCGACAGTTTTTATAATTTTTTTTGTGTTAAACCGACCAAACTTAACGGGATAAATAGTAACCGAATTCGGTTTCCCAATAGAGGCAACAAATCTTACCCCACTACATGGTGAAGTGCGTTAAAACAGTTTTTAACTAACAGGTACAAAAATGACCCTCATTTGATGGATTAACGGCATAACTAATGGTAGGATAGGGGATCACAACAAAAATTGAAAGTTCTAGGAGTATTAGAACCAAATTTGGAATTTTCAAGTCAACTTGGAACTGACCTATAGGGGTATGCTCAACTTTTTCCCAATAATATAAAATAAATACAAAACGATCCCTATCCCAACCACCCTTGCATTATGAGACGGTGTGTTTCATTATTTATGTTTACCGTGTGGATTTGGATTAATTCTCTTCGTTTGTTTCTTTTTTTTGTAGAGTTATGGTGGATTGCGAGTTGCTACGGCACCAAGAAGCTTGTCCCCTATGCCTCTCCTTTTTCTTTATGGTTTGGTGGTTTGAAAATTAAGGGAAGTTAAGCCACTGTTTTATATATCAGGGCTAAAGCTTAGTCCAGTAGGCAATATGGTCAGGAATTCTATATATGTAAGTAAATTAATTAGATATGTGTCACATTAGTCACGAACCCATGATTCAAACATGATGGGCTTACTTTTTAAGGCCAATTTTCCACCGAAATTTTTTCTGTTGAAATTTGACAACGTAACTTTTATTTTTGACATTTTCCAAACGGTAATAACAGCATAATCACCAATCAATCTATACGAGATCCATAATGGGCTCCCTAAACACATCCTTAGAAAATTTTAGGGAAGGTAAAAAGAACTCCCAACCACGTCCCAGCCATCTCTAAAAAGAAGTCCTCTCGGAGCTCCTAAATTTGCGGAGAGAGAGAAGGATCTCCGAAGCGGCTCTCTATAATTTAATGCTGGCTATTTATGAGTATTTCAACATTGATTAGTGCTAAACTATTTTTATTTTATTTTTAATAGAGATGGACTAATCAAAAAAAAGTTATAGGATTTTGACTCTCCCACTTAGGGGTCTGGTTGGCGTTGAAATTTTTTAAAGGCTCCTAAAATAGCTTTTCTTATTCTTAGCCAATTTAGTAAGAAAATAAGAGATCATTGTGGGAGCTCTAAAACTTAACAATACACACTTCTATTAAAAACAAAGACTTAATAGATAGTAGCACCCATTGATCTCTAATATCAGTTTTAAAAAACCTCTAATAATTGTTATTTTTATTTATAAACAAAACCTCTCATTTTTAAATCCATGAATTAAAATTTAGAAACAATCACAATAAAATAGGGTACCGTAGACGAGAGAGGAGAGAAAATGAAAAAAAATAGAAAAGAACGAGAGTGGGGCTGGAGGTCACGGTCCTGTAAGAACACCTCCCGCGCCTCAGGGCCTTTGCCTTGGTATTAGAGCCCTCTCCCAAGCCTGCTTTTCAACTCCAGCGTGAGAAAACCCATCCTGGGCAAGGCTGGGACCCCCATGCCTGAGCAAGCCAACCCCAAAATGGACGGGGCTATTGCCCGCAGGCTGTTTGAAGTCAGCACTGACCCACCCACCCACATAGCCCAACGGCTACAAGCACGCGGCTTCTCCTGGAGCCTTCGATCAAAAAATATTTCTCAATCCAAAGGCTGTCTAATTTTTGGCTTAAAAAAATATCTAAAAAAATATCAGAAATTCTAGAAAATTTTTTCTATAATACCTACCAATATTCTCTCACTTTCTCCACCACTAAATCTTCATACAAATTCATATCCTTCCAATATTTTTTCACTTTCCACACCAAATTTTCTACTACCAAATTCCATTTGTGTAAAAATACAAATTGGCCCTCCTTCCATTGAAGCCGAAGGGTCAGGACAAACGTTTCGAAAAAGGTCAAAACATGGTGCGCTGAGGGTTAAAAAAAAAAAAATAATTGCCATTTTATTCATTTAATGTCATTTTTTATATATATTTCTTGCATTTCCAATTTCATTTTTTTAATAGATTATTCAATGGCAAAACAAAAAGAGGAAAACCATTACACCTGGCTCCTCAATGAACAATGTCCATCGTTTCTAGTGGTTTGCGTTCCATGTCAAAAATATGCACTATTACGTCCTCCGAAGGAAAATACTCCTCACGCCTGATCCGTGGAACCGCCTCCGCCCATGATGAGTCGCCTCCTTGTACTCCATTGTGTCGGACATGAAGGATTGGGAGTATTCATTTTGTATGATGAGTTGAGTAGGTATTTCAATTGTATGATGGGTGAATGTGATTTTATAATTATAAAAAAAAAAAAAAAAAAAAAAAAAAAAAAAAAAAAAAAAAAAAAAAAAAAAAAAAAAAAAAAAAAAAAAAAAAAAAAAAAAAAAAAAAAAAAAAAAAAAAAAAAAAAAAAAAAAAAAAAAAAAAAAAAAAAAAAAAAAAAAAAAAAAAAAAAAAAAAAAAAAAAAAAAAAAAAAAAAAAAAAAAAAAAAAAAAAAAAAAAAAAAAAAAAAAAAAAAAAAAAAAAAAAAAAAAAAAAAAAAAAAAAAAAAAAAAAAAAAAAAAAAAAAAAAAAAAAAAAAAAAAAAAAAAAAAAAAAAAAAAAAAAAAAAAAAAAAAAAAAAAAAAAAAAAAAAAAAAAAAAAAAAAAAAAAAAAAAAAAAAAAAAAAAAAAAAAAAAAAAAAAAAAACCCCCCTTATAAAAATTTCGTCCCCGAAATTTCATAACTGCCACTCCAAAGGGTGTGGGTGCTGGGCCCGCATCTACTACTCGGGTTTCCATGCTTCATCCTCCACAACCAGGTTGGCAGCTAAGCCATTAGCTCTATCCAAACAAGCAGAAGAAGAGAAGTCTCTTTCTTCCACTAAGAAAATCCTTCAATAGCTGCGGTAATGCTTAATCTTCCTCTGGAAGCTAAACGCTTCCATTTGTGATTTGATTCTCTTCTAGTTCTCCCATGAAGAGAAGTCCAAACTCCTTGACTTGTTGATATCTTCCTTCTTTCTTTAGAATCGATAAGCAACATTGCCAACACGATTCTTTGAGAGGAATGTCAGAAAGGATCATTTTTACCGAATTGTAATCATCATCTTCCTCTCTCTACCATGACCCATTTCTGATTCCGATGAAAGATTTCTGCTCAAACGTGCTCACTGCACACAATCGAGAATTAGCAACATGAGGTTCCACTCCTGTCAATCGCGGCATTCAAGCCCACGCGAGTGAAGTGATACTTCATCCAACACTATTACTTCCCAACTTAATTTGTCACGACCCTCCTTGGTCGGACTCACAACTCTTCCATTCCCTTGTAACTTGTCCATCAACTTCCTCTGACAATTTCATCTCATCGGATTCAATATTTTCAGCTCCTCCATTTCCTTCCATAGGATATTGAGATGCGACAATTTGGATAGACACGTTTCTAGGAACGTGACACCCTTAAGTGTAATCCTCAACATCCTAAATCCACCCATGTCAAATAGTCCTCCGCGTCAAAATGATGACGTCCCGTGACGGAACCCATCATGATCCCACAACTTAAGGATGCACACAAGGTGTGGGGTCCACAAGAAATTGAACCTAAGCTCTGATACCAAGCTGACAGGACCCGTCCCGAATTTCCCGGAAACCCGAGACGAACCCTGCGGAGACCCCGGCATCACACCCACGCCGGGTTTACTCCTTAAATCTACGTCCTCGTTTACCATAGAGGATTAAGGGCACGAGACTTTCTGCCGAAAATTCGGCAGAGTCTCCCCTGTAAATTGAACATTCCCCAAAATTTCCACCTGCATAAAACACATTTTATAACCCAACCAGCAGCACGCACAATATAATCTCATGCAATTTACATAAATGGCCTCCGGCCTTCAAATGATTCTAGCAGAACTGCCCACACTGTTTTAAAATAACTCATGCATCAAACATGCATATAACCAATTCAAAATCTATCATGCACACCTTCACTCACTCAGTCCACCGGACAAGCCTCAATTCAACCAAGTTTCGGGACCAACCACGAGGTCCGCATCATACCCAATAAAACCACCTAAGTGGTGTCTAAGTCGTGGCTGCACCTAGGCGCTATCCCAGGCTGCCTACGTACCCTACTAAGGGATCAAGCCACACGTAGCTCTTTCCTATCAATCCTGGCTCCTGATATCAATTAAACCATTACATCCATATAAATTCATACATTCTCGGGTTTATCCATCACAACACACCAAACACAATCACATAGCTCCCACTCATACGTCGGGACGCACCCGGCCACGTACGGGGTCTGTCAACACGCCGGCTAACCCAAAGACGCGTGCGACCTCACACTGGGCCTGGCTACATTCTCACCAGCCCATCATACCATCATATCTCCCACTCATACGTCGGGACGCACCCGGCCACGTACGGGGTCTGTCAACACGCCGGCTAACCCAAAGACGCGTGCGACCTCACACTGGGCCTGGCATCTCACCAGCCCTCATACCATCATATCTCCCACTCATAGTCGGGACGCACCCGCCAGTCGGGGTCTGTCAACACGCCGGCTAACCCAAAGACGCGTGCGACCTCACACTGGGCCTGGCTACATTTCACCAGCCCTCATACCATCATATCACCCCACTCATAGTCGGGACGCACCCGGCCACGTACCGGAGGTCTGGTAACACGCCGGCTAACCCAAAGACGCGTGCGACCTCACACTGGGCCTGGCTACATTCTCACCAGCCCTCACACCTCATACTCCCACTCATACGTCGGGAACTCCCCCGGCCACGTCGGGGTCTGTCAACACGACCTGCTAACCCAAAGACGCGGGCTACCCTCACCCTGGTCCTGGCTACCTTCTCCCACCCTCACAAATCATACTCGCCACTCATAACGTCCGGACGCACCCGCCACGTAACGGGTTCTTTCACACGCCGCTAACCCAAAGACGGTGCGACCTCACCCTGGTGCCTGCTACATTCTCACCCGCCCTCACCACAAAAAAATCATAACTCCCACTATACGTCGGGCCGTACCCGGCCACGTACGGGGTCTTCAACACGCCGGCTAACCCAAAGACGCGTCGCGACCTCACACTGGGCCTGGCTACATTCTCACCAGCCCTCACACAATCATATCTCCCACTCATACGTCGGGACGCACCCGGCCACGTACGGGGTCTGTCAACACGCCGGCTAACCCAAAGACGCGTGCGACCTCACACTGGGCCTGGCTACATTCTCACCAGCCCTCATACCATCATAACTCCCACTCATACGTCGGGACGTACCCGGCCACGTACGGGGTCTGTCAACACGCCGGCTAACCCAAAGACGCGTGCGACCTCACACTGGGCCTGGCTACATTCTCACCAGCCCTCACACAATCATAACTCCCACTCATACGTCGGGACGCACCCGGCCACGTACGGGGTCTGTCAACACGCCGGCTAACCCAAAGACGCGTGCGACCTCACACTGGGCCTGGCTACATTCTCACCAGCCCTATACCATCACTTGGGCCTGAGCCTAATCACAATATGAGGGGTACGTGGGGTAGTGCGTATAGCACTGTAAACTAACATTCAATCTCTTATATATCATTACACGTCCACACAATTAAATATATATAATTTCTAATCATACAATAACATCAACCAATAAAACATTCCATAAACTCCCCCATTTAAATTCACCAATTTATATCCTAAACCCACAATATCCATTTAACTCAACAACGCTCAAGACCTGTCACTAAGGTCATCCTAACCCTCAAGGAAAGGTAAGACTATCTCGGGAGTCTCACGGTCAACCTAGGGTCAAACGGGCCTGCGGGGCCCACAACCTACAAATTCCGATCCGATAGTTCCTAGAGGTTCTACAAGCTCTAGGACACATGTCCTGCAAGTTTGGTCCAGATCGGACGGTCGGATTGCTCACGATCGCACAATCGGACGGATACTTAAACCCTAACCCCAGGGTTGGCATTTCCGGAGTATCCGGGACTCCGTTTTACGATCCGTCGAATCCTACACGATCCTGGTAATACCTAGATCAACATATTATAATATCAGGACCATCCAACGGTCCAAACCCAGCGAACCCGGAAAATACGCGATATGCGATATCCGTTCGGGACTCTAACGGTATCCAAATTGAGATCCGAGCACACCTACGCGCTCGTGACATCGAGAGGATCACAATGGGACAAAAATGCCCCTCAGCTACAGTGCCCACGCGCCGCCACGCGCCGGCAGCGCGTGGGTGTCCAAAGCGATACCCATCGCCGGAAAAACTTCCAAATCGTGAGCCCAGACTCCTACCCTAGGTAATACACCTAATTTGGAGTCACTTTTGTTCTTGGACGTACCCCAAAAACTGACCGGAAGTGGCCGGAATCTCATCCCGAAATCCGGCCGAACCCTAACTCGAAAATCAGATGATCTAGGCTCAAAATCAATACAATCCTACCCAACCATCAGCTAGATCATGCAGAAGGGATGAATTTCCATACCTTGATCGCCAAAAATGGCGGCCGGACGACGGAGAACGAAGCCGGCGAAGTTTCGGGCAAAACCGGAGCTTTTCTCTTCGATTTTCCGGCGAAATCACGGCGGCTGACGGCGAGACCTGGCTGGGGTAGGAAGAGGACGGCGGCCCGGTCATTTTGGTACCGGCCCCGTCGACTTTGGTGGCCGGACGAGCGAACGGCCGGCCAAAACGTGGTCGGCCACGGTGGCTGTCGCGAAACCAGAGGAGAGAGGAGAGCGACGCGCGGGAGAGAGAGAGTGTGAGAGAGACAGGGGCAATTCCGTCTTTTAACCAAAAATCCCACTTCAAAATATTTACGATTATGCCACTGAGCTTCATTTGATCATATCTCTCTCGTTACAACTCCGATTCGAGCCCACTACGTGTCTACGGACTCATCTCACCGTGCTCTACGCAACGGTACAACCGGAATTCCCAAATTCCTTCCGGATAAGAAAATGACTAAAATACCCCTATCCCACGGGTAATTTCTCAATTCCACTTAAATAAATTAAAACATGGGATAATTTGGGGTCGGGGTGTTAACCCCAAAAAAAAAAAAAAAAAAAAAAAAAAAAAAAAAAAAAAAAAAAAAAAAAAAAAAAAAAAAAAAAAAAAAAAAAAAAAAAAAAAAAAAAAAAAAAAAAAAAAAAAAAAAAAAAAAAAAAAAAAAAAAAAAAAAAAAAAAAAAAAAAAAAAAAAAAAAAAAAAAAAAAAAAAAAAAAAAAAAAAAAAAAAAAAAAAAAAAAAAAAAAAAAAAAAAAAAAAAAAAAAAAAAAAAAAAAAAAAAAAAAAAAAAAAAAAAAAAAAAAAAAAAAAAAAAAAAAAAAAAAAAAAAAAAAAAAAAAAAAAAAAAAAAAAAAAAAAAAAAAAAAAAAAAAAAAAAAAAAAAAAAAAAAAAAAAAAAAAAAAAAAAAAAAAAAAAAAAAAAAAAAAAATAGTTATGCCCCAGTTTTACATTACTTGTTCAAAGTTGTTGGATTGAACTTAAACCCAAAACACTTTTTGTTGTTGTTACATTTGAGGAAAGAAAACCCCACTGGGATTCGGATTCTGGATTGGGGGGGGGGGGGGGGGGGGGGGGGGAATCCACCACCACTGTGGTGGAACCCTAAACACTTTATATATAGTGAAAAATCAGATATTTAACTCGACTTCAATGAAACACGGTATATCATGCATGTTCTTGGTGCAATATGTCATTTTTATAGTATTGTAGTTGAGCTATATTTAGACATCAACAGTTTTTTAGGCAAAACACACTCATTATATTCAGTAAAATTTATAACCTCAATAATGATGTTTCATCTTTTGGTACAGTTAAGCTCCATAACTTTAGTCACAGGGGTCCTCATCTACTACGCAGTGCAACTAAAATCACACACAAGGCCCAATCAGTCACATGTCTCGCTACCAAGTGGCATGTTTGCGCCACTCTAGACTCATTTGATGCAAACGAAGGAGATTCTCCAACGACTAATCCAATCGCCGCCAATGGGAGAGTGTTTCCGGTTGCCAGTGACGGAGAATCAGACAGCGATCTGGCAAGTGATGATCAAGATGAATTGGAAAATGCTAAGTTGGACCCATCATATTCATATAGTACTATCTCCTATCAAAAAAGACAAGCTCTAGGTAACTCAACCTAATTTTATTTAGCGCATATATATATATATATATATATATATCATCATCAACTCTTACCATTCATGATAAAGTTTTTGCTAGTAGTTCTATAGTCAGTCGCTCGCGGGTGGAAAATTCCTAATCATGACTATTGATGATGTGTTGCAATTCTTGACAATTGATTTGCACCAAAATACATTAATGGACATTCGTGAGTGACTGACCTTAACATCATCCTCGATATAACGTAATCAACACTAGAGTCACTATTAGCTCTTATAACTATCCCAAGTGATAAAAGTAATAACAGAGTCTTACTATATAATTACAACAACATATTATATTTTGCACATTGGTATTAGTATCACTTAATTTGATGATATTATTATTAAATATTGGTTGTTGCAACTTGCAGTGACGTATCTGGAGAATAATAGAGCTGGTATTACAATATACGGATTTACATTCGACAGGACTACACTCCACACCATCTTTATGCTTGAGCTATCGCTCATTCTTGGTTGCTGGGAAAAACAGTTGGAATTTAAGTTCATACTAAGATACATTGAGAGAGATAGTTATATAATTTTGAAGGTTGCATTTAGGAGATGTATAATTGATCCCAATTTTCCATTACTTTTTCAGTGTGTGGATTTCCCCCTTACTTATAGTGATTTTGTAAATTTTTGTAATTAAGCTGGGCATTTTGATTGATTAGTTTGGTTTGATTCAAATATATATACATTAAAAGAATTGACAAAAATAGGTTCCAAATTTGAATCAACTCGGAACACTCAATTTGAAATATTCTAAATCACTAATATTTCGAATATTTCGAATCAAGTATTTCAAGCTTAATATTGAAAATGCTTCAGAGAAGTCAATAGCTTGAATATACTCTCTAGTTATAGATATTTATCACCAATCATGTTTAAATAATTAATACATTCATTAATTCAACTCTACCGTTATCGTACAGCCAATGCAGTTGCAATGATTTATATACTCCAGTTATATATATATATATATATAGTATAATATATATATATTCCGTCTTAACTAATATGTGATAGGCAGTGAATCATAAACATTATTCATAATTGTAGATTGGCAGTGAATCACCCCACTACTACAAAAAATGAAATACACAATGGTAATCCACCGTCGTTGTGATGCTTTGAAAACTGTCGTTAAATTAACCGCCATCCTTTAGTGTATCAAACTACAACGGCTTTAACCGTCGTTGTATATTTGTTGTGATGATATTTTTTTTTCTTTTTTATGGTCTCAACCTCAAATGCCAATATTCTATTATCGTGCTTTGGTTATCCCTGTTTTTTTCTTGTTTTTTTTTTTTTTTCTTTTTTTTTTTTTTTTAACTGAGAAAAGTGACAAAATGCTCTCTTTGACAAACAAAAATTTTCAAAATCGGGAATACCTCATTGAAGCTACTCGTAAGATTGCATTTGTGCAAGAGTATGTGAAATTGGTACTTAAGTGAAGGGGGTAAATTAAAACCCCAATGGGCAGATCTAATAAGACAACAATGATTAATTGTTCCTAATAACAATATGACTTGTCAATTACTAGTCATAGACCTATAAATAAACAAGTTCAGCACAAATTCATCACAAATCAAATATAAGAACCTGCAAGCCTAAAAGGTAACTACATGACAACCTAGGCACTCCGAAGGATCCATCAATTTAGGCATCCCTTGTACTAGCAACAACTAGAGTGAAAGGTGTGTCTACATTCATCAACATTTCAGAGATAATATATATAGTATGGCTAGTCATAAAATCAAGAACAGCACACCATAAATGTTCACCCTGAAACCCACAATTGGGAAAAACTAGGGGTCATCACTCCAACCAAGCAAGTCAAGAAGATTCTTACAAAAAAGTAATCACAAGCTCAAACAATCCTAGGTCTATTTAGGAAATGAGCACTACCTCCCTGTGCAACCTTCTTCTCCAAACTTAGTTGAGGTAGTAGCTTGTGCTTTGTGGAAATGACAGCTAGTCTATCAGCTTCTTTACCCCATGGCACAGCAACTCAGCTCCGGATTGTCACCAATGAATGAAATATAGATTCTGAGATGAAAGGGTCAATTCCTTCAAAAAACCATACTCATAAAGAAATCAACCAAGAATCTGATCTAGACTAAAGAATATGACTAGTCATAATAACCTAGATGAAGACTCAAGAAGATGACTAGTCATAACTGAACTCATATGCAGATTTTAAAAACACATCATATTTCAAAGTATAAATTTCAAAATCTCATAGTGAAAACTCAAACCTCATCAAATAGAGCATGCAAAGTAAAAGTTTTACTCTAAAAAATTTTCAATGAGTGCAGTAGATTTCAAACACATAAACAGATTTAAAAAATTATTTGAAAACCTCATTTCAAAAGCCATGAACACTCTCAAAGAAACCAAAGAGAAAACCAAGTTTTCCAAAATGGTGCAAATGAAAAAGATGAGAGATTAAAAGCCATGGTCAGATTTTCTAAAAAAGAAGTAGCTTTCAAATGAAATCTTGAAATCCCATTTCTATGCCATAAACACTCTCAAACAAACAAAAGAAAAACTAAGTTTTCCAAAATTGTGAAATGAAAGTGATAAGAGATGAAAACTTTGTATCACTAAACGAAAGTTTGAGAAATGAAATTTCAATGAAAGCCCAAAAGGAATTCAAGAACCGATGAACTCTTCTCCTAAAAATCAAAACCTAATTTATGCACCATCTCTCACTTGAACTCTCTCTCTCTCTCTCTCTCTCTCTCTCTCTCTCTCTCTCTCTCTCTCTCTCTCTCTCTCTCTCTCTCTCTCTCTTTCTCTCTAAAAACCCATTTGAAAATGTAAATAAGAGAGTTGATGAGTCCAGACCAGCCCCAACCATTTTGGTAGGTCAAAAGGACACTTGGCATCCAATGATTAGACTTATAATAAGCAAAATCACGTGCCTTGGTTAAAAATCTTGAGCTGGAAATATTGGCCTATATGACTAGTCATATTGACAAAGTATATGGATGCAAATGCTGATTTGGTCTATATGACTAGTCATCTCAACAAAGTACATGGATGCAAATGTTGATTTTCCTAATGATGCCCATTATAATGAATGCACAAATTACCTTAGTTTTGTAGCCTTTTAACCAAGCATTGATTCCAATTTTCTCAATCTCAAACCCTAAAATCGAGTGGGAGGCCTGAGTCATACATGGTAGGGGTGGGCATCGAAATCAAAAACCGATCAACCGAACCAAATATGACTGGAAAAAAACTGAAAAAAATCGTTTAACCAAAAAGTCAAACCCAATTCAAAAATCGAACCGAATCGGTTCTAACCAGTTCCTGTTCCGATTCTATACCCTAACAAACCGAACTGGGCCAAACCAAACCGGCCAAATTAAAAAATATATAATTTTAATATTTATTTATATCCAATGCTATATTAATCCCATAACTAATATTACCCAAGTTCAATTTCAAAACATCTCTCTTTTCTAGCCTCAATATTTCTTTTTGTATGAAATTGGATAATTTGTTAATTTTCAAGTCAAAAAAAAAAAATCAATTGAAATTTGTATTAAATAATAATAATAATCCAGTTCAAAACTGAACTGGTTCAACCCGAATCGGACAGTTTTATAATTTTTTTGTTAAAACCGAACCAAACTTAACGGGATAAATAGTACCGAATTCGGTTCCAATTTGAGGCAAAATCTGACCCCTACTACATGGTGAAGGTGGGTTTAAAACAAGTTTGAACTAAAAGGTACAAAAATGACCCTCAATTTGATGGATTAACGGACATAACTAATGGTAGGAGGGGATCAACACAAATTGAAAGTTCTAGGAGTATTAGAACCAAATTGGAAGTTCAAAGGGCAAATTGGAACATGACCTATAGGGGGTATGCTCAACTTTTCCCCAAATAATATAAATAAATTACAAAACTATCACCTTTCCAACCAACCCTTGCATTATGAGACTGTTGTTTCATTATTTATGTTTACGTTTTGATTTGGATTATTCTTCTTCTTTTTTTTCTTTTTTTGTAGAGTTATGGATGGATTTAGAGTTGCTAAGTGCACCAATGAAGCTGTCCCCTATGCCTCTCTTTTTCTTTACCTGTTTGGTGGTTTTGAAATTAAAAGGGAATTATAGCCACTGTTTATATATTCAGGATGCTAAAGCTTATGTCAGTAGGCAATATGGATCATGAATTCTATATATGTAAGTAAATTAATTAGATAATGTGTCACATTAGTCACGAACCCATGATTCAAAAATGACTAGGGCTAATTTTTAAGCCAATTTTTCCAACCGAAATTTTTCTGTTGAAATTTTGACAAAGTATACTTTATTTTTATGACATTTTCCAAACGGTACATAACAAGCATATCAACCAATAAATTATAGATACTGAGCATCCATAATGGGCTCCCTAAACCACATCCTTAGACAAATTTTAGGGAGGAATTGTAAAAATGCAACTCCAACCACGCTCCCTATCCATCTACTAAAATAGAGAGTCCTCTAGGAGCTCCTAAATTTGAGGAGAGAGAAAGGACTCCTAGCGGCTCTCTATAATTTAATGCTGCTTTATTTAATGAGTATTTCAAACATTTATTTAATGCTAACTATTTTTTATTTTATTTTTTAATAGAGATGGACCAATCAAAAAAAGTTATAGTATTTATGACTCTCCAAATTAGGGAGTATGGTTGGAGTTGAAATTTTTTAAAGAGCTCCTAAAATAGCTTTCTTATATTCTTAGCCAAATTTTAGCTAAGAAATAGAGAGCATCATTGTGGATGCTCTAATAACTTAACAATAACACAACTTCTATTAAAAACAAAGAACTTAATAGATAGTAGCACCCATTGATCTCTAATATCAGTTTTAAAAAAACCTCTAATAATTGTTATTTTATTTATAAACAAAAACCTCTCATTTTTAAATCCATGAATTAAATTTAGAAACAATCACAATAAAAATAAGGGTACAGTAAGAAGAGAGAGGAGAAAGAAAATGAAAAAAATAGAAAAGAAGAGAGTTGGGCTGGAGAGTCACGGGTCTGTAAGAACACCTCCCGCGCTAGGGCCTTGCCTTGGTAATAGCCCTCCCAAGCCTGATTTCAAACTCCAGCGTAGAAAACCCAGCCTGGGCAAGGCATGGGACCCACCATGCCTGAGCAAGCCAACAAGCAAAAATGGACTGGGCTATTGCCCGAAGGCTGTTGAAGTCAGCACTGACCCACCAACCCACATAGCCCAACGGCTACAAGCCACGCGGCTTCTCCTGGAGCCTTCGATCAAAAAATATTGCTCAATCCAAAGGCTGTCTAATTTTTGGCTTAAAAAATATCTAAAAAATATCAAGAAATTCTAGAAATTTTTTCTATAAATACCTACCAATATTATTCACTTTCCACACTAAATCTTCATACAAATTCATATCCTTCCAATATTTTTCACTTTCCACACCAAATTTTCTACTACAAAATTCCATTTGTGTAAAAATACAAATGGCCTCTTCCATTGAAGCCGAAGGGTCATGGACAAACGTTCGAAAAGGTCAAAATCATGGCGATGAGGTTAAAAAAAAATTAATTGCCATTTTATTCAATTTAATGTCATTTTTTATTATATATTTCTTGCATTTCCAATTTCATTTTTTTAATAGATTATTCAAGGCAAAACAAAAAAGAGGAAAACCATTACACATGGCTCCTCAAGTGAACAATGTCCATAATCGGTTCTAGTGGTGCGTTCCATGTCAAAAATAATGGCACTATTACGTCCTCCGAAGGAAAATACTCCTCCACGTCCTGATCCGTGGAACCGCCTCCGCCCATGATTGAGTCGTCCTTGTACTCGATTGTGTCGGACTATGAGGATTGGGAGTATTTCATTTGTATGATGAGTGAGTAGGTATTTCAATTGTATGATGGGTGAGATGTGAATTTTATAATAACTATGGACACGTGGCAACCAAAAATCTTATTCGAAAATTTAATTTGAAAATTTAATCCGAAAATGTTATCTGAATTTTTAGGTGAGAATTTTATAATAAATATTGACATGTGATAACCAAAAATCTTATCCGAAAAGCTTATCAAAATTAATGGTTTAAGTATAAAAAATAGAAAATAAATTAAAGTGAATAGCATTTGCCTTTGCCCTATTGGGTGGAACTAAAAAAGGCAAGGCTGTCACTATTTATGTGAATAGTAACAAACCTTGCCTTACTTTTGTCTTGCCCTTGCCCTTTGAAGTGAAGGTGCTCTAAAGGGGAGGAAGGGAATCTTATGTCTTGGGTAATAAAATTGGAATGAGTAAGTAATAATGAGCTGAGCAACCTTTTTTTTTCTTTAGAAGTGCTGGGCTAGGCTACCTAGTTGTAAGAAAATATTTTAACACTTGGGTCATGCGCCCTACCTAGTCAGGGTTGGGCCCGTGCCTATGATACATTCATTTTGCATATAGCAATATTTTGTCACATCATATCATTCAAATGACTTTTTTGTATATTTCAAGTCAACTCCAAATCTATTAGGTTTAATTTTGCAGATGAACATGTAACCACTCGATATGTGTTCACATATCGATTATGAATGCAAAATAGGAAGCATCATGAAAAGTATTTGTCTACTTTGGTTATTTTTTAATTTTCTCTATATTTTGATATGAGTAGGATTGAATATTTTGATATGAGTAGGATTGAATGAGCTTGAATCGATTTGGCTGCGGTTTCAAATTTGTTTAGAATCAAGAGAATCCAATCAGACCATTACTTTAGTGATATGTTAGCTGCTGATGTGAAGATTCATGAGGATTGGTGCTGCTTTGTGAAGCATATTTTCCGTGAACAAAATTGTGCTGCAGATGCTCTCGCTGTGAAGAGTTATGATTTTGCTCTTGGTCTCCAGGTGTTTCTGGAGGCTCCAGCTTTTCTTAGTGATATGTTAGCTACTGATGTTTGAGGTGCTGTTAGATCTCGTCTAGTTTCTGTTTAGTTTATTTTCGGTTTGGGGCTTTAGCCCTCCTTTGAAAAAAAAAAAAAAAAAAAAAACAGACATTACTTTTAGTTTTTCCTTTTACATGTGTCGCATAATGTAGAAAATGAGACATATGAATGTAGCTCGCATTAGGGTTGTTTGTATCCAATCAAATTTCAATTCAATTTTGATCAGATGATGTGAAGGACTGGATATTACATCGCTAAATATGGTAAAATTACTATAATATCAAATATTATAGGGATTTGACCGCTAAAAAATGAAGAGAAATGGAGACTTTAGCATACACACAAGGGGTTTCGAACCCCTACCACCCTCATTTCTCTCAAACACCTTATCCACCATGCTACAAACAACTTTGTGATTTTATTATGTCTTTTGATATTTATAATCTTTTTCTTTTGTGTTTTCCTTTCTTTTCCATCTCTCTTCTCCACTTTTTTTTTCTTTCTTTTCCTTCTTTCTCCTCTCTCTCTTTTCCTTTCCTCTTCTCTCCTTTCTTTTTTCTTCTTTCTTTTCCTTCTCTTTAGTTTTCTCTCATCTCTCTTTTTTCTTTCTTTCTTTCCTTCAATCTTCTCTCCTCTCTCTCTCTCTCTCTATTTTTTTTTCTTTCTTTTCCTTCTCTCTTCTCTCATCTCTTTATCTTTTTCTTTCTTTCTTTCCTTATATTTTCTCTACTCTCTTGTTTTTTTTAATTTAAATTTTTTTCAATTGTGAGTTTCGTAACATGCATGCTATTATTTATGAACCTGTTACACGTCTCGAAACCCGCACGATAAAAGACGACCCGAACCCGACACGATACGTTTATTAAATGGGTTGGGTTCGGGTTGAGCATTCTTGACACGTTTATTATCCCGACACGACACGACCCATTGCCAACCCTACCCTTACCCTACATTAAAGTTCTGAAAGCTGAAATTAAGATAAGTTGATAGAAAATTCCTAATCATGACTATTGATGTGTTGCAATTTTTGACAATTGATTTGGGCCACAATACATTAATGGTCATTCATGAGTGACTAACCTTAACATCAACCTTGATATAACGTAATCAGTAATGGAGTTACTGTTAGCTCCTATAACTAGCCCAAGTGATAAAAGTAATAACAAAGTCTTACTATATAATCACAACAACATATTATATTTTGCACATTGATCTTTGTATCACTTAATTTGATGATATTATTATTAAATATTGGTTGTTGCAATTTGCAGTGACGTATTTTGAGAATGATAGAGCTGAAATTACAATATACAGATTTACATTTGACAGGACTACACTCCACACCATCTTTATGCTTGAGCTGTCACTCATTCTTTGGTTGCTGGAAAAAAACAGTTGGAATTTCAGTTCATAACCCCACATGAATTGTAGGATTGTTTTTTTTGGGTCCTTGCTTTATTAATGTTCATGCTATGATACATTGTGTGTGTGTAGAGAGAGATAGAGTTTTGGAGGTTGCACATTTAGGAGATGTATATAATTGATCCCAATTTTCCATTACTTTTCAGTGTACGGATTTTTCCCCTACTTAAATATTTGGTAAAAATAAGTTCCAAACTTGAATCAACTCGTAACATTCGATTTGAAATATTCGAAACCACTAATATTTATAATATTTCAAATCAAGTATTTCAAGCTTAAGATTGAAAATGCTTCAGAAAGTCAGCGCCTTGAAGATACTCCGTAGTTATAGATATTTGTCACTAATTATGTTCAAATAATTAATACATCCATTAAATCAACTCTAATTTCTCATCTTCATTTTTTTTATTTTTAAAGAATTACATTTATCGTACAACCAATGCAGTTGCTAATTAACAAACACGCCCAAATTTAATACTATAATTGTCCTGCTGTGGTAGTTAACCACATTCTGTTTGATCATCTTAATATAGGTGCCTGTAGTTATGTTTCTTTGGTCAATAAGAAAAGAAGTATACCTGTGACTGTCGAATGCAGTGACCTCAAAAACGTTTTCTACATGTTAGATGTTACGCATACTGAGCAACAGTTTAATAATACTATATCATAAATTAATAACACCACGTGACAGTATGTGTATGATATTTAATTTCTTTTAGGGAGGAGAACAACCAGTCCCCAAGTCTCTCTAGTTTTTTCGCGTGCTAGTTGTGATATATACAGCTACGAAAATGAAGCTGACACGCCGTCGATTAACGGCCGGACTCTCTAAAGACCCTATTAAAGTAAACGTCATGTCATGGCAACCCAACCCAAAAACGACGTCGTGCCGTTAAGATTTATTCTCTTTCCGTCGGTTTGTGGCCCCGAACTAAACCTCCTGGGAAAGAGAAACAAACAGAACCTCCAAGAGTGTTTCTCTTTTCAAAAATTTGAATCAAAATCCAAAAAGCCACCTGGATCAGATTGCGTACGAATATGGAAATTTCATCGGTTCCGATCAGTTCGTGCTCCAAAGAGCACCAGAAAATCTATCAGGAATGGTTTCGCTTCGCTGATTCAGGTTCGTAGTAAATTACACTACACGTTTTCTTCGCATTATTTACCATGAAAACTACTGTTTTCTTAGTTTTTGTTTGGTTCCCGAGAAAATTGAGCAACTGTGTATTGAGTTTTTTTCCCTGTGGTTTTGTTCAGACAGTGATGGCCGCATTACGGGGAATGATGCTATAAAGTTTTTCGGCATGTCCAATCTGAATCGGCAAGATCTCAAGCAGGTTATATTGCGTTTATTTATTTATTTAGTGTTTTATTTATCAAACAAGTGTTTTCTTTTCCCTCAAAGTGTTATTTCTGCTTTAATTTGACACCATTGGTATTTGATGAATTTATGTTTCATACATAGGTTAGTGTTATTAACTGAGTTAATGCATTAGATTATTCTCTGTCAAAATACAATTTGTTAGGATTGTGGGTTTCTTTTTCCTTTTAGCAATACAAAAGGTTTTGTGACACAATACACAAGTAGATCCATTGAAGTTGGCCTCAAGTTTTTCATATTAGATTACTTTGCTAAGTTCAAGCTTACGATTATGATCTATGCCAACTGTCATGTTACATTTGTTAAGGACCACAAAACCCCCCTCTTCATTCATTTTCGGGGTTAAATTTTGTAACTTGAATTTTGGGTTTACATTTGTCAAATATCATATTTTAGAGGCTTCCATCATTCTTTACAGAGGCTTTTTCTTACTAAGCGCTTTCCTTTTCCTAAGGTATGGGCAATTGCTGATTCAAAGAGGCAGGGATATCTTGGTTTCAGTGAGTTCGTTGCCGCTATGCAGGTTTTTTATTAGCTGTTATAATTCCTTTTTTTCCTGGATAGCAAAACTTGTACATTTGCTTTATAGGAATCTGACGTGTTATTGCCTTTTCATTTGTAGCTAGTTTCTCTTGCACAAGGTGGACATGATATTTCACATGATTTATTGAATAGCAATGGTGGGTTTCTTTAGTTTGACTTTGTTCCATAAGGCATGCTTGGAGTGGTAGAATCTCATGTATAAGTTGACAGCTTGAACTGTCTGTTTGTTCATAAAAATGAGTAGTGCATGGCTGTTTTAAAAATAAATAAAAAATTGAAATGTTGTTTGGCACAATCAGTTAACCTAAACTTTGAAATGCTATCCTGTGTTTCAGTTGACTTGGAAAATCTCAATCCTCCTGTTATGGAAGGTTTGGATGCATTATTAGCGGTATATAGCTACTTGTACCTTTCTTATTCTTTTACTCTCATTTTTTTATGTAGTTCTTTATAATAAATTGATTGCTTTTATCTGGCCAAAATGGCTGACTTAGTTTATTTATTTATTTATTCAGAAGAAAAAGCAATTGCACAAGACGAATGAAAACGAAGTAAATGGTGAGGAGTTTCCCGACCTAACTATGAGATGCGTATTGCTACATTGGTTTTGCTGTGCATTTACTAATAAGCAGTCATGCAGGTACGGCGGTGGTGGAGCAATCACCTTCAGCGCTTTGGTTTTCTTCAAAATCATCAAAAAAGGTATTTGTTTCCTATTTTTGGGGCAATCAATGTTTTGCTTTCTTGATACTCAGAAAGAAGGATTTTCAGAGTCCTGGTAAATGTTTTTGCACCTAAACTTCTCTCTATTATGTACTAATTTGAATTGTCTTATTTGATAAATCAAGTTTACTTTTTCATAATGCCTGGGTAATTTATGATATTATTGCTTCCATGTACTTTTTTTACTTGGTATTCTAGTCTCTCTGAGTGATTATACTTGTTGAGTGCAGAAATACTTATGTTTTTATCAGAGTTTTCCAATGGACATGCGAAAGTTTTGAGTCAATTATGACTTTACGTTCACAATAACTGCTAGAAGAGGCTATGTTACTAGTGCAAAAGTAAAGGAGAGAAGCTTACATAGTTCAGTTTTAGTAGTGCTTTTTTATATTATTTTTATGTATGATATAAAATTATAAATTTACATGAAGAGAATGCTGCTCACAACAGACGATTTTGAACAAGCAGAACATGGTTGGAGAGTAATGTTTTGATTGTAGAGTTGATTCAAAATTTTCCCGTGCATACAGATTGCAATTTGCTATAGTGTTGGATAGACATGGGTTATGCACTGTGTTTAACAACTTAACAAAATTCTTTTGGCATATTTTAGGTACCACTTTCTTCTGTAACATCAATTATTGATGGGTTGAAGAGACTGTATGTTCAGAAGCTGAAGCCCTTAGAAGTTACTTACCGGTTTAACGATTTTGTATCCCCATTACTGGTGAGTGAGCAGTACGCGTTTCTTCTAGTTCTTTCATCAGATTTAATGCCCAGGCACTCTTAGTTTAATTTCATTTTTTTTCTTGGATAAGCTTGAACTTCTATCTAATTATGGCATACTATAGTTATCAATTGATGTTTATTTGCGTAATTTTCAGACAAATAGTGATTTTGATGCCAAACCCATGGTTATGCTATTGGGTCAATACTCCACTGGGAAAACAACATTCATTAAACATTTGCTCAAAAGTAGTTATCCAGGCAAGTTATCCTCTGTGCAAGTGTATCTTTTCATAATTGTTTGTGTCTTGCATAGAAAGTGTTTTGATATATTTCATCTCTTATCTCATTTGCCTTTTGACAGGAGCTCACATTGGTCCGGAGCCTACAACAGATAGATTTGTTGTTGTTATGGTAATTACAAATTTATCTCCTTTCGTGTTGTCATTAACAGTCTTGAATTACTTAGCGACTAAGAGTTAAACTAAATGTTTATATGGTTGCATTTAAGTTTAAAAGACATATATATATAATAAGGCTGTATAGGGGCTCAGTAGCAATGTTAGAAACTACTATTTTATTAGCTTTCTGAGTGTTCTATTAGTTATTGATAGTTTAGTGATAATATTAATTGGTACCTCCCCTGTGTGCGTGAGAAAAGGTGATTTATTATGCTTGCTTTTCTTGTATCTGATTGTACACCTTCATTTTTAAGTGTGAAATTGTTAAATTTTACTGTTAGGAAATAGCATTTTGCATTTTTCCCTGCATATCAAGGCTGGTATTTTGATTTTTCAGAAGAGAAAAAAGTCTGTTTTTGGGTCTGGTTTCTATTGGTGGAAATAATCTGTGATACTAGTCATGAGTTCAGAAATGGAAAGCAGATTGCTGAGCAGCTTGGCAGTATGTCTAGAGTCTGGATAGAGTACTAGCGTATTATTAGCTGAGTTCTCGGAATATTTTGTGTTTCTTGAGGCTTAGCAGTTGTACATGTGAATTTCAAGAAACGAAACTAGTAGCTTTTTGGCTGTCACTAGTACAGAAATTGATGTTTTAGAGAAGATCCTGAGATTTGGTTTCCTCACATTTGTAGCGAATACAAATTTTCCAAATTCCATTAATATTGTTTTTCTTTTTCTGTTAATGTTTCTGAATTTAATATTGTTTAACTAGTTAATTCTACTTCCATGTAGTCAGGGCCTGATGGAAGAAGTGTTCCTGGGAATACTATTGCCGTTCAAGCTGACATGCCATTCAGTGGTCTCACAAAATTTGGAACAGCATTCTTGTCAAAGTTTGAGTGCTCTCAAATGCCACATTCTGTGAGTTATCTTTCACAATCACCTTGAATTTTTCCAAATTTTCCTTTGAAACACCAAAGCTTACTCCTTTTTATATCCAAGCTGCTAGAACACATTACTTTTGTGGATACTCCTGGCGTTTTATCTGGAGAGAAGCAGCGGACGCAACGAGCCTACGATTTTACTGGGGTAACTTCGTGGTTTGCTGCAAAGTGCGACCTTATTCTACTTTTGTTTGATCCTCACAAACTTGATGTTAGTGATGAATTCAAGCGCGTGATTTCATCTTTACATGGTCACGACGATAAAATTCGTGTTGTTCTGAACAAGGCAGATCAAATTGACACCCAACAAGTGAGTATATGCAAGATATGGATCTGTTGATGATTTTTCTTCTACATGTTCTTTTAGGCATTTAATTAGGTCATTGGATTTTGCAATCAAATCATTCTTTATTCATGGTATTCAGTTGATGAGGGTTTATGGAGCTTTGATGTGGTCACTTGGGAAAGTTCTTAATACTCCTGAGGTCATGCGAGTTTATATTGGGTAGCCTCTCCATCCTTACAGGCATTAATTCCATGGAAATATTCCTATGGTTTATAATAGATTCCGATGTTTCCTAGCAAATTCCTTTTTTCAGTCGATGCAAACTAATTTATCTTTTGCAGCTCATTCAATGACAAACCTGTAAATGAGGCTGCTACTGGTCCGGTTGGGAAAGAACTCTTTGAAAAGGAACAGGAGGATCTTCTTGCTGATTTAAAGGATATTCCAAAGAAGTCTTGTGATCGCAGGGTGAGTTTGTTATATTTACTTAGCGTGACATTTCTTTATCAAGTTGCACTCAGGTTAATTTTTTTGCAAATTTTAAATAAGCTTACTGTAGGGGTGCAATTTTATAGCTGTAACTTAGGTTGAGCCCCATTTTTCATTTCTTTTTAGCGACCGAATAAGCAGATGCCTTTTGAATGGAATTTTGATGACAATTATTTTCACAGATCAATGAATTTGTGAAGCGTGCCCGAGCTGCCAAGATACACGCTTACATAATTAGCCATTTAAAGAAGGAGATGCCTGCTATGTTGGGGAAAGCTAAGACTCAACAGAGGCTTATTGATAATTTGGAAGATGAATTTGGAAAGGTAGTATTCCCTCGCTCCCCTGTGTATGTGCAGGCCCTACTCTATATGCTCACACTTAAGTTACTGTACAGGTTCAGAGGGAGTTCCATCTACCTCCAGGAGATTTCCCGGATGTTGACCACTTCCGGGATATCTTGAGAGGTTACAACATTGACAAATTCGAGAAGTTGAAGCCTAAAATGATAGAAGCCGTCGATGAAATGCTGGGTTATGATATTCCGGAACTCTTGAAGAATTTCAGAAATCCATATGGCTAATGGGTGAAAACATCTCTGAGAAGTATCATGAACTACGGTTGCTTCGAAGTGTATAAGTCGAAGGAGCATTGCTCTTCTTGAGCATCTCAGTATTTGCTGCAGTATATGATTTCAACTCATATTTGAGTTTTCCCGGGGGTTTAGATTGTACAAGATTTAGCAGGCAGGCTCCTTATTTGTAATGTCATTTTCCGTTGGGGGAAGACTTGGGACCAAGTGCAGGCAAAAACATTTCTCTGTTATTATAGTTCCAAAGAATAAAACTTATCTGTGAATGAAATAAATTATATATATTTTTATTCCCAAGAGGTTCAAGATCTAACATTTTATTTTATTTTTTCTTGAGAAAGATCTATCATCTTTAGTCCTTGAGGATTTGTGCTTTAGTTTAATTCTTTTTCCATAAAATTTTCCAATTGTAGCTTCATGGAGCAATTATAATTTTCGTTTAAAAATGATAATCACCCTTGAGCTAACAATCTTGAAACTTCAAAGTTCACCTTAAATTTGGATTTGACTTAAGTGGCAATTCGACACTTCGTAAAAATTGGAAGTCCATATAAAACGTCAAATATCATATTATTTTATTATATTTTTTCAAATAAATGGAATTTATATGATGAATAAATTTTTTAGAGAGAGTAAATAATAGTGGAATTCAATGTTTAAAAATATTAAAATAACTTTCTCATTCAATTCGAAGTAAATTATTTTGTCCAAAGTTGCGTGCCTTATTTGCCCATAAAGCCTAAAGAACAATAAGAGAGAGAGAGAGAATTTTTTTTTTGCATCCCTCGCACACGTACAGCCCTAGAAGCAGAATTTTATAGATAGCAAAATAGACCCTCCTTTGTCTGTACTGCACCTCTTTAGGTAAAGTAGCTTGCAAATTCTCTATACAAACATGTCATCAAAGAGTCACTGCCGTCGTTTTTACAATTAACTCTATGATCACTGTTTCTTTTCAATTCGAAATCTGAGCTGAATTCACTGTCATCTATATCCGCTTTTTCTTCTTCTTTAGATGCTTGTTCTTGTGGATGTGGGAATCGGTCTTGATAGAACACCAGGTGTTCGATAAAATTCCTCTGAAAGCTCTGCTTGCTTACTTAGCTGGTATTCAAACTAGTGAGAAGAACTTACTCCATGCACGTAACTGCACAAACTTAGTTAAGCAGACAAAAGAGAAATGATATTTAATTGTGCAGTTTAAGTGCAAAATATAAACACTTTTTGAACTGAGTTCCGGAAGTGGTGGGAAAATTGTGTGTATGACTATTGTAAAAGCTTATGCTACTGAATGAATTTACTCTCTGACTTTACTGGGCCACTGGTTTCTGAATTTCAGACAGAAAGTTGATCCAGGAGTGAGTGAGAGCAATGTTGCCACCAAGATTGAAGAAGGCCATCACAGATAACCCAAAGAAGCTGGCCAACTTGATTGACCTCGTAAATCTTCCTTCGACGCTGCGGGAGTTCGTGGGTCAGTCTCAGATTTCTCATCTTGGATGCTTCATGCGTGTCTGGTCATACATCAAGGACAACAATTTACAGGTTCCTTAAATTTGTTTTTCTTAAGATAAGCAACCTGTATGTCCTTCTAAATTAAAGAACAATCAATTGTTTTCAGTGAAGATGGCGCTGTATTAATCTTTCTGTGTTGTTTTGTCTTAGTTATAGTGCTTCATGTTTTCTGTTAGGTTGTAATAAGAATAAGTTTCTTAGTATTTGTTATCGCAGCAAGGTTGTTAACAGTCAATTAGCAGAGTAAGCAAGATTGTTAGTTCCGCTGTGTTGTTGCGTTGAGAGGAGAAGCCTAGTTTGTGAACCAGTCATATAAAACTGGTTTTGTGCTTATGCAGGTTATTTGTGAAATTTATTTCTCAATAAAGTTCCATTCTTGTTAACCCACTATTTGCCATCTCTGTCAATGTAGAAGGTAGGGGCTCCAGCATAAATGTGCTTGGGCTTCTTGTTGCTGATGTTTCTTGCGAGTTTAAGAAGCAAATGGGAGAGAATATATTATCTTTCACCTTGCATACTTACTTTTATTGATTCTAACTGTGCAACTCAGTTTCAATGCTTTCATATATGAACCTATTTTAATACTGATCAGAAAAATGTGCGCTTTCATAGGATCCAAACAACAAGAACGTGGTCAAATGTGATGAAAAGTTGAAGGGTATTCTGTTGGGAAAGCCTCAGGTTGAGTTATGTGAGCTTCCTGCACTGATCAAGCTCCATTTCCCCAAAGAGCAGAAGTGATTTTTCAGTTCAGGTTGAGGTGCATATTTCCCCCCATAGTAATCTTTTTCCTGAGAAGCATTTCTACAATTCTAGGTACTTCATGTTGTAAGAAACTATGTCATGAGTAATTGTAGTCTCAGTCAGCAGTTTTTATGTTATGTTCTATTTTCAAGTCCAACCCCTTTTACTTGCCGTTCAATATGATATTGTAAGATCTTCGCGGTAGTTTCAAAAGGTAATGTGATTTTGCTTTAAATCATCCGCCCATCTGCTAAATGAATAAACTCTTCATTGATGTTTTTTTGTGTGGTTACATTGGGAGGAAAGAAACCCTGGGGTTTCGATCCTGGGTGCCAAGCAGGGGGGAAGGGGGAGGGCCACAACCACTGTGGTAACCCTGCTCGACTCTCTTCATTGTTGTTTTTGCTTCACTTTATCACTATTTTTCATGGTGTATGACACCTTAGTGGGTGATAAATTTAGATTCGGAAAAATGAAAGACAAATATCTTGATGCAAGTTAAAGTGGATAGTACCAAAGGCAAGACTACTACAATGACAATTACAGACCTCATTCTATACTGTGTACTTCTTATAAAAATTGAGCTAGGCAATTTTTGAATACATGATCGGCAATAATAGCATTTGTTTTTTCTGTGGGATGGAAGGAGTCCCAAAATACATATTTATTTGCATCTGAACATGTGAATGGGGTTATCTTATTACACATGTAACTCATCTCAAATAATCCTGTGCCACAACAGGCTGTTGCTGCATCTTCAAATCCTGCAAAATAGGAAATTTATCTCATTGTTTTTTATTTCATGTACACAAACTGTAAGTGACATTAGAACGGGTACTATAGTGAAAACATAAAGTAAAACTCACCAAAAGTAGCTGGGTTTTGAATGATTTCTAAGAGAATATCATATGGGTTTAAAAGCACAAGTTGGATTCTAACTAGTTTCTTGCTGAGCTTTTCAGTCAGTCCCTGCAACTTCTCATTGAAAATCCTAGCCACATCATTGTACTCCTCAATACAATCACTCCCAGACAAGATATTTTTAGTTCTCTCCAGTGGCAGGCAACCCATCGGGGGAAGGCCGCTAATAGACATCTTTCGAGCTCCAAGCTGGTAAAGCTCTGTGATGAAATTTCCAGCAATTCCGGCTAGAAAATTTTGGTACTCCTCTATGGAAAACTGTGATGATCTGCGTTTAAATACGTAGTAGTTTTCTACGAAATCATTAGTTCCTATACTGATCAGGTAAAGTGCTTCTCCCAGAACCTCATTAGCTTTATCATTGCCTAGATAGCTTCTCAGGTCCTTCTGGTATTTCTTGTAGTACTCCATTTCCTTCCAAAGAGGTATTACAGACTGCAAGACCAGTACAGCAGGGTTTAGTATATTTATTGATTATAATATAAACTAAAAAATTAATGGAACTTCTGAAAATTGTTGGAAACAACTATAGTCTATAGTGTGTCTGATCTCCGTCTAAATGAGATTATTATCATTTTTTTTATCTTTAACTGTTCATTCAGGTATGGAACCTACGACCTTATCCTTCCACTTCGTACTTGAGGGGGAAGGAGAGATTCTGTTTGGCACGAAGGTCAGTTGCCTTTATAAGGCATACTAGGTTGAGTCATAATGTGACTTACTAGCACGTCAGAAGTGGCATTATCATAACCAGTTCCCGCAGAGGCAAAGCAAACTCCAGTAGCAAAATCCTTAATGGTATAAGTTGGATCCAAGTATGCAGGTATCGTTGGCTTGATCTTAAAAGCTTCAGAAATGAAGTCTGTTGGAACCCTACCATTAGAAAAGCGCCCGGTAGGCTGGCCTCCAAAGAAATCGCGACCATAGGGTTGAAAGTTGCTCTTCAGGATTGTTGATATCTGGTTGTTGTTCCCTGCATCCACAGTAGAGTCTCCAAACACAATAATTGCCGGAACTTTTGCAGACACCATAGAGATTTCCAGAAGGAGATAGGTTAGGAGGAACCGTTGAATGGCCATAATTGTCATCCTTTCTCCTTTTGTTCTCCAAGTTCACTGGTTCAGAACATAAAAATGCAGAAGCAGGATGGTTGGCAAAGCTAGTAAGTATGATTTGGAGTGAAATGAAAATGGAAGAAGCCAATACAAATGGTAATGGAGGTTGATGAAGTTTGTTGAGACTTAAATTTCATTGAGAGCAAAGAAGAGTGGATTCTTGATGTGTTGTATGCGAGTCAATGGAGGAAGAGGAATTTGGTAAGGACAATAGAGGCTTCCCTTTCAGGAAATGACAAAAATTCTAGCTGAACCATAAATTAGAATCATAAGGATTTTTCTGGTTCTGGGATAATATAAGGTGAAGTAGCTGAACCTACTTTGCCCTTTTTGTTCATCCTTAAACCAGCAAGCAATGCCTAAAGCCTTGACCATTACGCTACATTCTGTGAGGCTATCAAATCAAAGACCAAACTTGGCAATTTGCCACACAATAACTTTAACAGGTTGAGATGGTCCACACTTTCCTTATTGGTAGAAATTATATAGCGCCCCCCACCCCGAAATAAATAAATAAATAAAACCTCTCAGATCCAGGTTAAAAAGAAAGAAAGAATAAAACTGCTATTCTATATTGTTATAGTTTTTATTTATTTATTATTACTACAATACCATTAGATGTTTTACTGTCAAAATCGAATTATTGTTGAAACCCGAAGGTCATGTGATTTGGCAGATATGGGCTTAGCCAAGTTGGCTAGAGCAGAGCGGACGTGCTTCCCACTCTACACCAGAGTTTGAATCCCCCTCCCTATAGATTAGATTAAATTAAATTAAAATATCGATGGTATTAAAAAATATAAATAAATAAATAAATAAAAAGAGGTCATATGATTTGCAGAGGATTTGTTTCAAATAATAAGTAGAATTTATTGAAAGGGACTTGTAGCTCAAGTAGTTAAGAGTATTTATCTCTGCATCTAAAATAATTCCATGTTAAGTTGGTAACGTATTGAACTGAATGGGAGCAAGTTCTATGCAGTGTAACGTAACTCAAAGCAGCAATTATTGAAAACAATTTGAATCCCTCCCATTTTCTTGACAATCTTGATTTCAAATGTAAAGTCTCTTTCATTCCATCAGTTTACCGATAAAACTCAAAATAAATTATAACACTTTACATGTTTTGAGGATTTTCAAGAGAAAACGAGGATTTGGATCCAACAAAAGCCAAAAAACCTGGAGGAGTTTCTTGTGGTTGTAGTGTAGTGTAGCATAAGTTTCTAAGAATGAAACAAATGGATCACAATTTCAATGCGACGCACCGGTTCAACATCTGCACCGGTTGGATAAATAACGCATACATGCTCATGATCCCAACGTGGTGCTTTCCAAGGATCAAGGATCGTATGGTTAAATCATCCTCAGTTGGATTGGATGATTTGGTGATTAATTGAAAGATTCAACCATGTTTTTGTGTTTGTAGATGTGGGCAGGATTAGTTGGTCAAGGTAGTGTGCCGGTTCCTTTACTCAAATTTGATTTTTCTTTCTAAAAATTAAAGTAGTTTAGACTACTTACCTGAATTCAACTACTATCGTTGATGAAATTTGAAATATAAAAGTGGAGACTTCATACTTCTAGTCATTGACTAAAGCAAATTCAATTGTGAGTATATTAAATAGCTAGTGGCTAGTCTTGGACATGATTGATCAGCACTTCAAGATAACTTTGTGGTCCCTTTTTTTTTGTAAAATATTTTTTTAATAAATAGTATAGCCGTGCGGCTATACATGTGGTTGTTTTTAAAATTTTCAGTATAGCCGAACGGCTATACTCTGTAATTACTATATTTAAATAGTACAAGCGCGCGGCTATACTATCTTAATATATTCGAATATTTAAATAGGATAGCCGGGCGGCTATACTGTTAATATATATATATTTATTCATTTATAGGTACAGCCGTGCGGCTATACGGGTTGAATTTTCAACTTACTACGACTCCTCATCATAAATTGTTTTTAAATTATGAGTTAAATATCGTTTTGGTCATTGGGTTTTACACAAAAATTCAATTTGGTTACTGAGAAAAAAATTAGCCAAATTGGTCGTCGTGTTTCTCAAAGTTTATAATTCATTCCTTTATCTTTCGTTAACTTCCATTAAGTGCATTTTTTTAAATAATTTTTTTAAATAATTTTTTTAAGGATGTTTAGTCTTATTATTCTAACTCAATGAGTTAGGGCATATTGTGCTATTAGGGTTTAACAAATTGGGGGAAATATTAGGTTGAAATAGAAGTTGTGTGGTATAAGGTCAGAGGTTGAATGCCAAGTTGAAGCATGAATCAATTGAGTGAGAAGCACATTGTGACTTCGGATGATAAGGAGATGTAATCAAGGTGATAGAGCACCAAAATATATTCCTAAATTGTTGATCTCATTTTAATTTGGTTTGGCTTTTTGATTTTTCTTATACTTTCGATTCAACTATTTCCCCCAATTTGTTAAAACCTAATAGCACAATATACCATATTTGTTGAGTTAGAGGAACAAGACTAAATATGTTTCCTAAAAAAATAATAATAATAAAACTGCACTTAAAGGAATGTCTATAAATTGTAAATTTTGAGAAACACCGTGATCAATTTGGCTAAAAAAATTTCTAAGTGACCAAATTGAATTTTAGTGTAAAATCCAATGACCAAAAAGTATTTAACCCTTAACTAATTTATACCTTCATTCATAAGTTATTAGAAAGCTGTCTTACGTGTTAAATGATTTGGAAAATAAGTAAGGAAAGAATATATTTCTATTCATTCATCATTCCACAATAGATGCTTTTCCAGTAGCTTGTGTTTGAAATATTTCCTAGAACTAACAGATATCATATTCAAGTTTCTAAGTAATACGAACTGGCAAACCTGATATTGTATTGATTAGGACTGGATTTACAAACAAAATTCTTCATTCTAAAACATAGCATTGAACTCATTTATCAAACACTCGCACTTCTCAATCTAAAGGCCCTAAACCCAAAAAACCAAGGTGTTATACACATACTTCAAACCGTGTCAGCTAGAACATGACTAGCTTCCAGCAACATCATCTAAAACTTTTGAACCTACATACGCGCACAGTGCAGGCATGCTTTCTTCTCTCCGCCATTGGGTTATGTACTCTCAACCATTCAAGCACCTTTGCTCAATCTAAAATTTCTTAAACCTGCACAATTTTGGAACATAGAGTATTAATTGTCAGTAACTCTGTTACCTATTATGTCATATCAGTAATTTAGAAAACCAGATAAGGAAACTGGTCCTAGTAAAAGTAAGGGGAAAAAGGGTCAAAAGATGGAAAGAAAAAGCATTGAAGAACATGTTGGGTTCTGTTTGGCAACTTTCTTGTGTTATTTTAGTTTCTTTGAATGAAGATAGACAAAGAAAATAGATATAAATGTGAGAAGAGATGCTAGAAGTCAGGGAGACGGGGACTATCATTGTGATGCTCTTAGGGGGAAAGAACATAAATTACTTGGGCTTGTAAAAGGAAAACTAAACAATTTCAAATAGATTTTAGTTTTACTTTTATGCATTTCCTTTTCTCAATTTCTTTCATCTCTCTTCTTTTAAAGCTAGACTGAAATTACAGAAAGCTCATTGTGAAGGCAACTGAAACTACAAGCAATTGCAATCTGCTTTGCTTAACAAGGTGGCATAAGCCGATTCGCGGTGCTTGTATACAAACTATTATGCCAAATGAAAGAATGTCTTGCAGGATAAAAGAGCACTTAATATTGGTAATCAGAAATTGACAAACATGTTGACCAGCACAAATCAGCAAAACTTCATATCATCCTTAGAAATGGGAAATACCACTGTTCAAACCCTAAACCCTAAAAAGTTCATACTGGCCACCTGTTTCAGGCTGGTGCCTTCAGGGAGAAGCCTTTCAGCAAGGGAGTCATCCAATTTGGGTAAATCTCTGTAAAGAAAAGAAGAAAAAAGGGAAGAGTTTCATCTCTAGTCTTTTGACGCATATATAGTAAAACTAAGATAAATCTTGTCGTTTTAAGACATTGTCACAACTTAGAATATTGGGCATAATCAGATTTCCATGTATTTGCAAACTGAGGGGCCCTAAACCCAACAAATTAAGCAGGGTCATTTTTAGGCATGCTTCAAGGTATTGCTTCATTTGATGGGGTCAGTTGCTTACATGCCATCATTAAGTCCTGTTTGTGTCAAAATTCTTCCTGTATATGTCTGTCAAAATTCTTCCTGTATATGTCTTTGACAGTAACGTGATGTTATCTAGTGCATATATTATTAGCAATAATAAATTTGGAATGCTTCATCTGTACATGAAACAAGTTTCCTTTAAAACCAGATATTGTATTGATTAAGACTGGATTTACATAGAAAATTCTTCATATCGAAACACGAATTGAACTCACTCATCAAACAATTGAAATCTCAATCTAAAGACCCTAAATCCAACAAATTAACCAGGGTCATTTTTAGGCATGCTTCAAGGTATGTCAGCTAGAATGTGGCAGGGCATCGTCATAGGAAACCTCCCTCAAAACATGACTAGCCTTCATCAACATCGTCTGAACCTTTGGAACTTACTCGTAAGCACAAATGGAGACATGCCTTATCCTCTCTGTCATCTAGTTACATACTGAATCTCTGCATGCTCTCTCAACCATTCAAGCACCTTTGCTCCCTCTAAAATTTCTTGAACCTGCAAAATTTTGCAAGAGAAATTATTGAAGTGTATCAGCAACTCTGTTACCTATATGCCATATCAGAAATTTAGAAATGGGTAGCAGATAAGGGAACTGCCCTTACTAAAAAAGCAAGGGGAAAAACTCAAAGATGTAAAAAGAAGAAAACATTGAAGAACATTTTGGGTCAGTTTGGAAACTTTCTTGTTTATTTATTTATTTATTAATAAATATAGAAAAATAAAATGGATAGAAATGTGAGAAAAGAGATGATAGAAGTGAAGGGAGAAAGAAGAGTTATAAAATTGGTTTGAAAAAAGAAAATTTAAACTAAAAAGCAAGATTAGTTTTATTTTTACGTATATTCAGGCAGCTCAAGTAATCAAGATTACAGAAAGCTCATTGTGAAGGCAATTGAAACTAAAAGCAATTGCAGTCTGCTTTGCTAACAGGGTGGCATATTCTGACCTGTCCCCTAACACGTTCTTCATCATAATCTTGTTTTTGACGTTTGAATTCGGCAATGGAATTTTCAACTTCTTTGACAATCTCCTCTGTTGAAAGCTGCAAAAACAAATAGACTACATATTAATGTGACCAAGTGACAAATAGTTTTTCAGTTAAAATATGTTGTGTAGAACACCAGTTGTTTTTTATGAAGCCCATTCTACCAAGCAGGAAAACAATACAAACAACACGACCGACACAAGAATAATAATGGGCAAATAATATGTTAATACAAAGTTAATTACCTGCAAATTTTCACGTTTATATATGTCTCCAACAGCCAGACTCTGTTTTATCATATGTGTAATGTTCTCCTTCTGGTTTAGAAGATACTCATCTACAGCCTTCTTACTTGACAGAGAAGCCAATTGCTGTTCATTTAATTTTATATTTGCCTGCACAACCATGACAACCAAAAGATAAAAGATGTTAACTGCAAAATGCAGGCACATTCATGCTCACAAAACACACACATGCAATAAAAGTAAATCCGACTGACCTGTATCTCCAAAAGTCTGGCTCCATAAAGCTGCCTACCTTGCTCCTCAAAAAAGGACTGAGGAATGTCAACCTCTACCATCTACAAACAGCAAGACACAATTATTATGAAGGTTGAAGTTCCCATTTAACAGGACACTTGATATGTTTACATGTCAACAGGTCTGACACTTCAAATGTTTAACTGCGAATAGGCCTTATATATCCTTTGTGGGCTAAATAATACACAGTTCTTAGTTTGAAATATACATATTTTAAATTAACATTCATCTTATAATAATCAAGGTTTCCACCAATAAGAATTAAACACGTGAAGAAGTGGAATGGTATCATGTCAAATCATGGGACTTCTGGAATTCATGCAAACATGTTGACCAGCACAAATCCACAAAACTTCCTTGAAATGGTCATGCAACAACATGGGTGCATGCCTGTATGTGCATAGATGAAATATAAGAGTCATGTTTAACTTTGATTGCTATTAATAAATTATACAGAAATAGTTCCTCCGACTTGGAAAGTAATAACGAAAAAGGCTAAACCAATGGAAATTCCACGGCTGCTACCATTAGCACCAGTAAAGCAGATAATTGACCCATCACATCATCCATAGAAATGGGAAATACCAAACAGTTCAAATTCACAGCTTATTGAAAAAGTTGACAATATAATATATGCAAAGCCCTGTTTCAGTTAGGCAAAACCCAATTAAAGGTTGCAAAAGATCAATATAATCTTCAAGATGAATATTTTAGAAATTAAAAGCACCTTGCAAAGCTGATCTAGAATGGCATTATCAGCTGCTTGCTCTCTAGCTGTTTGCTCCACTTCCAGGAATTTTTGCAACAATGATTCCTTGACCTGGACATTCATACAGCAGAAAATATCTTTTTAGTGTTGAACACAGTACAATTTTCAAAGCATCACTTCATTGAGAATATTTAAAATTTCATACTGGCTACCTGTTTCAGGCTGGTGCCTCCAGGGAGAAGCCTTTCAGCAAGGGAGTCATCCAATTCGGGTAAATCTCTGTAAAATAATTCTTTGCATTCAACCTAAAGGAGAAAGAAAAGAAGAAAAAAGGGAAGAGTTTCATCTATAGTCTGTTGACACATATACGGTAAAACTAAGAGAAATCTTGTAGTTTTAAGATATTATCACAACTTTTCCAAATCCACATTCCAATCATGAATATTTCAGGATAACTAAGGAAGACTTTCACTTGGACAGAAATCAAGACAAACAATAAAACAAGATAAAATATTTTATTATTATAATTTGTTTAGCTTAGAATATTGGGAATAATCAGATTTCCATGTAGTTGCAAACTGAGGGGCCAGTTCAACAGTAAAAGAAGAAAAGATTTATATGGATGCCTATTGTTTCTTGTAAGTTCTTTTGGTAAACCAGGTAGACTTTCAGAAAATAGGATAGCGCTCACATTGAATTGAGCATGAATTCCTCGAAGATCTTCTTGTGTCCATGATTCAGGAAATACCAGTGGAAAGGACTTTGTTTCACCTCGTTGAATTCCAATTATCGAATCGAGGAAACCAGGAACTACTTTATCACCATCTTCCGTATCAAAATGATAACCTTCACATGGAAAATAAAGTTGAGAGATGCCTCTGCAATAAAATTCATCACTCGGACGAAAAAAAGAATTATCATTAATAGAACTGCAGAAGATTAAGTGCATATTGGCACACCTTTACTCTCAGCGGATGGAATACTTTTAACATTTGATTCATCTTGATCTTTGGTTGTTGCGGATATATCAAGGACAGCAAGATCACCAATCTGTAGGAGTCTCAACTTTGTAAGTTACAAATGTAATACAACAAGTAGGAGATGCAAGGAACTTCGTTTGAAAGCTCAACTGAAACTCAACAAATATGATACTCTAATCCAAGCGACAGTATCAATGTCTTTCAAATGTTGAATAGAATCCAAATTATAACTTTTAAGCATTATATCCCAAACAAACAAATCAATTAAATATTTTTAATATAATAATAAATAATAAAAAAAAAAAAAAAAAAAAAAAAAAAACAAAAAAAATAACTTGAACTTGACTCACCTGTAGACCTCTGTCGGTTACAATTCTCAATGAACCTAGGGACTTATGGCGGCGTCTTAATTCTTGCTCAGAAGCTTTTTGTGCATCTATGTCACTGTCTATCTCAACAACGACCTTCAAATTCTTGTATCCATTCTCAGGAATCCATTTCACTTCCGGTGCTATATCAACAATCACATCGTATCTGGAGTACAAGTCAAACTGATGAGCATGATATGATTGATCTAATCGGAAGACAAATACTGGTTGACATAATCAAATCTCCTTTAATACATGCATCTCCTCTTAACAAACTGTGAGGGGAGATGTTGCATGTAATACGGTACTTTGAGGTGGAAAGAATTAGGAGTATCAAATAGCAAGTGAAAATGTAACTCGAAAAATATATGAACTATCAACCTGAGAGAATTGAGAGAAGAGTAGGCCTGCTCCATATCTGAAAATCTGGTTACAATACTGACTGAGTCTCTCAAAGGCGTGCCTGTGACCTGTAAAATAAGAACAGGTCAACCTTCAGTTGAGAACTCAAGAATGCTAAAGGGGGTTTTGTTAGACATTTGCAGTATGACTTCATTAGGTTCTTTCATAAGAAATAAATGCTGTTCTTGTTATATGTTCTAAGGGGTTATGATTGTAAAAATGCTGCAACATTGTAACTCTGAAGCCATTGCCAATAAGCTAAAACCCAACATGAACTTGCAATTACAAGAATTTAAGCAACTATATGTTTTAACAAAAAGTAATTCACAACATTACAGTCCTAACATACCGAAGACATGGCATGTGGAAGGGTCCTCCTCAAAATAGATTCAACTGCAGCTTTCTGTACACTTTTCTTCCCAACATGACTCACAAGGATACTCTCAGGCACCTTCTTTCCAGGCCGAAATCCCGGAACCTGTGGACATTTAAAACCCCAAAAAAAAGTCCATCAAATTGAACTTTAACTCCTCTCAAGCTAAATGAAAACAATGCAGAAGAAATATAATCAAAGAAACCTTGGCTTGCTTCATGAACTCGTCTATAACCCTTTTGTAACAGTCATCACAGACCTCTGCTGGTACTTGTATGCTCAACTTAACCTGCACAAATATTACAGAGAGAGATATTAACCACACAAAAAAGAGAATTAAAACCAAAATTTGGGAATTAAAAGAAATTTGGCAACTAAAGAAAATTACTCTGGAATTGGGTTCTTGGGTCTCTGTGACAACGATATCCGCTGGAAGCTGGTCTTTCTCGGAGCTGAGAGCCGTGGAAGAAGAAGAAGAGGAAGAAGGAGAAGCCGAAACAGCGAATTGGGAAGGTTGGAATTGGCGGGAAAGAGAAGGGGGTCTAAGACAAGTGTAGGACTGAAGAGAAATGGGGTTTTTACGGACAGGAAGAGAGCGTGAAAGGCGAGAAGAGTTTAAGTTGACGACAGCGATGGAGCCACAATTGACGAGACTCATACAGAGCTCCATTGTTCCTTTTCTTCCTTTGGTCTCTCCCTCTCTCTGGAACTAAAGACTGAGCTCAGAGAACCCAGCAAGCTAACTTGAAAGATAGAGGGCAAATTGGGGATTATCCAATAAAAGAAAGAACTTAAACGACAACGTTTTCCCTTAGCCATCTCTGTAATTTCTTTCTTGTTTATTCACAATTGTCCTTCAATGGAGACATTATCTAACATAATAAAAGAGCTGAAAATTAGATGAAATAATCATCCACCATCATGTTATGTTTTAGCTAAGGAGGGATTGAAATAGGAGAAAAGGTATGGTCATCAGGCTCAAGCCTAACACGATCTTTGATATCAAGCTCAACTCGGTGTCATTCGTGGCCTAGAAGTATTTTACCTCACAAATAATTACAAATAAATACGGGTGTGAGATTTAAATTATATATATGGTTGAAAATGAAATGTAAATACGAAAAGCTATTGAAATAAAGAAAATTCACTATTATACCCAATATATGAGCTCAAATTATAAAAAAATAGTTATATGAAATGAACTTTAGAAACACACCCAAAACTCATTTACAACATAAAAAAAAAGTTTTTAACTTCTTTTAAATTACAAAACTACAATTAATTTCTTAAAACAAACTCAACCCCAAAACCTCATAAAAAAAAGTCCAAACACTCAATAGGGCATCAAAGTAATTTAATAATCAAAATTAAATTTAATAGAGCCAGCTTTTATTTTTTTGAATTTTTTTTGAGTTTGTTTATAGAAATTAAATTATGTAAAGTTTATTTATAGTTTTAGTGCTAAGAATGGGTATATGACAAAATATCTCTTAAAGTAATTGTTGATATTATTTGATAAGAATTTCACTAAAACACCCAAAATGGGGGGCTGAAATTATAAAAAAACCCAACACCCAAAACACTTTATAAACACACTCAAAACTCATCATTACACACACTCAAAACTCATTTATAAACACACCAAAAAAATATACAATTGTTGATTTGGATGTGTTTCTATGTTTAAATAGTGTTTGAGTTTTTTTATAAATACATGTCTAGAATTGGGTGTATTTATAAATTTGTATTATTTGATTTCTGATTTTTTTTTCTGCGTTTCTAATATATAGATATTTAATTATTTTAATTTATAATTTATCATATATTATATAAACATGCCATGAAATGAAAAGATAACTTGTAAATCTAATTGAAAAAGATAAATTAAAACTGCAATAATTAATCAAAACCTGTTAACCGCCAAACCAACCGTAGGACAAAAAACATGAGAACCAAACACCAAAACGGCGTCGTTACAACCTTTGATAAAGTATCTCACTCTCTCAACCTCGTACTTGAAATGAAATAGTCACACCGACCCAGTCACTCTGCTCTCTCAAAGGCTGAGAGCGAGCGAGAGAGCTGAAGAAGAACCAAAAATGGAGGGAGTGGGGTCCAGATTGGGCCGGGCCTCCTCGAGGTACGGCCAAACCGCCACCGTCTTCAGCGGCCCAGTTCGCAGGTGGAAGAAGAAGTGGGTCCACGTGCCCTCATCATCCTCCGTTACTTACCAGAACCCTCACTCCCAATCCAACGGCAACAACAACAGCTCCCGCCTCCTCCTCCGCCGCTGGACCCCAATCTCTCCGGCCACCGCCGCCGCAGAACCCCTCTCCGGCTCCGGCGCCTCGACGGAGGAGCCGCCGCGCCGGAAGTTCCGCTACACGCCCGTAAGTAAACTACCAACAGGCATATACATCTGTGTGCTTCAATCGCTGCGTATGTGTTTCTAGGGTTTTTAGGGTTTATGGAAATTGTGGGTTTTGGTGTAAATCTGTGGGGGATTTTTATCTTTTGGGAGGGAGGATGTCTTGAAGGATTTAATTGGAGTGTGCTGTATAATGTTAGGATTTTATCTTTAAAATTAGAAGGTTAGGAATTTAAGCTGCTCTTGTTTTGAAAATAAGAACTTGTATGATTTTGTGTTGTATGCTATAAGTGATGTTCTTTGTACAAAATTATTGCTAATTTGAGAATGTTACTGTTGTTTTTTAATGTACAATCCTTCCAAGTAATGCAGTTTTGGATCAATGTTTTGCTTTCTGGCATTCAAGGTCATGAATTTTTAACTTTGAGTTGCCCAGAATAGAACCAAAAATAGATTTAGGAGTCCTGGGATGCGTAGATTAGAAGCTTGATGCTGTTAATTCTTAAAGAAGAAGAAAAAAGAGAAGAAGTAAAAGAAAACAGAAGTTGTTGTCATTTATATCCGGATCACTCCCATTTTGAGCATTGGTTAGTGGCTTATGATTCATTGTGCAGGTTGCTGTGCTAGAGGAACAGAAGAAGACAGCCAAGGGAAAGGTTGGAGATGTGGTGAAAGCTAGTGAGGGAGGCCAATCTATAGCCATGAGTACTAAGATGCATGAAAATTCAGACATTGATCAAGTTATGGAGGAACAAGCTGAGGTTAGACCTATTGATTTCCTGCTTAATTATCTTTTCATTCATTTGGATTTGGTCCTTTTGTATTCTTGTAGTACACGTTCTACATTAGGCCATATGGTCAAATGCTCATGCCCCTTCCTAGACGTTGAAACGAATTTTAGGGCTGCAGAATGAGCATGTAGTGGTGGTGTTGGCTGTCACCGCTGCTTGAGCCCATAAGTCTTATTGGCCCAGGAAAACTATTCACTTCCCCCCTTTTTCGTTGTTGTTAATATGCTTGAAAAACTTCAGAAATTAAATAAGATAAAATAATTCCTAAAGGATAATAAGATCCCACCACCATGGTCACTGTTGACCTTGGTGTTAGGCCATGGTGCTGTGGATATTGGCCATTGTGCTACAACGTAGCGACCATTAGGTTTGCAACATTTGGTAATGATGTTGGTCTAGGAGTTTTTCTTTCTTTTTTATTTCGTAAGGGGTAAATACACATTCGTTCACACAGACAAATAAGCGGTTATTGTGTGTCATGACTAAAAGGTCAATGTCATTGTTGTTGTTACGTGCCCAGTCCATAAGTCAATATCTTCACTGCTGCAAGATGCTCCTTGTTGAGTGGTGAAATAGGGGAAGCTGTTTCCCAGCTGATACTTGCCACTCCTGGCTCATAGATTCATGAGTATATGAACTTTAACACCATAGTTCTAACAATAAAAAGAAAAAGCCTAATGGTGGTTATACCATTGTATATGTTCGCATATACACTTGATAAGATTTGAGGTTTGACTAGCAAGGATAGTAAATTTTACTGGGATATAGTAGCAAGCATGTGAGGTTTAAAGAAACCTCTCCAGAAACTAAAAGCAATTTGAAAATGAAGATAACTTTTTTGTCTTTTTCCCCACCAAGCAAATAGGATATTGATTAGTGCACTTGCTGTAGTTTTTAAAAAAATGTGAAGTTATTTACTATACAAAAGTTATTAAATAGGTGTCGTCTGCACTGCAGGAATTGGATGAGAACCATTCTGGCTTGCAGGATTCAAATGGAAGCCATCTGGATTTAGATTTGGGGTTGAAAGGTCACAGTGCCAACCGTGATTCCGTTAGCCAGATTGAAGATGCTCAGATGAAAAAAGCAAGCCCGGGTAGATTTTGGTTGGGTTGATGCTTAGCATTTGTGGAGACAAAAACTAGAGCTGCATGGAAAAAGAAAAACCAGCAACGCGAAGTCAAAATCTGGTGACCAACTGGCAGGGCCTGCTACATGCTAGCCATGCCATTTTCTGTGTTATTATGATACTGATTATGATGTATGTAAGTAAGCTGTAGGATTAGTTTGTGGATTTTCTGCTAAGTTATATATTAGGGTTAGCAAGTAGTAGAGTACATGATTAAATAGCACACAGTGTTTCAAGTATTCAACTGTCTGTAAAGATTAGCCATATATAGCTACTAGTAATGTGGCACTTCAATGCAGGGGTGACCATTCGTGTTTTTGAAGGGGTTATGCAATGGCACCAAATTTTGAGGAAAAAAAAAGAGAAAGAACATGACACTATAAAAGTGAACAAACGAACAAGACATCGTATTGTGAAGTGTGGATTTTACACAACCACAATCTATTTATCGAAACTGTAGCATAAGAAAAGTGTCTAAAGAATTTAGGCCTGCCTTTTTGTTGTTCCAGTTTTCCTCTTTTTGTTTTTGTTTTTTGCTCAATTTAGTTTTCTCATTAGTCATTACTTGAATGTTCATACTCACTCAGCAAAATAAATACGAAATATGTACAACTCAATAAGCTCTATAAATAATACGATAAAAAGGGATTAAATCTGTTCTAGATCCAAATCAAATAATCACAAAGAAAATATAATGAGGATTTTACCCAATCTTTTACGCTGAGTTAAGAAAACACCCTGACGTCTATTGAGCACAAGTTGAAGCGAACAAAGTATTTTTTTTGTTTTGTTATATAAACAATATTTTACTTTAATCTAGATTAAATAATAAGTAGGAGAATTCGAACTCGGGTGCAGAGTAGGAAGCACATCCGCTTTAACCGACTTGGCTAAGGCCCATGTCTGTAGAGATAAGACCAATGGTTTGCCATGCTTTAATTTAAAAGACCTCTTTTGGTTGTGTAAATGCAAAGGATATAGCTTCTTAAAGAAGAATAACATTTGTACAATGGAACCTTGCTCACAGCACAAACACCAGAACCCAGAAGCTACAACATGATAAACTATACACTGTGCTCCATGCACTCACAGCAAGCTGGGAACCAAAACACAAGCAACTACTTGCAACCAAGGACGGTCGTGACATTTGATACCATACACAAACTCAAAATCAAAACTCTACTTATAAACTTGAAAATTCTAGAGTAACCAGATCTGCCGTATCGTCTAAATATGTTATAGTACAAGGATTAATATAAAAGATTGGGCAGAAAAAAAAATTGCAACTGGATAATAAGCTTATGGATGTCACAGGAATAAGATTTGATCTCATTCAAGTTTCTCAAACATATTCAAAAAATTTGGAAACGTTATCCAGTTTACCACAAGGCCGTTACTTGAAACTTTTGTTAGCTGCAATTCAATTGCCAGCATTATCCTCAGTTGCATTGTTCTCTGGTGCTGTAGTTACACCAACTTCAGCTGGCCTAACAACTCGGTCATAAAGCATGTATCCGGGCTGCAATACAAAAATATATGAAAGTATTTAATTATGCGCTCACTGCTATAGTAACTTGGTAAGTTAATTGAGGACCATAAAATTAAAAATACACCAATAGCCTTCTGAGTAAAAACCCCACTTTGCTGAACAAAAAAAACATAAATATTCAAGCAGCTTTGTCGCATGAGTCACATTCATGCAAACAATTTATCCAAGTCCGTTTGGTCGTGTGGGCTCTTTTCAATTGTCATATAATTCAGAAAACAAAGGAAAGATTCACTTGTATAGTTCATGCAGAAATAAAATAAAATTATAAACATCAATGCAAAAATGTGTGCAGGTGTGTTATAAAAAGATGTTTTCTGACAACATCAAACTCGTGCCTGTTGTGTTTTCTTCCCTGAAGTATTTAGTTCAGTTGAAAGAAACAGACATGCTTATTCAATTCAGAAATTTTCTTTTTAGAACACAAGCAAAGCTAAATATTTCAAACTTGTAAGATGTCAACATGTCAATTTGAAGGTTTCAATCAAATTACATTAAAATGTCACCCCGAGGCTATACTGTTAATGCCAAACAGTAGTGCATTTCTTTCTTATTTGGAGAGGCATGCAAAAGAATTGATTATATATTTTTTTTCATACCTTGAGAACTACAGCAATAGTGCCTGGAGGCTTGGAAGCATCTTCTAAATTAAATACTGCGTTATGCTTGTTTGGGTCAAATGCTTCATTTGTAGGATCAAACTTTTCTACTCCATACTTTCTAAATACCTGAAAGCAAATATATTTATATGTTAAAGCATTGCAGTTAATTTCAGCTTTTGCTAACAAAACCATTACTCAATAAACAAATGCATGCAAAATGGCACATGAAACAGAAATTAAAATTTGCGAGAATGAGCCTGATTGACTCAATATAAGGTAATCCATACCTATTAAAAAGAAAAGGAAAATAAGCTGATCTAATTTTAACTTTTGACCATGTGAGGCAAACGGAATGTACATCCAGCACCTTTAAAACAATGCTGTCCCAGCTCTAAAACAGCCACTCCACTCAGGAAGGATTTATGGTGAGTCGTTAAAATAAATGATAAATAAGGTGTACCTCTATAAGTTGTTTCTCAGTCATTTCAACACCTTCTAGAAGTGTTTTTAGAAGTGGTGCAGCTCCACCAGATTCCTTAGACTCATCAAGTTTTGAGAAACTGTCTTTGACAACTGAAGAAGCTCTCCCCAAATTGTCCGCAACATCTAGTAAACTCTTTGCAAAATTCTGCAACATATTAATGATCACTCATCAGAGTAAAAACTCAGAAGAATTTCTTTTTTCACAAAAAATTAAATTATCTATTTTCCAACAAGAATGAGGTAAATAAAAAAGCAAAAAGCAGGTTCCTGAGGACAGGAAAAAATGTCAAAAGTAACCAGGACCTGTACGGCAAATTTCTTCGAATTCTCTGCTTCACGCCTTGTTCTGTCCATGACATTTTCCATCTCTGCATAACTTCGGAGGACTTTATCTTGCATTCTCTTGATTTCTTCATGTTTCTGCTTCAGAAGTTCTTCCTTCTCAGCCACAAGTTTTACCAGATCATCGAAACCTAAGTCACCCTCACCCTCTGAATCTGAATCAGAAAATGCAGTTCGTTTAGTACCTCCCCTCCTTCTTTTGACAGAAGGAGACTTCTTAGACTGGGAATCTGAAGTGTAACCTGATTCTTTTGTTTGATCAGAAACTTTAGCATCTCCACTTGCTTTTGCTGGCTCTCCATTTGTGGAAGCACCACCATTCTCTGCAGCACTTCCATGTTCCCTTTCTGAAGGCTGTGGCGATGCAGACGAAGAGAATCCAAATATTTGAGAGATTGAAGAACTCGGGGTTGAATGATGCAACAGAGACACTTGCCTTGGAGAAAACTGTTATTTAAAAGAAATAAAATCAGAAACTCACTAGGAAAAACCAGTTACTATAAACTATGCAAGTTTTTAACTCTTTCAACAGATCCCTAAAATTTAAAATTCAATTCGTATCAGAAACAGGACCTTATACTCAACAGCAAGCTAAAAAAACTAAGATGAAGGCCAATAACTAAAGAACTTCATAGCTGTTGGCTAAAGTGCTAAAGTTGCAGAATATCCTGAGACCCTAACCTGCTCTGCTCGACATTAAGCATAGAAATTAAGGTGACGCAAAAAATGTCCCTGTACAAATTGTAACCAAACTAGCATATGTAGATATACATGTATATGATTTTTGCTCATCATTTGAAGCAATTTGTTTTCAAAAAAAATTGGCTGGTTCCAATAATAAAGATTATGAAATTCTTTTTAATTCCACTTGCAAAACTAGCCTACAATGAAGTATAAATGTTCCTCAATATTCATAATTTGAAAAGAAAATAATAAATCCAGAAAGCCAATTATCATATGTTATCTCTCCAAATCCGCTTTTAGGCTTCATGAGCTAAAGACACAAAACCTCAAATTCCATGACTAAGAAACATCGATACTATTTTATAATCATTAAAAACAGCGCTTGATCAACAAGAGAACCAGTCGGATCCAAAAAAGCAGTAATATTGGTGAATTTTGCAGAAAAACCTAAAACCCTAGCAAAACCCTAGTGGAAAACATTAAAGAGATAAAGGGATTTTCTGGCACCTTAATCGAAAAATCGTGGATCAGAGCTTGGGACTGATTGCATAGGATTGGCAAGTGATGATTTTGTGGAGCGGCGAAGAGCATTGTGCTCCTGGGGAGGGTCCTTGAGGCACGAGTTAAAACCCTAGACACGAACATGGCTGAGGAACTGGAGGGGCAAAATCAGAATTAAAATTTGGGTTTCAATATAGATTGGGCTGGTCTGGCCTTGTAGGAGAAGTTTGTAACGCGAAGAGGGAGAGAGAATGAACGTGCTTGGAGAGAAAGAAAAACAGAGAGACGAGAAATTAGGGCGATGCCGGTGGTATTTTTCGGTTGACGACAATGCCCTTATACAAATTCCAAGTTGAAGGTAATGATGTGGAGATTTGCGATATTACTAGTACAGTCTTTTGGAGGGTATTTTCGTCTGAAATCCAATTGGGTTTTTGAAGATAGGTTTTTCATTTTGGGGTTTAGAAGCATCCAGAACCTTTTCGGCTGGCTCATCCGATATTTGATCGCAAGTGGTTTAAGTGACTAGTAAGCAGTGACACGACATCGTTTGAAACCACATACTTGAATCCACATTGGTGGTTTCTTTTTGTTCGTTCTTTTGATCAATCATCAAACACGTTGGTTTGGTCATACAATATATGGAAATTCCACTTTGAGCTATTTCATTCATATTGATAGGAACTTGATATCTCACGTTAGAAGGCGTTTGGTATTTTATTTAAATAGGAAATTTAAAAACTTTGATTTTTTTTTATAAAAAAAGAGTTCTTAAATTTATTTTTAAGATTCAAAAACTTGTTTGGTATGCAACTTGAAAACTATTTTCAAATCTTAAAATGTTCAGAACTTTTGGGCTGTTAGAAAAAAACTGAAAAAATAGATATTTTTTGTTTTTAATAATTGAGGTGTTTTTTAGTTGTTCTCAGAGTTTGCGTTTTTAAAAATATGGCTACCAAACATGTTTTCTTTGTTTTGAACTCAAATTCTGTATTCGAGTTTAAAATGTTGAATTCAAGTTGAATACCAAACAAGCCCTAAAAGATTTTAGACTAGCATACGAGCTCCTTGGCACCCCTTTTCTTTTTTTTTTTTTTTTTTTTTTTTGCAAAGGCAAATTATACCCATAAGCTCTTATCAACTAATATCGAAACTATATTTTACCAACCATTCCACTAAGCTAGATACCATGAAAAAAGTGACATATAAACTACATTAACCAGTGAAGATTGGTATTATGTATTGGTATAATATCGTATAATATCGAGTTATTGAATATTGATAGGTGAGTGAAAGTGTTCTCAAAGAAAGCAATGTGCTTCCACTAGGGCCGGTGTAAATGGAATGGACTTACAAGGATGTCACGCACAGAAGCATGACGGAAATTTACAATCCCAATATATCACATTTTAAAAATAAAAACAAAACAAAAGAAGATCTTGAACTGGTATGCGTTCTCCTGGGCACCATTGTTTTGCAAGCTAGTTTACAAACGCAAGTTCTACCATGAACTTGTATTAGTAGTCTTATATGTTTCTCAATACATTCGACATATCACAAAGGAGCAAGCAAATACCCCTTCTCCATCCAGATAAAAGATTGATTACAACAAAAGGCATGCTTTTCCGACTGACTTGTGCAACTATGTTACAACTACCTAAAGATATGGTGTGCAAAAACTGTGCTTCAATTGTCTTAACTTCCTCCAATACCCCGCCCAAATGCTAAAGTCCTGGCCTTTTCTCATTCAGCTTCACAAAGCAAAGCAACCTTGGCCTGTTTGAGTACATCAATTAACGCCTTAAGCTGCATTGCTGTGGGGAAGAGGTGGCCTCCAGTAAAGGGGACCCCGAACAATCCAGTCAAACTTTGCATTATGTGTCGTACAATGCATATCTTCAGCAATTCAAGGGAAAATTCTACATCCCATTAGCCAACTCACCATCCATATTTATCTCATCATTCAGCCCTGTGTAAATCTCTTATTGCTACCTCAAGATTTACCTCCACAAGCAATAGCTTAGCCTTTAGCCACTTTGTTTTAATCTCCAAAGCATCTATGTCCACCTCTCAGTCTTTTCCGTTGCCCTACTCTTTCCACAAAATTCTTCATACCTAAAGCGCTATGAACATGGGGCCCCAGCCAAGCCAAGTCAAACCTGAAGGTCTCAAGCTCCTCCCATAAAAGTTTTAGGTGCTAAGAGATCATCTGTCATATCCTTGACCTTTTCTGTATTCTTCAAAAAATGCAGGAGTTGGGCTGAAGCTGTGAATGCCCAATCAGTAGACATGTGACTTCTCTTCTTTTGGAATTCTATTAAAGAAGGATGCCAGGAACAAACTTTCATCAGGCAGTGGAGCAAAAGCTTTTTCTGTTTTACACTTAAACCCCTGAAAACCATGAGCTCCCCAGCTGGTGTGGACGACACATCCTCATGTTCCATGACAATGGGAGGATTAGCAGGGCTATCGGTGCAAACCTTCTCAGAACTTGGTTCCTCCTGGGAGGCAGACACCTTGTCATAACATGGTGCCTTATTTGCTGCTGATCAATCTGGAACTTTTAGAGGATTAGATTTGAAGGTCCCTGCTCGTCGTGCTTCTACGAGTTTTTTGTTCTTCTAAAATCTTAATTTCAGACTTATGGACTGCAACCTTGGCTTCAATGATACATGTGTCATTCACAACATATCCTTTACTATGGTCACAAAACTCACTTAGAGGAATTAATGATGTGAAGCCCGAGTTACTGTCACTTTTATTGAACACATGTTCAGTATCTGCAAAGTCCAAATATTAAAGATCACAAAACAGGTGAAGAAATAACAACAAAGGAAGCCCATTCCAAAGCTTTAAATTTGATGATATATGAACTCAATTAAGTTTTTAAGGCCAACCAAACCCACAAGAAAATATACATATATATGGAAAAATTCGAGATCTCGATCCATTTTGCAGTACGTGACAGAGGCGGGCGACATGACATGTGCATATATATATATATATATATATATATAGAGAGAGAGAGAGAGAGAGAGAGAGAGAGAGATGCTCTAGTAAGTACTTAAATAAGTAACTAAAATAACTAGTTAGTCCTGAAGTATTAGATCCAAGATTAAAAGACTTCCACGGTCCGCATTGTCAAGACTTGAGATCAAGACACTCCAATTTGAATTGTTTTAATCCGGACTGCAGAAAGAGATCTGATGATCAATTATTAACTGTTTATTTTACTTATTTAATAAATACACACACATATTTATATTCCAAAAAGAACGTCTTATATAGCGAACCAAAGGTAATTCAGCTGACATTTGGGGCCAGATTACCCAAATCAATGCCTATAAGATTTTGTTCGTTCTATACCTTAAATAGGAAATTAAACTGTCATCCTTAAATAAGTGCTCATTCTTAAATAAACAAATTTGCATATTTCCTTTCCTTTATCCACTTTCAGTATCTTGTGCGGTAAAAAATTAAAGTATAGAGACGCCAGTAAGGTATCAATTCGTAATCATAAACATAACATTTGCAGTAAGTGTGAGACAGAATCAAACCAGAACATCCATAACAGGACGCAACAAGCACCAGTTCCCTGTAATAAATTAGCTTTTCCCTAGAAGTTATAAAATAACATGGAAACAGACAAAAACGAAGATAAATGTGAATAGGCAACAGGAACATAAAACAAAGTACCCCTTGTTAAAGACTCGCTGCTTTGAAGTTGATTAACGATGGTCAAGCTGAATCGCGCATGTCTAGCCCACCCTAATGGCAATGTTGAAGAACCTGTAACATCCAGATAAACCGACAAGTAGTCTACATTGTTCCCCCTTGGATACATAAGGATTCGCCTGACCAAACCAAACAAGGCAAGTGAAAAACCAGAACATATCACAACGTAAAGAAATATATTAGCTTGTGAATGGTACTCAAAAAATACCATTCAAAAACACCGATGACGAAGACGTCAGAGTAACGCTTGACAGCATCCAACTTAGAGAAGTTGTCAACTTTCCATGTGAATATAACAGATGCAAGATCTTCCATGTGAATATCCACTTCCTCCAATTTCTTTATTTTTCTACAAAGTACAAAACCCACAAATAAGAAAATAGCATGCCACAATCACACCAAACATCACACAAAATAAACTAGTATAGAAGACCCATAACTTATTTTGTTTGTTTTGGTTACATAGTGACCAAGGCCCAAAAACACAAGTCAGCAACCCACAACACACCTGTATTCTATGACAGAGGGAGGAAGAAACCTGGGTTGAGCAACCCTAGAGATATCCTGAACTAAAAAGGCTCACAGAGAGGTGGAGGAACATCAAAATAATGGCATCCCAGCTCCATAGTCAGCCCAAAATTAGCTAGACAATCAGCTACACTGTTTTGCTGCCAATATGCATGATTCAGAGAACATATCCAGCTTTGGTTAAGGAGATTCTGGCAGCTCTTGATCAAGTTAAAATGAGGGTGTTTCCAATTCACCTCAACTGGGTTATGCATAAGCTTCAAAACAGTGGTTGAGTCAGTTTCCACCTCAAGTGGGGCCAACCCAGATTTCCAAGCAAGCTCCAACCCTCTGTATAAGGCCCAAAGCTCTGCCTCAATAACTTTGCCTGTTCCCAAATTTGCAGCAAACCCAGATAACCATTCTCCTTCTTGATTTCTGATCACACCACCTCCTGCAATGCACCCAGATCCACTGCGGTAGCTCCCATCCACGTTGAGCTTGTACCAGCCATGGTGGGGAAAGCTCCAGCACAACAACACCTGCTCCTTCTTAACCTTATTATACTTTTTCTTTCTGTTCAGTGTACATAGAAGAACCACAAATTTCAAAGTGGTTTAATTTATCGTTGAGGTTTTGGTTTTTGTTTAAAAAAACATTTAACAAGATTGATATGAAGAAATAAAGGTCAAGCTTTGAAGAATTAAAGCCACTGGTCGGAAGACTTACCTTCCCATCGAAGATTCCAACAACTCAGAGGCAGACTCAGAGACTCTGCTGCTCTAATTTTTTTTTCCTTCTCACGGCTTATAAAATAACTACTAACTTAGCTCGTTTAGAACATAGTTATGACCACACTTGTATTTGATTTGAAATTTTTCTCTGTCTACCACAAAATTATGTTTGATATGAATGGTTATAAGATCCTGATCCATGGATATATTTGTGGTAAACTTCTTACTTTAGAAAGAATATACGGAAATCATATATTTCATTGAGGTTAATTTTGTTATTTGCATAAGTTTTTTTTTCTCAATAAAATCATCAATTTTTGGGCAAACAATCAACGAAAAAGGCCAACTTTATATATTAACTTGTGTACCATCTCTCTAATAAAGCATGGAATCCATTGTATTGGTGGGCTCCACATCTATTAGAGAGATGATACACAAGTTGGTATCTAAAGTTGGTTTCTCTAGCATGATCCTTTGTGAAAACAAACTGAAACCTTAAAGGGTGTTTGTGAAATTTTTGAGACTTGAGGGGGTTTTTTGAAAACACAAGAAACCTCAAGGGATGTTAGTGTAAATAACTCTTCAAATTTTTCATTGTCTTCATCATCTTGATATTATCAATATTATAGCGATATTTTGACCAAATGTTGCTGAAGTGTGAGAGAAATTATCGATGTCGATATTATCGATATTTAGGATATATGTCCATATTTTAAAATATGACCCGAAAAAATGATAATATCATCAATATTTCGTCTATATTATCGATATGGTTGTACTTATATCTTATACCAAGTTCTACCTTTGTTGTTATTTGTATATCTCCTAAGCTATTGGGGAAGTGCCCCTTGCCGTGTTCTCCACAATAAATTTTTTGTAGATAAGAGAGGAATTTTGTAGATAAGTTTGATTAATTTGTTAGACGTTTAAAAGGAAAGAAAATGGGAAATAAAATTTTACAAATTTATAAATAAACCCAATCCTAGACATGTATTTATAAAAAAAACCCAAGCACTATTTAAACATAGAAACACACCCAAAATCAACAATTGTATATTTTTTGGGTGTGTTTATAAATGGGTTTTGAGTGTGTGTAATGATGGATTTTGGGTGTGTTTATAAAGTGTTTTGAGTGTTGGGTTTTTTTATAATTTCAGCCCCCATTTTGGGTGTTTTAGTGAAACTCCCATAAAATTTTCTATTTATCTTGCCATTGATTTGCCTTGTCACAAATCCAAGAATATATGGCTTCACTTCAGGTTTAATAATAAAAGCATTGATAGTGTGATACAAAATAGCCATTGCAAAGCTCAAATGAAAAGTCAAGCTTTCAGACCAAAATAAAAAATAAAAAATGAAAAGTCAAGCAATGTGAAAGCCAGCAGAGAAATCATATTTATCTTATACATATAATTGGATCAAACACAACATAAATTCATTTATCTTAGGGGTGTATTCAATTGAGATTTTAATATATTGTAATTACATGATTTTAATGTAATGAATTTCAAGTAATTATATAATTTTACTCATGATTTTAATAGATTGCAATTACATGATTTTATTTATATTTCTATACAAGCTTGAACTTTATCATCCATCATCATTCACCTAAATACATAACCTGAAGGGATATACCCAATTTTTAGGATTAATACAAAGATGGAGGCACAGTAATTATCAAAGGTTAGCCCAGAAAGAGTACACCGACATCAACAAGGTAACTCCCAACATAGCTACACATAGCCAGAATGAATACGTTAAAGAAACATAACACAACTGAGAAACCAACAATAGAAATACAAAAGCATAAGCAAATATTAGAAGCTACATCCAAAATCACCAACACCTATTGCAAAATAGACAACACCAAAAATACAAATAAAGAAACATACTGAAAACTCCTAGTCCAAGCCCATGACTACTCCTAGTTTTTGTCAAAGCTTGGACCAAAACTGTGGAGTGAAAAAAACACCTTGCACCATATCAACGTTTCTTCTAGATTGTGGGTAAGGCTTCTTCTTTCTTTTTTTGTTATCCTGGTCCCAATGTTTTGGGATAGGAAATTAGAAAAAAAAAATTTAGCGATGTACGTTGTATGCGCAGCAGCTACGCATAAAAATAAAAAAAGCCTCTTTGAGGCTTTAGATCAAGCAACTTGTGGGCACACTGGTAGAGTTGTGGAGGGTTGCAACTCCTTGAGAGGAAATGTCTACAATGTGCAGGAGATTCTAAAAAAAAAAGTATTGAAAATATAATTTTGCTCCAAATAAGCTTGTCTACAAGGAAAGAAGAGCTATTGGAAAATGCACATTAGCTCCATAAGAGGCAATATCGTCTTTCTTGTTAATGTTTCTTTATCGTCTCTCTTATGAAAAGTGCTTTTTTATGTACAGTCGAAAGCATACAAAAATAATGGGGGAAAAAAGGTATGAGAATTGATGAGATTTGTTATGTGATTTGGTATTTAAATCACATACTCAAAAGTCTCACACAATACATTTAATGAAATACCTCAAAATCAGTAAGTTTTTGAATACCACAATACTTTTTCTTATCTTTTAAAAGTCCTAATTGAATATCATCGGACTTGTATTGATTATTTAAAAATCCTAATTGAATACCACCAGATTTTTATAAGCTTCAAAACAATCTATTAAAATCACAATTGAATACACCCCCTAGTTGTTCCTTTCCCTGGTGTTATGAATGCCTATATATCTACATTTAACCAGTACTGGAAATCCACATGAACATGATGACTTTAGTAAAACAAAAACACCATACTCATTATTGTAAATCAATTCTTATAAAGAAAAACAGCAATGTACAGGAAAAGTGATCTTAGATATCCCCAAACTTATGGACCTTGAGTCAATTCTCCAATCAACATTCTTGTATCCAATGGCAAATCCACCAGAAGTTCAAGCTCAGGTGTGTCTCTCAAGTTGCTCCAAAGATAAAAGAATGCGGGGTTTTCTCAATTTAAGCACAAAGCAACGTGCACGAGTAGTCAATTGAAAACACTCAAAAACTTAAATTACAAGCTAATAAGACCAAAAGTACAACAACAACAACAAAAACGCCTGATTTCTTAGTGTACTTCACATTGCAGTTCTCGGGGAAAATTAATCAAGAGACAGAAAAGCTAGCATCACGAGCTCAATGTACATACGGAAAGGTTTGTGATCATTCTTTTTGTACAGCTGCGTCTGTGTTGGAAAAGTAGTCATGCCTGGAGGTGATTAAAAGCACGAAAGGAAAAAAAAAAGTCAAACTTAACCTGCCAATAAACTTGTGCGCATGTTTTGATACTTTTCAACAAAACCATCTTTATCCATCCAAAACAATAAATTGCTACTTTGCACCAAAGATGAACACTTAATTCCCAAATCGTATATTGAACATATGAGTATATACTGGATTCCAACTTACGTTATTTTGCGTGACAATTGAGTCAAGCCTGTCCCAGCCATTGCAACATTAACACTAAAAAGATTCCAGTTTTTCTGCAATTTCAGAATAATCTCATGAGAGCTTCGCAATAAGCTGCAAGTAAGTTTTTTGGAAGTATCAAAGAATAATTTTTCTTAAGTAGCACGAACATTTATCTGATGCAATTACGAAGGCCACCATGTGGCAAATCATATAGAACTGAAATAGTTATATACAGCCAATCAACCAGACAAAAGCACTACTTCTTGTGTAATTATATAGGTCAGTCATTATGTAATTCAACCAGCTTCAATAAAGTATGTTGAAAAAATTAACCAGCCAAGCAGCACTGTTAGAAGGCAAAAGAAATGCACAGAAAGGTCCAGACACCATCAATTAAAAATGAAGTGTGCAGAATAAGTGTTAAGGTAGTATATATGAGCCCAATAAAAAACAATTCCCAGAAATCCTCTTCCTAAAATCCAATGCAATAAAAAACAGGCTATATAAAAAGAGAGACTTGCTCAATGAGCAGCTGCTATGTGTCTTCCATCATAATATGATGGAAAATCAAGGGCACCTGTTTCCTAGGTGCAGTGTCTATCAAAGACTGGTTGATGAGTAGCTGCTAGAAGTTGGAAATAGACTCGAATTGGCTGGTGGACTTGCCAATACAGAGCTTTAAGACAATGTACTTAACTTTTCTGGATTGAGCACATATGCAAAATACTGAAGGAGAAAATTGAAAGAATATATGTGCAAGTAAATCTAAAACTAAGGAGCAAATACTTCATGCAGTAAATGAAGCGGCTAGAATACACAATGCAGATTGGAAGGGTCTAACAGATTCTCCTCCAGAGAGAAGAAAGTGCACTTATAGGTAACTAGCTATTTGGACAAGATTAAATCCTCTTTTTCTTCATCATGGCCTTACAATGCACAAAGATGATAATTTTGTGATGTTAGTGGTCGTGTAGCAGGTTTTACAGCTTTATGATGTAACTATTATAAGTTTGTTGGAACTACTTTATAGTCAGTTTGTTTTTTTTATAAAAAAAATCTAAAACAATGAAAACTTACAAAAGCAATAAGTGTTGGACTCTAACATCTTTCAGAGCTAGAAAACAAACATACCGGAGTAATCACCATACTGTAACGAGACCAAATAAGCCCAGTGCACGTAACAGCTGCAAAACAATATTTCAGGTATGATATATACCATAATTCTAAACATAGATCACATAGACAGCTGAAAACCTGTATTCCCAAAAGGTGCATACCTATTTGCTGAGGATAAGAGATATTTTCAGGTGGCTTTGAGAAATCAGCAATATTTGCTATGCTAATGCCCCATTTAAAAGTTGGAGCCCAAAAGTGAACTGCATTATCATGAAAACACTCTTAATCTACGAGTCACTAAAATAACATGGCAGGTTCCGGCACGACACAAAGCAACTCAATAGCCCCACCTAAACACCTAATTATCATGGTTCATGACACATTGTATTGTTGGTTTAGAGCTGAGACTAGAGGTCTTGAGATGGAAGAAATTATTTATCTTGTACAAAAATGTTTTAGGCATTAGGCCAACAAGTTAGATCCACTATTTTTCTTACTCATCAAATTAACACCAATCCTGAGAGTTATGCCTGTCAGTATAGAGGTTGCGTTTTCTACAGTAAACATGATTAAAGAATGATTGCACAATTAAATGGAAAATCAATGGATGAATTCATCATGCACTGAAGATTTTGTGTGTAATTGCAATTGAATAGAAATTTTAGATTAAAATTTTCTACATTTTCTAATGTTGCCCCCTAAATTCCTGGCTGGTTCTGTAACCAAAATGAAGTGCATCAAAATTGATCATCTCCGCATATTTTAATCAATAGAAAATAAAAAAATTGCTTATTCCATTGTCAAAACCTGATTGTCTGCAGGGATTAGCCAAAACCCAGATGCCAAAATTCAATCTTTTACAGGGATCGAATCTAATACAGTATAATAAATTTCAAAATTCTCAAAACCGTATAAGAACAATTATAGAATGTTTAAGGAAAACATAAAAGAAAAATGAAGATAACGAACTGGTTTTAGGGCCTGCTGGGTGGTTCCAGAAAGCTTGGACCTTTGAAGCTGCCATGGGAGATCGGTTTCTATCTGTCTGGCTCTGTCTTTGTGAGTTTTGGGAAAACAGGGTGAAGTTTAGCTTACCACATCGTGCCACCTACTTCGGGACCTGACCGACCAAGTACAAGGTTCTAGGCCTGTGCCCATGTTTGGAAAATTCTTTTATCAGGTTGTACCATATAGATTTTTTTACTTTATTTTGTACTAGAGGAATATTTTTTAATCAGGTACCATGTAGTTTTTTTCTTTTTTTTTCAGAGACATTTTTTTCATAATAATTTTTAGAGATTATTCGTTTTATTTGTCTCTGAACTTTTACCCGATTTGCATTTGAGTCCCTCAATTTTCAAAATCGTTTCCGTGGTCCTTTAACTTTAATTTCGTTAGGACAAATGGTCATGCCCTCAATTTTGTTAACTTTTTCTGTTAAATACAATGATAAAATGGTATTTTGAATTATTTTGAATTTCTAATTTCTCAATATTCCTTTCACCTAAAAAATAAAATTAAAAATTAGAAACTAAAAATTAAAAAATCTTATTCCTCTTCAGCCAAACTAAAAATTAAAAATTAGTTCTTATTTCTAAAAACTTGAATTTTTTTTAATTTTATTCATTTTTAATCAATTTAAAATTTAAAAATATAAAAATACTATTTTGACTCTGCATTTAATAGAAAAGTTAACAGAATTGACGGCATGATCATTTGTCCTAACGAAACTGAAGTTGAATGACCACGAGAACAAATTTGGAAATTGAGGGACTCAAATACAAATCGGATATAAGTTCAGGGACTAATAAAACAAATAACCATAATTTTTACTGAAATCTATGAGACTAATATAGGTTAGGACTTTAACTTTATAATAGAAATTAATTTAGAACATGGACTTGTAAAGTCAACTTGGGCCGTTGCCAATATTGGACTACACAAACAAAGACAAGAGAAAGAACATAGGTAGGCCTCTTTTCTTTACTTTTATCCTCAAGTTTTTTCCAAGCATGCAGTGCCCAATTGGCAAATACATGGCACAATATAACAACTGTTTACCCTAAAATTCCTTTGAGTTAGTGTGGAAAAGTATATTGCAATTGCAGAGTACTTAAAAAATAAAAGGAAGTGTAAGTACTTAAAAACAAAAAGGACATATAGCATAGAACACCCAATTAGCGAAGAAGATTGCAATTGCTTCTAGTTTCAATTGCCTTCACAATGAGCTGAAACTAAATAAAGAAGATTGTAATTTTGTTTACTTCATCAGTCTATTATCTCGGTCTAGCTTCAGGAGAGAGAGGAAAGGGCATAAATAAAGCTGAAACTAAAATTTGTTTGAAATTGTCTTTTAAAAGCAGGTTTTTATATTACAAACCAATGTGATTTATGTTATGTTCCCTAACTTCTATAATCTCTTTTCTCATATTTTTATCCATTTTCTTGTCTATCTTTAGTAAAATAAAACAAGAAAGTTTCCAAACAGACCATACTCTTTAAACAGAAATGTATGAGGCTTACAAGGTGAGATGCCCAAAGATTCCCATGTATTTTTGTCTCTAAACACCTCTCCAGATGTGTTAGGCCATTTCCAGTCATAGGGCTAAATGTAGTCCATAGCTAAAAATTTAGTCCTCCAAAATATTAATTTTTTAAAGAATAGTGCATGGCTAAATTTGTCCATCTCCAGTCATGCAAGGCTATATTTTAGGGTCCTTCATATTTTATTATTTTGAGAAAAACTATAATACAATACTCATACATTCTACAACTATATATTGTTTAATTTAATTATAATTTTTTTTTAAACAACACTTGAAAACATTTAAAAAAGGTGACCACATGTAAATTTAAAAATAAAATTAGAAAAAAAAAGTATGGGTTTTAATGGTCTGACCTCCAACGATCATAACCAATAATTTTTTATAATTTTTTCTTAATTACATGAATTGACATTTAAAAAGGTGGTCACATTTATAAAAATTAAAAATAAATAAATAAAAGATTGGTTTTCAATGGTCTGAACTGCAACGGTCACCACCAATACTTTTTATCTTAAACAACATGAATTGACAACATTTAAGTTGCATGGAGCCCACAAAAAATTTGGCCTAGGCCAAAGCTGGACTACATGTGGTCCAGTTGAAGGGCTAAAAAACCAAATGTGGCCCTCCAATTTTGGCCAAAATTTTGTTTAGCCTATGGCTAGAGATGAATCTAGAGATGGCCTTAAGTCAAGTTAATTGTAGGGATTCCTGTCACAAAGAACTTAGGGAAGTATCTTGTCGTGCCACTAATTCATGGAAGGGTTTCTCAGAGAACTTATGCAGATTTATTATAGAAAATGCAAGGAAGACTCTCCAATTGGAAAGCAAAATTGTTGAATATGACGATATAGGGAAATTCAAAGCATCTAGGAAGAAAGGAGGAGCGCAACGAATATGGTTAAAACAAAGGATACGTTCTAAATCAATTCTTTCACAACTTATCACATCATCCATGGTTCACTTCACTCCCTAATTGCGGATTATGACTAAGGCTACTCAAGGATCGGAAACTTTCAGAGTGTTAAGGTAAAAAATCTCTCCTATTGGAATAAGAGCGTTAACGACCAGAGCAGATGGAATGAAATAGCAATTGCAGCTACTTCTGTGCGTGGCTATCTTCTCCTATTGATTAATGTCCTTCAAAGAGCGTATTCTATTCCTTCAGTCCGTGGGTGTAGGACTACTGCAATCATTCCCTTCCTCACAACTCATTCTTCTTCTTCATCACCAGGAGTTGATTCTATTTCTTCTTATTCGTCGCCCTTGTTAGGAATAGCAGGTAATCTCATATCAAGATAAGGATTCGCAGGCTAGACAAATATTGAATTAACAAAGGAATGAAGAAGTAAGGCAAGGGAGCTGTTGAGAATGTACGAATAGGTATGTCATTCGCGGTTCCATATGCAATGTTTATATAACAAGGGACATAGAAGGAGGTGCTAGTAGTATAATGCAAAGAGGGACTTCAGTCTCATATTCATGTCGTTGTTATTGAATGTACCCTCGTCACAATTGAATCAGCCATTGAGTACATAGAAGCTCTGGCTCTTGCCGCTGCTTCACTAAGAATACGATTTGGAGCTCTTGGGTTCATGACTGGTGCTGCTGCTATTGAACCATCTCTTTGAAGGCCAAATTCCACGTCAGTAAGAGAAGTAGGCAAAAAAGATGCTCTCCTAACCGGTATCGGTGGTGGTGTCATAGAAGTAAGTAAGCGATGTTGCCGGTATCGGTGGTGGTTCAAGAAGTGAATCAGATTCATCCTATAATAAGTAACAAGATAGTGTGAAAGGGATTGATTGGGATTCATCGACATCTGAGATTCATTTTGCTCAACTACACGACACACCTCATGTACTTCTAATGGAAAAGATCATGAATATAACTGAACTTTTTACTCTAGAATTTCTCTATGATAGCATGGAAAAATGAAAGGATGATTGCATTATGATAAGATAAAAGAGTTCCAGAAATGGAAATTATGAACTTTTTTGTTGTTTTGGTTGAATTGTCGAGCAAAATAAATAATTGTGTTTGTTGATTTTATTGATGTGTTCAAATGAAAATTACTCATGATCCACTTTTTTTGTGTGGAGACACTCCAATGGAGATGTACAAAAGCTGAAAATTGATATTTCGTGAAGTAAAGCATTCAATGGCGGAACCAGGAATTTTTCAACGAGTGGGCTAGCTAAAGTTATTAGCTTAAAATTTAATGATTATTTTTTTTGGTACTTCCAATTTCTATAGTCTTCCTAGAAATAAAAGTAAACATTAAATCATATATACCAAGCTAGTTCATAGCTCCATAGACTAATTTTCAATAAGTTTTAACATAAACTAAATAGGGTTTAACACCATAATGGATTGAACATCTAAGGCTTTTTACCTAGATTGACCTTAGGTTCCTTCATGCATTCATATCATACATGAAAAGTTGTTTTATGTAAAAATATTGACTAAGTATGAAAAATGGGTTTTCGGAATAATTATTTTCTCAAGATAATTTTTGGCGGCTTTTATTCCTCACACATCAAATAAGAAAACTTGATTTTATAGTATTTTAGTATGAAGTATATATTGACTTAATGAGCCATCATTTTTAGCCTAAATCGTATTTTGCACTAAAACCGATTTTTCATATTTTGATTTTGTGGGAATTTGATTTTCTAGTATTTTTTATTTTAATCCAAATGGGGGGTACTTCCTTATTTACATTGTAAACTTAAGTAAATGGAATAATATAAAAATAAATAAAAGTAAAATGACAAAGACATTTACTTAAATGTTGAAAATGGAAATAAGGTAATATGTATAGCACCACTAACTGGACTAATATTGAAAATAAGTTAAATATATAAGTTTTATATATTTTTTTTCTTAAAAAATCACACTAAGCTACAGCCCACTGTAACCTTTAGTGTGGTTCTGCCCATAAAAGCATTAGCTCCCATAACATTACCGTAAAAAAATATATATACAAAAAATGCACAACATTATACAAGGACATGAATTGGTCAGTCTATTATGACCATTGAGAGCATAGAAACGACCAACACACAGCATCAATCTTGTTGCCTTTAGTTTTAGTAGTTGTAGTTGCAGCAACTCTACATAAAAGACTACTTATTACAACCCTCTCAACCGCAAGCAGTAGTTCTCTTCTTAATATTGGATAAAATCACAAGTTTGAATATCTCTTCCCTCGTTAATGAAAGAAGAAAAATACATTTTATCTAAAAATCAAGATAACATTAAGATAGTGGAAATCTATAGAAATTGTGAGAAATGAGACTAAGATAGTGGAAGAGTACAAAGAGAGAATGAGGAAGCAATGAAGGTTTTGAGATGGAGGTGTCAAACGGCACGGCCTGATCTATTTAAATTTGTGTCATTAAGTTATTTGGGTGGGGTCGAGTCGGTCCATTTAATTAATTGGGTTGTGTTGTGCTAGTCTATTTATTAAAACCATTGATCTTGTCCCAGCTCAAAGCCCAAGTCCACATGGAATTGGGCCGTGCTCGAGGCAGGCCCATGCTTGGCTCATTTAACTTGAACATTTTTTTCCCTTTAATTTCTTTTTAAAAAAAATTATTCATGTTAGCATATTAAATTTATAAAATATATATATATATATTAATACCTTTCTTATATGTAATATGAAACTAAAAATTGAAGATTTGTTGTAGTATTTATTTATTGAGGATTTAATATGGGACTAAAAATTGAGGATTTATTGTAGTATTTATTTAATATGAAAATTTATGATTTGTTGGAAGAAGAACCCACCAAACCAAAGTCCATATATGTAGATATCGAGAGGAGGCTAAAATATGATTTATATAAAGTGGGCCTTGAAAAATAAAACAAATTTAAATGGGTTGGACCGGGCTTGAAGCGGGTTCGAGCCAAGCACTGCCCATGCTTTCTGGTCGTGCATACTAGAGCCATGTTGCGTCTCATTTAAACAGATTAGGCTTGTGTCGTACTGAGCCAACCCAACCCATTTAACACATCCGAGGCCAACGAGGCAAGCTGACGATTTGGGCCCACAGTGCATGAAATCTACTAAACCATTAGCCAAAACCTAGTTCATCCATTTGAAAGGTATGAGTAAAAGTCCAAAATAACTTACCTATATTATGTCGTATACTTCTCTCTTTCTCTATCTCCCTCATCATATGATTAGAGAAATAGAGATGCGTACACAAATAGGTAGACTAAATGAAAAGATAGACATTGAGCTTGACGCTCTCTCCCAATATCTCTTGTATCAAAAAATCAAAACTAAGGAAATAATTAAGATAATGAGGGCATGAAAGAAAGTAATGGACCAACATAATGTAAGAATCAGATAGTCTTGGAAGGGGAACTCAAGAGGTTAATAATGTTTGTTAACTCTCGGAAGATTTAAGAGGTTAATAATGTTTGTTAACTCTTGGGACAAGGGTGGAACCAGAAATTTTTCAATGGGTGGGCTAGCTAAAGTTATTAGCTTAAAATCTAATGATAATGTATTTTTGTACTTACATTTTCTATAGTTTTTCTAGAAATAAAAGTATACATTAAATCATATAAATCATGCTAATTGTAAACACAAGAAAAAAAATGAAATTAGAGCCATATTATTCACAAAATGGTGAATTTCATTTGGAAAAATGCTTCTCTTTTGGAGACAAATTAATAGAAATGTTTTAAAATTGATGTTGGAACAAACTTTTACACCAAATACAAATGTGGAAGACCCCTGACTATGCCTATTGGTGTTGAAATTGTATATTTATTTATTGTTAAAATATTAGGCTATATGTGTATTTAATTTTTTTTTCCCCAAACCTTCCTGGGCTACAGCCAAGGGCAGCCCTTGCCTTGGTTCCCTCCATGTCTTGGAAGATTTAAGAGGTTAATAATGTGGTCGAACGCGATTGAGAAAGACAAAAGTAAACAATTACACAACACAATAATTTGTTGACGAGGTTTACTCAATATGAGCTACGTCCTCGGGTTGTTAGAGATTCACTATAAAAGTATAAGAGAAAACGATTAAAATTCGGTCAATACTAGATTAAGAATGAATGGTAAAATAGGTTTGAGGGTGACGGTAGCGTCAGTTTGATGATGGATGTAGAACCCCTTTTTTTTTCTTCTTACTTTCTTAATATCAATGTTGCGTAAGGAATACGTTGTTTCAGATTACCAAGAAATACAACTTGCCAATCATACATGATAAAATTGTAGGCTCCATTATAATCCCAGTACAATTTGCAAGCTTGGGCGTTGGACCTACAAAATGCAATCATTAATGGCGTTTCCTCAGCAGATATGTCCATCCATGAACTACTTGTTCCTGAAAATTGCAAGTGGCAATAAATCTCCAACAGTTATCTCTTAACATATCTTTGATATTGCATTCAATTACTAGAGGCCATTATCTTTCCCCACCCAATGAGACTCTTCACAACTTCCTTTCTTGGGCTTTGAAATTTCAATGTGCCCAAAAGAATATAAGAAGCACTCTGAGAAAAGACTTTAGAAGATTCAAGTCATCCTTCATTTAGTGCATGTGCCTCTAGAAATATGCTTCATGGTTTTTTCTTAATCTTAATTCAGTTCTATGTGTGATTCCGCCCTTATTTATATGGAGCTTAGAGAAGAAAGCGTATAATTAATTCAAATTTATATGTGATTCCATCCTTATTTATCAGGTTGCTATGATTAGATAATATGAACATGTTTAAGGGCTTCGGTTTTGATAGTTAAATAAATAATAAGGAGGCGTTTGGTATCCTATTCAAATATGGAACTCAAAAACTTTGATTTTTCTTTAAAACAAGGAGTTCTTAACTCTATTTTTAAGATTCAAAAACTTTTTTTGTATGTAACTTGAAACCTGTTTTCAAATCTTAAAAATTTGAGAACTTGTGGGTTATTAAAATTAAAAATTAAAAAACCAGATATTTTTTGTTTTTAATAATTGAGGTGTTTTTTAGTTGTTCTTGAGTTTGAGTTTTTAAAAATAAAGCTACCAAACAGGTTTTCTTTGTTTTGGACTCAAATTATGTTTTTGAGTTTAAAAAGTTGAATACCAAACAGGCCCAATCTCTCCTATCGGTATTCAATCACCACGGGTGTGGCTCTTAAGAGTAATTAAGAAACTACATTAAATAGTCACATATAACATTATGTTACTATGTCCCCTTCAAGTATCACATCTACAATTTGTTTTCTGCAAATCAAGTATCGCACCTTCAAGTACTATGTGTTGCATATTATATTATTATTCCCATAGCAAAGGAGATATATTTTCTGTCCAGTTAAAACTTTATAATAGTAGATGTACCAAAAAAAAATAAAGATTAATACTATAGCAGTACAAAGAGCACGTGAGAGTTTTTGGCTCTTACAATGCACCCAAACAGTTCCCATACATTTCCTGTCTCGCCCACATGAAGCAAGCCCTACAAAGCTGTTCCCATTGGCCCTTTCATTTCATAATTGATTTTCGTACATCATGAAGCTCAAGTTTGAAAAAACCACCACTTGCCAAATTTGTAGTCAAACATCAATTTGATTTAAATCAATTTATTTATAAAGAAAACATAGTACACGTACCATGTTAATTAGCTATTTAGATGATTAATTAATTAATCAGCTAGTGAGAGACAACTAAGGAAAAGCATCATCTTCATGATGGAGGCAAAATAATTGGTGAAAGCAACCTATCTTAAGCGTATGATATATAGCCAATGACTAAAATATCAATAATATCGAGGATATTATCGTTTTTTCAGTTCTAGGATATTTTGTAACATATCTATACACATATCGGATAAGTATCGATAATATCGGAAAATATCAACATCGATAATTTCTCTCACAATTCAGCAATATTTGGCCAAAATAATATCAAGATGATGAAGACAGTGCTATGGAAAAGATTCTTGTGTTTTCACAAAATCCCCTCATGTCTAAAAAATTACACGAACACCCCCCTGAGGTTTCTTTCACAAAACCCCTTTTTGTTAATTGTTTGTCCAAAAATTGATAATTTCATTTAAACAAAACTTATACAAATGACAAAATTAACCTCAGTGAAGTATATGCAATCTAATCTCAAATGCCAATTTTGTCATTTGGAGAAATTTTGTGTGTGTATAAAATCATCAATTTTTGGATGAAAAATCAATACAAAGGAGTTTTGCAAAAATAATTTAAAACCTCAGGAGGTGTTCTTGTAATTTCTTCAACTTCAAGGAGTTTTATGAAAAAAATCAAAAACCTCAAGAGGTGTTAGTATAAATAACTCAAATTTGAACCTTATAAGAGCTCTATGTGGTACTAAGTCACTTATGTATCTTATCATGCAATGTATAAATTGTAAAATATTGTAATAAATCATTATAAATAAATGATTATGGTGTGTTTAATCTTTTTTCATTAATTACTACATATTTTTTACACTCGCAGAGTCGCCGTGTTTGTTAGCTCGCTATAATAAATTAAAACTTAAATCAATTAACCAACCAAATACATTCAATTCCACTATTTCTTTTTTTTTTTTTTTTTTTTTTTTTGTTTTTATATAGTAAGAGATAATTGACTAAATAAACATCCTCCAAAGTTTCAGAAATTTTTTTCAAGTTTTTCTAACAATTTCCGTGGTTTTTATTCAATTTTTATCGATATCAATAATTTCTCGATATTTCCATCAAAATTTTCATATTTTTTGGATTACCAATATTTTCGAAACCATCAATATTTTAAACCTTGTATATAAGTAAATATATAATCAAGCACTCTTGCCCTGAAGAATTCGGGACCAAACACTGCATTTTGCATCCAAATAAACAACTTCTAAGTTCTTGTTTGAATGTGTAATTTATATTGATTATCCAACAACATAACATATCAAATATTTAACAAAATAATATTATTTCTTAAATAAAAAAGACTATTAAAAATAAGATTCATTAAGATTACACGTATCCCACTTGTAATTCTATTTTTTCTTTTGTGGCCAAAACTAGCCGTACTACATTAATAAAATCGATGGAGTGGTCATTATGGAAAAGTAGGTAAAATTACTTGCAAGCTGAACTTTCAAAAGTACGGACATCAACATGTGAGTGTGACTGGTAGGCAACAACAAACAACAACTTTCAAACTTTATTTCAAAAAAAAAAAAAAAAAAAAAAAAAAAAAAAAAAAAAAAAAAAAAAAAAAAAAAAAACTTTCCTTAAACTCGGGACATAATACTTTTGAGCATATGTCAAAGTCTTACAATTAAAAATCTTAATATGGGCTGTTAGTAATTATTTGGTCTAGCATTTAATTTTGAGTTTATTGCATAAAATTGCGGATTTAAATTTTCTAAATGAAACTTTGTTATATTGTTGAATGAAAAAGAAGAAGAAGAGATATACCTATTTTTAACACTAATAATATAGATAAATCATACACCATTTAATTTCTATAAACAAATCCAAAAAATGATATCTGACCCTATTGAATTGAATTTAATTATTAAATTATTTGATGCCCTATTGAGTGTTTTGGGTTTTTTAATGAGGTTTTGGGGTTAGGTTTGTTTTAAGAAATAAATCACAGTTTTGTAATTTAAAAGAAGTTAAAACCTTGTAAATGAGCTTTAAGTGTGTTTCTAAAGTCTATTTCATATAGGTTTTTATTTTAATAATTTGGGCTCCTGTATTAGATATAATAGTGAATCTCCAAAAATAAAAAATAATGATGTCAATGCCTGAGTTAAGAGAAGAACAAAACAAAGGATTACAATGTATTTTTAATTTTAAACATAAAGTTATTTTCACGATTTTTTATAATGTTATTAATTTTTTTTTAATATAAGCGATATTAATTTATTATGAAATTAGGGGTCTCTTGTGACGCCAAATTTATTATGAAATTATAAATATGATTGGATAGCATGGCAAAAAGAAAAAAAAAGAAATAAAAAAACATGATACTGGAGGATCATACATGGAAAAATCCAAAACTAATTTGGTGAGCTCATCTAATCACACAGAGGCCTGCATATGGAGATGAGCAGATTTGCAGAGGATTGAGGGTCCTGTTGGCTTCGTGATGACACCTAAGCCGTGGCCAGTGACCACCACCAGCTTTGCCCCAAAATCTCGTTTCGCTTTACCCATACCAAATACTTTTTCTTTTTTTTCTCTCATGCCTCTTCTCACTAACAAATGCCATTCTCCTTTAACTCATTCACACAAATGCCACTCCCATCTTTTCTACTCTCTCTCTCTCTCTCTCTCTCTTATATATTTTAAGGTTTGCTTTGACCCTCCAATGCACGTTTAGAATCCGAAGGCTTTTTCCTCCTCCATTTAATTATACAATGATGACTATTGTTTCTGTGTTGTGTGAGCAATCTAGACAATTTTAGGCAAATGCTTCCCATAATATGCTTTATAATTTGATAACACCCCTCTCTTCTATTGATAAAAATAAGTGAAAACCCTAAATCCATACTAACTTAAAGAAAACTACTTAGGTATAGTGTATGAACAAAACCAACCATGCAATTAAGTCCAAAATCAAGTTTAACTGATTTAGAGATTTCATAGACGATACTAAATATTGTCAAATGACATATATGACATTATCATTTATAACATTAATTCTAATGATGATAACTAACAATCAAATAAAAGGACATGTGCCATGCATTGCAACTTTTTTAATTCCCATACACGTAAATCAAGAAATTAAAATGATTAAAATCAATCTTATTCACTTAACAAGTTAATAATATTAGATATACGTCAAATTTATAAAGTGTTGCGTAACCAAATGATCTGACAATTAATTTGTAACAGTCAGTAGATGTCGTGGATAAAAACTAACAATACCATGGCCTGGCCAAACTTGTCAACTTGGCAAATTTCAACTTTTGTTAGGTTCTTCTGGTAATAGTCCCTCTTGACCTTGACCATGGACTGAACCCTATGACTATCTCTCAGAACACAGACAAAGAAGCGGTCAAAGCAGCAACTAGCTTTAATAACTATGCTACAGTGTCAAAATCGTAATTAATCACCAAAACCCAGGGCATTGCAGAATGGACATTTCGGGACGATCAGATTATGGTATATAAGGGCCCCACCTTTGTCCATTTCATCTGCACACTGTTTTAAATCTTTTCCTTCTCTGTCCTGTGGTAGCTTCCATCACTCTCTCACTCAGAGATTGCACCGAGGAAGACACACACTACGGCACTCACTCTCGTAGATCTGAAACCCACAAACCCCAAAAACCCTGAGCTCCGAGGACGATCTGGTGAGCATTTTCTCTGCTACACTCTCTGCTTTTCTGTTTCTTTCATTTTGTATGGATATGGGGGTTGTTTTAGTTCTTGAGGGATCTGAGTGTTCTGAAATTTCTTGTTCATGATTAAATGTGGGGGGTTTCTGGGTTATGGGTTGTGGTTGGATAATGCAAATGAGGGTTCTTTCTTGGTGGGTTTTGTGTTGAGCGTGCTCCACTGTGAAGTGAATTTTGTTATTGGGGTTTATAGTTGTGTTTGGGCTTGAGATTTTTTCTTGATGATTGGTTCTTGGTTATGGATTTGGAATGTTGGATTTAGTGCTTTCATTTGGTTAATTAAGTGGGGATTAGTATAATGTACTACTATGATTAGTGCTTTTTTTTTGGTGATGGGAAGATGAGAGGTTGATTCTTGTGTTCTATGTCTAGATTTTTAAGATCAGAATCTTTATTTTTCTTTTTTGACACTCCAAGTTGAAAGAAAGAAAACTAAATTTTTTTTTGGGTTGCTTTAACTTGGTACTTCGATTGTAATTTTTGTTTACTGGGTAACACGATCTGATTTGCGTGATCTGTGTTTAGAACAACATTTTTATTTTATCAAAATTTATTTCCGGGTTGAAGGTATTAATAGTAGACGGCCGTGATTTCCAGAACCCAGAAGATATAGAGAGGGCATCTCTGTGTTATGTTTATAGATACCATATAAAAATCACTCTGCTTTTGGCATTTGAGTTGTTTTATCTTATTTTATGGAATTTAAATTTCTAATGCTCAGCTGATGGTTGAGCTTAGACAGGGCTACTATGTATTTCTATCGTTTTCTGAGGTTAATTCATACTTGTGGTCTTTTATCATGCTTGATCCTTTTTACTGATTACTTACCGTCTTATATGACTGATGCTGACGGGTGTTTATACACTATTTATGAAATGTATTAAGTGTCTTCTGAACATTTTCGATGATGCAGTCTAGGTGGTGATTTAACAAAAATGGCTGTCGCGGATGCTGAAAACCCTCGGCTTGGAGAAACGACTTGTGGTTCTTTACTGCAGAAACTACAGGTGACTTATATATTTACCTTTGATTGTCTGTCTTTTTCTTCCTCACAGCTTCTTTTTATGTAACGTGAAGATTGGATGTTGAACTAATGCATGATTTATTGCAGGAAATTTGGAATGAAGTTGGCGAGAGTGATGAAGAACGAGACAAAATGCTTCTTCAATTAGAGCAAGAGTGTCTAGATGTATACAAGAGGAAGGTCGAGCTGGCAGCAAAGTCAAGGGCACAGCTTCTTCAGGCATTGTCTGATGCCAAACTTGAACTTTCCAGTCTTGTATCAGCTCTTGGAGAAAAAAGTTTTGTTGGAGTTGTGAGTAATTACAAATTTTTTCTTCATCTTATTAAAAAAGAAATTACATATTTTTTCTTCATATGAACTGATGATCTTTTATTGCTACATTAAAGCACGTTAATAGTCTATTATTTTGTCTTCTAAGTAATAATGAATTGTTTGTTTACAGCCCGAGAAGACTTCAGGAACAATCAAGGAACAGCTTGCGGCTATAGCACCAGTACTGGAGCAGCTGTGGAAACAGAAAGAGGACAGGGTGAAGGAGTTTTCTGATGTACAGTCACAGATACAAAAGATTTGTGGAGAAATTGCTGGGAACTTGAATCTCAGTGAGAGTCCTGCTGTTGATGAGTCTGATCTATCCCTGAAGAAATTAGATGAATATCAATCCCAACTTCATGATCTTCAAAGGAAAAGGTAAATATATCTTATCCTCATGAACATGGCAAAATGCTTGATCTGCAATAAGTTCATAGTGTTAATTTCTCATTTGATCTGACAGAGTGAAAGATTACACAAGGTGCTTGAATTTGTGAGCACAGTGCATGACCTTTGTGCTGTACTTGGGCTGGACTTCTTGAGTACTGTTACAGAGGTCCATCCTAGCTTAAATGACTCAACTGGTGTGCAATCCAAAAGCATTAGCAATGATACTTTATCTAGGCTGGCTAAGACTGTCTTAGCACTAAAAGAAGATAAGAAGCAGAGGCTGCATAAGGTATTTCTTTTTTCCTTTTTCTTTTTCATTATTTGTGTTTGTAGAAAATAATAATTTATATTTCGGATTAAATTTGACATTTATCTTCACTTTAAAGCTCCAAGAGTCAGCAACACAGCTACTTGATCTGTGGAATCTGATGGATACCCCTGATGAGGAAAGGGGATTCTTTGACCATGTTACCTGTAACATATCAGCTTCAGTGGATGAAGTGACTGTTCCTGGGGCTCTTGCCTGGGATCTGATTGAGCAGGTATATAAGCATATGATGTTCAGTGGTTTGTTAAAACAATTTATGATGGCTGTTTACTCATTTCTCGATTTTGTTTTGAAGACTGAGGTCGAAGTTGAGCGGCTTGATCAGCTGAAATCAAGCAGGATGAAGGAAATTGCATTCAAGAAGCAATCAGAGCTTGAGGAGATTTTCACTCGAGCTCACATAGAAATAGATCCAGAAGCTGCGAGAGAAAAGATTATGGAACTGATTGATTCTGGGAATGTTGAACCTACTGAATTACTGGCTGACATGGATGATCAGATAGCGAAAGCGAGGGATGAAGCTCTAAGCAGAAAGGATATATTGGACAAAGTTGAGAAATGGATGTCAGCCTGCGAAGAAGAGAGTTGGCTTGAGGACTACAATCGCGTAATTAAACTCTCCCTGAAATATCTACCTATGCATGAATGTGAATTGCTGGCTGGACCTTATTGTGGAAAACAGAGTTTCATATGTTACACAGTGCTCCCCATACATTACGATAGACTTTTTTTGTTGTTGTTGAAGAAAGCACCCTTCACTGTGCTCCCTGTCCATTGGAGTCCAACTACCTAGACCTGCTCCATTGTTCTCTGTGAATTACTGTAGATGTCGGACATGCTAGAATTAAGTATTGTAATTCAACAGTTACTAGAATGAAGCTACTTGATAAATAGGACCTGGGGAGGATCTATTAGAAGTCCTACCCGTCTAACCACCTGCCAAATATATATGAACATACAGGAAAATGTAACCATTTCATGGATGGGCTTAGGTGTGGAGTTCTTGGGTTGCAGTCTTGCCTTTTCAGGATGGTTAGAGTAACCATGTAGTCCTTTAAAACTAATAACTGGCCTAGGAGTTTCTATGCATATGACGTTGCATCTGTGCAACCCACATGAATTTTGCTGATTTTTTATACTTGAATTTTCCAATTTTAGGCGTTTCATTGTAACCAACATTGTCTTGTTGAAACAGGATGAAAACAGGTATAATGCAAGTAGAGGTGCACACCTAAACCTCAAGCGTGCAGAGAAAGCACGTATTCTGGTTAACAAAATTCCAGGTAAGTGTAGAGGATAACACGGTTATGATGACTGTAGTCTTACAGTTGCAAATTTGACAGAAAGTGAGACGCATAAGTAAAGGAAGTTTTGTATGGCATGTACAGTGTAATATGTGCATGATCAAAGAAAATTAAACAATCCATGCTGTCAATTACCACTCCTCGACATGCTTACAATCCACCCATTAGTTTCCAAATTTCTTATTTTTTTTCGTTTTCTTGGCAATGCAGCTCTTGTGGACACATTGGTAGCCAAAACTCGTGGGTGGGAGGAAGATCGTGGCATATCATTTACTTATGATGGTGTTCCTCTCCTTGCTATGCTAGATGAATATGCCATGCTTAGGCAAGACAGAGAAGAAGAGAAGCGGAGGATGAGGGTACGTTTTACTTGAATAGATAATTAAATGATTATTGATGATTATATGAGGTGATTAAATGCTCCTTGATTTTTACATGAGTTTAGTTATGTTCCTAAGTAATTATGCTTGACATGACCTAAATCTAAATCTGACGTTTTAGTAGCCTTTTTATTTTGGTTTTTACATCAGTCTGAGTTCATTGTCCTCTTGCATCAAATGGGATTATGTCCCATGGATTTTGCAGGATCAGAAGAAGTATCAAGAGCTACAACACACAGAACAAGAAACCATATTTGGCTCAAAGCCTAGCCCTGCTCGACCAGTTGGCACAAAGAAGGTAGTAGGTCCTCGTGCGAATGGAGGTCCAAATGGAACTCCTAGCAGACGGCTATCACTCAATGCTCATCAAAATGGAAGCAGGTCTGTAACAAAAGATGTGAAGAAGGATCTTAGGCCCGTTGCTCCTATGAACTATGTTGAGATAGCAAAAGAGGATGCTGCGTCCCACATTTCTGGCACTGATACACTTCCGGTGTCACCATAATAGTAAGGGAGATAATTGTAGGTTACACCTCTGTCAAATTTTAGTGTTTTAACTAGTTACTGTTGTAGGGATATGATGTATGAAACAGTGAGGGTAAATTGGAGAGTGAACTGTGTGTACCTGTGCATGTTATGTTTTAGCATTCGGAGGCTTTCTAAATACACGTTGCGTTCTCTGTTCTTCATGTTTTGGCTGGTAGCTTTTGTGTTCGAAATAAAATCCTGCCACTGCATTCTTGCCAGTAGACTTATGAATTTCGGTTCCGTGAATGTTCTTGTTTCTTTTATTTTTTTGGCTTTACGTGACTCCTAATCCATGTTAAACTCTAGAATGGATTTCCCTGTCTTGGTTGCAATGAACCTGGCCTGCACGTTCCTCGTATATTAGTTAGGTAACTCCTAGCATTACTGAGAATTTTTCTTAGGCTGGGAAACATAAAACCATAAGAACTCGATGGTATTCAAAAATGAGGATCCTGATCCTATGTTTCGAATTTATAATTGTGGCTAGGCTACAAAGTTCTTAAGGGTAGGACACAAAATTGTATTGGAAGTTTAAAAAAAGAAGAAGAAATAAGGCAACAAGTTGCTTTGTCCTTATGGGTTTGCAATTATTCTTAATTTGTATCTAACAACTTTGTTTGCCAAGGATGGCTTTATGTCTACAAAATTACCCAGTAGGTAAAAACTTGTCCTGGATAATCCAAGAGAAAGTTTGTACGATTGGCCTGAAATTTTTTTTTACTGGATTTACTGTGATCACAACATCTATTTCTACATATTTGCTATGACAAATTGGAGATGCTGATTTTGCTCTTCAGTTTTTACCCCCCTAAACGATAGCTTTGAGGAGATACTTGCCTCAACCAAGAGACAAGAGGACAGTCAAAATTACTTTTAACCCTTTGTTGGGATTGGATATATGCAGATAACAATGAAGTTACCTCACTAAGAAACTCCCAATTAATATTGTTGGAGAAAACGAGGAATCAAAGCATCGTATAAATATGTGCTCATTATATTTCACCATATGCTGAGACCACATCAAAGCATATGTTGTTCCATTTATGAGCACTATACTATTTTGTGACTCCTAGGAAAAATTAGAGAAAGGGGTGTGAGTAATTAGTTACTTTTGCTTTGGCCAAATTTCAAGCCCTCAGAGATTTGCTAAGGAAGAGTTTGATGATCAAAATGTTAGCTTCACAACCTCAGTCATGTTGTTTATGAAGCCAAAATGTTTATGGGGAGAAAAGAACATGTGGAAGAAATTAGTGTAGCCCAATAAAGAGCAGCAGCAGATGAAAATGGTGAAGAAGGAGCTCACTCTAGAAGATTGGTTCTTAGCTTCATCACCGTGCAAAAAAGACGGTAACAGCCTATGTAATATCAAAGAAGGTGATTCTGAAAAGAACTGGCTTTATCCATGTTTGGGTGGAGAGGATTCAGATGATTTTACCTCCAAGAATTCAAGGGACAGTTTTTCTTTGCAGAGGCTGTTGACCATTGAAATGGTTGATAGTGGAAAAAGTGATGCACATGCTCCTTGCTTGTGCAGAAGTGAAAGTAGTGGGAAGGTAAAGAAAGGGGTGAGCTTTAGACTTCCAGAAGAGGCTGATATATTCATATTCTGTTCACCAGACCAAGGTGATTATAAAGAGTGATTTAAAATCTAGTAAATTATGTATGAATATGAATATATAGATATATATATATATATAGGTACATACATTATACTGCTTGCTTGATTGCTCCTTGTTCTTGGGCAATTTGATAAATGCTGATTTTCATTATGAATCAATCTCTAGACACTAAGGGGATGATGGAAGAAATTTAAGAGTTGTTATCATATTTAAATGAATGTTTCAATTGCAACTGTGCAGGCTGGCTTAAATTTATAAAGTTAAGATTATGTTCCAAAAAGAGAGAGTTTATAATGGATTAATAATTTCAAATTAAAAATGTCAAATAATGAATGATATTTTTCTCAATTACCATGTTTATTAGAAAATGCTTGGAGTGCAATTTGAATTAGTTTGAAGACTCAATGCTCTTAGCAGGGATAATATTGTTTGAGGAATGCTATTCACAATCGCTCAAAAGTAATTGTCGCAATATTTGCTAGACACGTGGATACACAACGCACATTACTTTCTCCTTTTTAATTTTTTAATTTTTGTGTGTGTGTGTGTGTATCCACGTGTTTAGCAAGTATAGCGACAATCGCTTTTGAGCGATTGTGAAAAGCATTCCTCATATTGTTTAGTTAACAATTAATAGTAAACGATTAGTAAGGCAGCCCATTCAATAAAGAATTAATAGCTCAAAATGAAAACTTTTGAAAAGAAAGAACACCTTTGTTTAGTTAGCAACTGAAATAACTACCATTGCCCTCTAACAACCCAGCACCTTGTATTAAAAAGAATTAAATTGAAGATATGGGGAAGAAAGAAAAGTAATAGAGATAACTAATGAAATGGCATTGCAAAAGCCAAAAGGGTGTTAGGTCAAATTGAAACTCCTCATTCAAACAACTATATATAAATCACATGATACAGACAAAATAATAAGCTATAAAGGAAGAGAAAAGTGAAAAAGGGTCTACTATAGCTTCATTTCCCTATTTCATTCAAAGGAACACAAAGTCATAAAGGCCATCAAGTATATTAATAAAAGGTCACTACACCACAGTCAATGATAACACAAAACAAGCTCACACAAGGAGGAGAAAAGAGGATTGTGTCCCAACCTTAACTTTTTCTTCTCTCTCTTTTGTGTGTTGGATTCTTTTTCCTCTACGCAACGAAAATGAGAAAAAGGGCATACTCCTTAACTAAGCAAGAGAAAGTGATGCCACTATGTGAAGGAATTGTAACTGCTCCAGTAGCTCTTCGGATTGGCCTGTGCCCCTTTGTTCCACTCTTGCAAACAACTCATTGCCAAGGTGGTCGCCGATGTGTGCATCCACGAGTACTCCGGCGACACTCCTACAGCTGTTGGCAAGGGCTCGACCCACTTCAGCTGCATCATCAGGTTGGTTCACTACAAGGGGGCTTCCTCCTTTGAAAATCTCAAGCTTGTTTATGGTGAATGAGCCAACATCTTCCACTACTTCCTTGAAGTCTTGTAAACTTGAGGCATACACAGGAATGTTGAAACTGTCACGTTTCTCACTAGTGATAAGACCCTACAAAAAATTAATAGCAGATATAGTTTAATAATTAATCCATATATCACAATTAATTTTCAATAATAGCCAGGTTAATTACACAAAAGGCTAATTTTCACGAATGTTGGAACTGTTAGGTTTCTCTCACTAGTGATAAGACTCAACAAAAAATTAATAGCGGATAGTTTAATAATGAACCTATAGATCACAATTCATAGGCATAAAGCACTGTCACATCCCGAAATTTTGGCTCACATGCAAAAATGTACTACACTAACTAGATATGAACCTGGTTAATCATACTGCTTAATGTCCTATTTTTTCAACTAGATAGGCTATAATAATTGATGATCGGGATTAGCAAATGAGTTGTAACAGATATCGTCTAAATTCAAGGCTATATATGATTGAGGGACAAGATCTTTTAGGTACGTACATGCACTGACTTTGTTCAAATGCAATTTGAAGTCTTTTTTCTTTATTTATTTTTTCCATCACCTTCTGGTTCTTATCTAAGATATGATTATACCTTTGTGTTAAAACAAGCCCTACGTATACCCAATTGATCCATGGCCTATGATTTTGCCGACAGTACTTGATACCTATGAACAAATAGAGGGGGTTGATCAATTTTAGGAAGAGTATCCAACGGCTAGAATCGGCCTAACTAAATCATAACCAGTGAAAATTCATAATAAGGTCTTGTGAAACCAATAAGACCTAATCATGCATACCTCTTTTATCTTTTTCTCAGCTTTTTGGTCTGCCAATTGAAGCTCAAAAATGTGACTTATCTCTATAAGCCTATATGGTATTATTATACATTGCACATTGCACTATGAATTTGTACTAGTCTCACCAGCATTATTATATGCAATGTTAATTTTGTGACAATACATTTTATATATTATGATTACCTCTTGGACAAGATCATCCCAAGCATCCTGAAAGTGGGTTCCAAAGAGATGGCCTGGGCCACTTTGGTCTGTGGGGTCCACTGAGGTCCTGCCCAAGCAGACAAGAAACATGGAGCCACCTTTCTTGAGCTCCTTGGCTCTTGACCTGAGAAAGCTTGCCAAGTCTGTCTGGAACTGCTTCTTGTATGCAAGGGCTGTGCTCTCATTTGCTCCATGAATGTACACCCTCCCTTTGTTGTAAGCTGCTGATCTCTTGTCCAGCACACTCTCAGGCACCTGGGCCCCACGCAACACATAAAAGAATTATCAATTGATCTAATCTATGGAAAGGGAATTCAAACTTGAATTGAAATGGTGAACTCCCTGTCCTAACCAACTGACCTAACTCAGGTCTGCAGTATGTCCAAGTTAAAGATTTGAACTTTTACTACACAACAAAATAACTATTGAAAATCCCGAGCATTTGCATAAAGTTGCATGCTCATAAGCCAGTTGCTTAAATTCTTCAAAACATTTGACCAGGCTCGCTCTGCTTTTGTTTGATCTTTTTGGTCTAACCGATTTGACTTTTAGCCTTTTTTACCTTGAATGCAATGCGTTTTGGCTTTCAACTTTGCTAGTTGTTGAGTAGTGACGACAATTATGCAGTAGGTAGACTGTTGTAGACAGACTGAATGAAATGATTTAGAAGCTTTGTTTCTAATTAAATACCATTAACCCATTAATTAATTCTAGCCGTTGTGACTTGATTAGGCAATCTAGCTAACCATACAATTATTAAGGTTGGGGTATAAAATATTTCCTAATTAATTTTAACTATAGGGTAGGCATAATTGGTAATTTTAACTAGGTTTACTATAAGTTCTTCCCAACCCTGAAGACCATAAATTAGGGGCATTAACTTTTGACCTACTCAAAGCCGGCAAGAAAAACAGATAAAAGCTTAAAATATTTCAACGTATAGTTTTTTATTATTATTATTATTATTTTTTATAATTATATTATTTTAAACACCTCTTTTGCACAAGTGTGGACGTGGCACAATATATCCTTAGAAACAAACAAGTATTAATTAGTTTCACAAATTTGTCTTCACCAACCTAGAATTTTGTACGTACTAAATTATACTATAAAAAATAAATTAAGTGACAAAATAAGATTATTAGTTAGTAAGTATCTATCACAACGAATAATAATGGGTTAATTACCTGCGAGAGCCAATGTAAGGAAAACGCAGAGTGGAAAAGGTCAATGGACCTCGACGGGAAGAGCCGCCTGTAGAAGGAGCCGGGGACGCCAGCAGCAAAGTAGGAGCGGTGGCTGTCGGCGGCGAGGGTCTCCTCCATGCTGCCGCCGTGGTTGGCCATAGGAGGGAGGAGCTGGAAGAGGGTGTTGAAGTCGTTGCTAGGGAGATCAGAGAAAAAGGCTGAGAACTCAGGTGGGTCACATCCCAAGGCCTCATAGCGCTTGGCCATGTGTTTGATGATCACATCTATGATGTAGATGGTGTTGCTTCCACTTGAGCATCCAAGGTCCACAACCACAAAGGGGACTTGTGGAGAGCTCAGCTGCACATTGTCTAGGGTTTCTTTAAGCAGGTGAAGCATGGATCTTGCATGTATGGCCTGAAAAAAATTAAGGACACAATTACTTGGGCAGATAAAGAAAATGATGAAAACACATTGAACAAATTTTGGTTAGTGTTAATTAAATTAAGCAACTGGTTTAATTAAAGGACTAACCTGGGCTTGGGAATTGTTGGCATAGCTGGACTCTCCTTTGCCTCCTTTCATGCTAAATATCTTCTCGAGCTTTATACTTGAAACTACAACGTTGTCTCCCTTGGGAGCCATGAATTTGATCAATTAAGGAGAAATATTTGTAAAAAGATTAATACTGCGATGAGGGTGAAGGGTGAAGTTGGAAAATGGTGGGTATATATAGAGGGAGAGCATAGGGAGAAAGGAGAGAGAGAAAGAAGGGTGTTGTTATTTTTGTTTTTCTTTTCCGAAGAGTGTGTGAATAAATTATGATATAGTGCATTTTGGAGTGGCATGATGACGAACTAGCTCTTTAATTGTGTTCCCTAAAGAATTTTCCATGTGCACCAAGTTGGCCTTGATGTGACAATGCTCTTTAATTAGCCTTAAAAGTATGGGCCGTAGATATATTTGTCATTCGTAAAAACTTGGATTTAGGCTATGGGGATCTACTCCAACGAAAAAAGGCCTTGATTTGCATACTAATAGTCTCAAATTCGAATTCAATAACACCATAGTAGCGTCTGTGAGAGACTCCTTTCTCTGTAATTTGTACCCAAAAAAACAGACTTGGATTTGGGATTATTGGGATTATTGGGATTTTACGGTTTTTGTTGTTGATATTGTGAAGGTTTGATATTATTATAATACTGAGGGGACATGTAGGCCGACCTCTACACATACCATCTACAGTAGAGTATCCTAAATAAATAAATAATATACCTCCAACCACACTAATATAAATAAATCACACATAGAAAATAAATCTTTCGTAGACTCAACACGATATATTCAAAACTCAACAAATACTTTTAGTT